TAATAAACAAACTAATATGGAATTACTTACTACCACAGTGCCCAAGTTATACACATATATTAATATGAGCTATGTGAAATAATTGTGAAATAGTCATTAATATTGATTTTGTGACCTGACATTAATAAGTGCTCCGGAATAGATAATGATAGATTTATATTCAGATTAATTGCGTTGGGATTTTCTATGTGTCCTAATAATAATAATAATAATAATAATTTCGGAACATGTTCTTCTCAACGACCACATTGAAATATTCTATTAGTCCTACCTATATAGGTGTCATTGCAACTGCAGATGAACTTCTAGATAAAGTTTGAAGTATAATCCTTAGAAATTCATCCTTTAATAGCAGGCATAGGAATCGAAAATGTTCGGCGTGTGAAGGAAAGAGATGTGGCGTAGAATGCGCGTTTGATGGATGACCGAAGTCTTTGAGCTGTCAACTGCATAATCTGGTCACCCTTGAATGGTAGGTAAGTTAATAAAGATAGCTTTTTTTGGTGCAGAAGCTGTCTTTTCGAGATAAGATCTTTCTTTACTATGACAAGTGATAAAGCTCTTCGGACAGCCATTAGCTATTCAAACTGAATCTGTATGTCGAAACTCATCCATCAATATGTCACACGTGCATATTTTTCTGGCTCTTGAATTGAATTCTGATGATACGTCTTTGGGAATAATTGGCAAAGTTAAACTTTAAGCGTCACTAATTACCAATCAGCGAACGACCTCCATCGGACCAATCACATGAGAGAGGGATTTTTGATTGAGGAAAATGTATATTTATGGAAAAAGCATAAAAGCTGCATAAAACTGTTACAGTGGGGATCCTTCTTTAAAAACTGACAGAAACATCTCCCAGTTTAGCACAAGAGTGTCAATAGAAGAGCTACACCGCATTCTGTACCTATATTAATCCGAATGAATATAAATGACATCTTGTTGAGATCCGTTTTTAATCCTAATCCTATTTTTTGACCTTCAACAAAATCTTCCTGCAGAATACATGTGTGTTCACTTAATTAGATCCACAAAATCACTAGAATGGTTCAATCTGTGATGAATATATCCAACAGATGACGGCGAGCTATAACCTTTCCATTCATCAGTATGTACTATGGTTACCTGTTTCACCAGTCGAGTGACAATAGGTACTACGATGGTAGACTTTCTGTCTAGTAGTCTCTCCACGAATCATTTCCACAGGGAGGTTTATTATTGACCGACCACCCAAATATTGTTGGCTCGCTCAACGATTATTATTATTAATGCTCCCTTGGGTTCCTAGTGGAACATAGGGCTTCAACTGCACGTCTCCATTTTCTTCTGTCTTCTGCTATACTTTTCGCCTGCATCCATGTTAATCCATATTCTTTCAACTCCTCTTCACACGATCTCCTCCATGTCACCCTTGGACGTCCCACACGCCGCTTCCCTTTCGGGTTCCACTCGAGGGCTTGGCGCGCGATGTCACCCAGCGGTCTCCTCAGCGAGTGTCCGATCCATCTCCACTTTCTCCTGCATATTTGTTGGGCGATTGGTTCTTGCTTTGTTTGTTCCCATAATTCCTTGTTGGTGATTCTTTCCGGCCATCTGATCTTCAGTATTGAGCGAAGACAGTTGTTAATAAAGGTCTGCAGCCTTTTGGAAATATTCTTTGTGACCCGCCAAGTTTCTGATCCGTATAGAAGAACTGACTTTACGTTTGTATTGAAAATCCGAATTTTGTTGGTGATGCTGAGTGACGAAGATTTCCAGATTGATTTCAGGCTGATGAATGTGTTTCTCGCCTTCCCGATTCTCGCTCGATTTGACATCCTCGTCCGCTCCTCCTGTAGTTGAGACAATGCTCCCTAGATAAGTGAATGAAGTAACCTCTTTCAAATCCCTCCCGTTGATGGTGATTGACGTTGGATGTTGTTGCTGTTGTTGGTTGGTTATTTTCATAACCTCCGTCTTGTCTATGTTTACCTGGAGTCCTGTCTTTGCTGCTTCTTCGACCAGTTTGTCGGTTTTCGCTTGTAAGTCTTCGATTGTGTGTGACATCAAACATAAGTCATCCGCGAAATCCAGGTCTTCTAGGTTCTTCACGTCGGTCCAGGATATTCCTGTCTTCTCGTTTCCCACAGTCTGACGCATAATCCAGTCCACCACAATTAGGAATATCATTGGTGATAGTAAGCACCCTTGTCTGACTCCTGTGTTTACTCCAAACGCCTCGCTGAGTTTTCCGTTGTGGATCACTTGGCATGTGCCGTTGTCGTACAGCTGTTGAATAAGGTTGATGAATATTTGGGGTACGCCATAGTACTCGAGTAATTTCCAAATTACTTCACGATCAACGCTGTCGAAGGCCTTCTCAAAGTCTATAAAGTTGAGGTAGAGGTTTGATTGCCATTCCATGCTTTGTTCTGTGATGATGATGCGTAGAGTTGCAATTTGGTCAGTACATGATTTGCCTTTCCTGAATCCAGCTTGTTCTGGTCGGAGTTCTGTCTCCAGTGCGTCCTTTAATCTCTCCAGGATGATGCGACTCAGGATTTTACTTGGCGTCGATAGGAGCATGATTCCTCGCCAGTTCTTGCAGAGTGAGGCCTAAGTCGCCCTTCTTTGGTAGTTTCACGAGGTAACCTTTCCTCCAGTCAGTAGGCACCTTTCCCTCCTTCCAGACCTTTTGCAATAATGGAGTCAGCATGTCTGCTGTCGTCTCTGGGTCTGCTTTCAGTGCTTCAGGGGGTATTCCATCTGGTCCGGCTGTTTTTCCAGCTTTCAGAAGTTTGATTGCATTCAAGACTTCAGCTCTCGTTGGAGGATTGGTGTCAACTTGCAGTTGTGTGCGCGCTGTTGTTGGTATTTCTGGACGGGTTGCAGGTGATGGTCGGTTCAAGAGTCCTTTGAAGTGATCCGCCCATTGTTTAATCTGTTTTTCTTCCTTGGTAATGGGCTTCCCTTGGCTGTCTTTTATAGGTTTCGCTTGTGTTGGTCTCTTCCCGGATAGAGATTTGGTTATCTGATATAGTGTCCTCAGGTCCCTTTTGCCTGCTGCCTTTTCAGCTTCAGTAGCTAGATTGTCGTAGAATCGTCTTTTGTCCTTCCTAGCACTTTTCTTCACTTCTTTGTCCAGTGCTTTGTAAGTTGAGCTCATCGTCTCCTTCTCCTGTCCGTCCTTGCATTGAATCATTTTCTCTTTCACCATTCTCCTCTCTTCTATTAATTTCCAAGTGTCCGTTGAGAGCCATTCCTTGTCTTGTCTCTTCTTTCTTCCTAGAACCGTTGAACACGTTTCGTTGAGAATCGCCTTCAGAGACTTCCAATGTTCTTCCACGCATGATTCTTCAGTGCTGTCGCGTAGTGTTTCCTGCTTTGCTCTGACAGTTGCAGTGAAGGTGTCTTTTGTGGTTGTGTCCTTCAGTAATTGAGTGTTGAACTTGCATTGTGGCCTATCCCCAGCTATCCTCGAGGCTTTTAGTTTCACCTTGAAAGTCCCTTCTACTAGATAGTGGTCTGAACCCACATCTGCTCCTCTCCTTGACCTTGTGTCCAGTAGGCTCCGTCTCCACTTTCTTGAAATTGAGATGAAGTCTATTTGATTCTTGGTGTTTCCATCTGGTGAAATCCATGTCGTCTTGTGTATATCCTTGTGTTTGAACACACTACCGCCAATCACCAAATCATTGAAGGCGCAGAAGTCTGAGAAGAGTTCACCATTGTCGTTCATTTCACCGAGGGCCTCACGACCCATGGTGAGTTCTCTTCCTGTGTTGTCTCGTCCCAGCTTCGCATTCATGTCGCCCATCAGGATTTTGATATCGCCATTTGGGACGTTGTCCATTATTGCTTGTAGTTGTCTGTAGAACGCCTCCTTCTTCTCTTGTTCTGAGACGTTTGTAGGCGCATAACATTGAATGACTGTAACTTTCCTTCCTTTTGAGTTGAACCTGGCTGTCATTATCCTGGAGGAGATTGGTTCCCACTGCATGAGAGCTTTGGTTGCTGTTGGTGAAATCAACGATCAAGGTTGTATTTTTTCTTGAATAAGACATTTTCATCCAGATGTACGAGGACACCTTCTCCGCCTAACAATGCAGTAATTCTCCCTATTTTCCATGATGCGATGTCTCTGCAGAGCTGGCACGATTGAACTGTTGAAACAAGGCTATTTTCGGTTTCTGCGACTGCGCCTCTCACAGGATGTTCTAAAACCCAGTAATTACAAATATACAGAATCCACCTTAGGGAGAGATGCGACCCAGCAAAACATATTCGTTCGAAATATTAAAATTATCAGGTTACCTTCCCTAATACTAATTCATCTCAAGCGAATTGCTTAACGATGGACATACCCATCAATCGACCTGTTCAAGCTTTTTATACTTATGATACCACCACATGAACAAAAATCCTCTCCTACCTAAGCAACCTCAAATCCAGGCAATTCTGCTAAAACCTTATCCTCATCAAACTGTAAGCGTAACTTCGTTACAGCAGGCATTTGATAGGAACCAATCGGAATACAACCTTGCTTTAAATCACGTGGATGAATCTCATTGGACCATTCAAGGTCATCCACTGATTGGTATTAACTGATGTTTAAAGTCTGACTTGGCCAAATATTCCTTGAGGATGATTTTGCTGAAGAGGGTATAATTTCGTTCAATAAGCTTAGATATTTTGACTTTTTAATAAAAATATCCACAAAGTAAATAAATGATAACTTTCATGCTATTTTTATTTTATATATATTATTAAGAAAAAGAGATGAAATACAAATAATTACAAGATATTCAAAGATGTTTTGATGTTTTTGCATGAATATTGTGAAACACTGAAAATTGAACATTGAACTATTATTTTCATGAGTAAATGTTCAATCCGTCACAAGTGCATAATAAAACAAAACCATTAAGACGTATACATATATTTTGAACTATCATTCTTTTTTGTGTAAAGAATTTGTTAAATTTTTTTAAAAATATATTTGTGTGAATATATTTCATCTAACAGGTTTCTTTTTTATACCTGAATCGAAATGATTCAATATTTTCAATTTTTCGGGTAATTTGTATGGCTGGTGTTTGTTCATTGAGTACATTGATCAAGTGTTTACTGGTACCTGGCGGCAGGTTGATTAGATCTTCATCTTTAAGGTATGAGTTTAAATTGGCATTAAAATTTGTACTATTTGTTTTATTGGGATTCGAAGGCTCATTTTGATGATCATTCTGTATATCTGCATTTCGGAACTAATATGAGATGACAAAGAGACATAAATAGAGAGAGAGAGAGGGACAGAGTAGATTAATTGAAGATATAATGCATAACACGAGAATGATTGACGTAGAATACGAGAACACTTGGTTATCGGATAGGAGTGAGGTTAACTTTGATCAGAAATATCGTAGTGAGCATTGAAGTATATCGTGTGGTGATTATACTGCAAGAGAAAATTTCCGGAAAATGTGTGCATTTGTCAACTAGGCGTTGGATTTTTTTTCCCTTCACGTACCCTACCTAGTGGAACATAGGCGGCTTCAAGCTAGTGGCTTGAAGTTTCTGTAGCAGTGGTGACTGTTTTCACAGGATGGGGTTGCTAGCCACCTCATGCCCAACCTTTCCTCTTTACCAGCATTATTTCTGACTTAGTGAGGTAAAGGAGTGCGTCAACCGGGGATCGAACTCCGGAACATACGCATGGTCGACGATCGTCTTAAGCGCTATGCCCCGATGCTGTCATTATTTTTAAGAGATGATTTGTAAGTAGAAGTTAACTGGTGTATGATGTCTAGCAGTGGGATTCACAGTGCGTATTTCGTCCTATTTGGGGCTCATCATTGGATGTAACTGGTTTAGTGGATAACGCTTTGACGTTTCAAACTATGAGCACTGGGTTCGAGCCACGGCAGGAGCATCATCACTCACTGTGAATTGCAGGTAAATCCAGCTAGCTGAAGGGTTCCAAATAGGACGAAATGGGCATCATGGAGCCAAGCATCATCATATTTCATCTGTGTTGACTGAAACACGGGGATTTGCGTGAAAGATTTGATTGTTTAATTAATTAACTAGCTAGCTAGTTACTTGCTCACTTGTACACCTAATTACTTACTTATTTAACATACACAACTACCCAATTAACTACTTATTTACTCCCTTGACTACTTACTTATCTACTTACTCACTCACTTCCCTACTCATTTATCCACTTCTCTAATTACTAAATGAGTCACTTACGTACTTATTAATTAACCAACCTACTTAGTTACGTTCATACTTGCTTAATTGCTTGCCGTCCAAATTATATAATAACCTATTCACTTTATAATATTATAAGTCACCTCTCAACACTAGTATCTACAAAATGTAACCATACCGAATACAGATTGTAGACTTTATTTTTCTCAGAAATATTCACTGTTATATAATGCTGAACGCAAGAAGAATTCAACTACTTCACTAATTAAACTTAAGCATCTACTTTTATAGTTCCTTTCAGTTCTTTGTTGAAACTAATGAATGAAATTCCTCAAATCACCCAATGGATTGTATTTAAATGTTGAGTCTTTGTCCACTAAATTTTAGGTAATACTTATTACTAGTGGATATGATGTCTACTTGGAATTAGGACGCCTTGGTATATGAGGCTAGACGTTGGTGCATTGAAATGCTAGAGAGTAACATTCTTTCTGTCTAGGAAATACCGAAGTATATAAGTGACGAATAAGGAATAGGATAAGCCAAGTGGTCTTGATTCCACTGTACGCTAGTATTCTAGCTACACATTGAGGCCTGACACTTTTGTGCTTTATTTCTGCATCTGTAGCTATCCAACGAAGCTCCACTCGGACACCAGTTCGAGTCCCGGCTATCACACACTTCTTGATAGCTTAGCCGGTTGTTAACTCAAGATAGAGTGAAGGTTGTGCGTGAGGATAAAACCCTCACCTGATAAAAAAGAATATTATCAGAGCTCAAGCGTAAAGCCTTACGCTCCACCCTCAACACAAAGAAATAGAAATAAAAATAAGTAAATAATCCTGAACAGGTACAAAATAATAACTCAGTTGAGTACAATTTCTAGGATTTCATGTGTTGTAGCAGTGAAGCAACAAATATGAAGTTAAACTGAAGTATGATAATCAATATATGCAGGTTTGTGGAAAAAATTCATGGAATAGACTTTTCATGACTAAATTTCACATTATTATGTTTATAAGTATGCTATTTTCATAGCATATTTTATTTTCGGAATGCAATGATTTAAACAAAATGACAAAAGTAATGTCTATGGGACCAAAGAACCCGTTTCAGTAAAACAACAAACCAACAAACAGCGCCTGGTGGTCGGACGGGGGGAACAGGATGATATAGCTGGGCCTAGCTACGAGCGGTACCGACCAAGAACCCGTAAAACAAAGTAATGTCTGTTTAGTGTTTTCTTTAGAACACTGTTTCTTATGGAATACCAGACCAACTCATCTTTGTGTGAAATTTTAGAGTGATGATGAAAATGATGAGTCCCATTTTGTTTTATTATATCAAATTTTTTCTAAACTAGTGAATTTCACAAAAGGATTTTTTAACAAAATCAAGACAACTAGTTAAGCGGAGACACAAACAGTTTTTTACAGTAATATTAACAGTTGAAAACGATTCAAGTACAAATTATTGCTACTCATAATCATATGAAGTCAGTCAATCAATATTTTGCTTCATTGAAATACTTGAGTAGTATTGATGATTGGTCATTTGAAAAAAAAAATCAATAGAAGATGAAGTACGGACTTAAAGACCTACGTAGGATTCTCAACAAAGCAGGAATAAGAGTGACATTAAAACCTAAAAACTCACTCAGATAAGACAATCTCTGTAGTTCAAAGAACCCTGAGGGTTGACCCAATTAAACAAAATAATATAATTTACAAATAACCTTGCAATGACTGTGACTAAAGTCAACTACATAGGTTAAACTAGTAGGCCGAGGTTAGTAAGATTATCAGAACATAAGAATTTACCTAATGGTAGAATGATTGATCCCGAGAAGATAAGCGATTTAGGAAAAAACTGGACAATCGCACTGCATGCATTAACACACAACCACACAATAAAGTGGGTGGGACAAATTTAAAATTCTAAGAAGTATTATAAGGAGGTGCAGAGAGAGACTGATTAGTGAATCATGGTTAATCGAGTCTACACCCAACACAACACATGCAACAGAAGTGACGCAATGCAAATACCACAGATATGAGAGATATTATTACCACCAGTCAGTCAAATCAGAGCAGGATAATAAATAATCTTGAAATTCTAATTAAATTCATGTACATGAAAACATTCTAACAAGTTACTTATTTTGACTATAAAAAGCACTCGTCTTAGTTACTATCTGATTGTACTTGATTGATACCAGTAATATTATTACTATTTCCGAATGTACATTATCTTATCGGCGAGTAGTGCAGTCTTTTCTCCTTCTTACTGATCCGTTCAGACGGGCGGCACACATTCGGCTATCTACTGGGATCCAGTCAAGTAATGTCTTTTCTGCCCTAGTACTCAAAACTATCCCTACGCCAGCTAATCCTCGTGAACTAGCTGTGGCATCTCCTGACACCCTCAAGGTGAGTTTTGCAGATTCATCCTGTTGGCCAGGTGGGGTTAGGTGAATAACCACACTTGGATCTTGTATGCGTGTTTCTGAAACACAGCATACATCAATGGCTCGGGATGCCAGGTCTTAGCTAGTGATGCTTGTTGTCCTATTCGGCAAAGTGTCCTAACATTAAATGCTCCTATATGAAATTGGTGGCGCGGCTTTAAGAGGCTGTCGGTGGTGGTTTTTTGGCTTCCATCGTTTTTAGTGGACGCAGAGTGGAGAGGAAGTGGAGAGCTATCAAGTCGAGGAGTTGCATCAGTGGAAGGAAGGCAAGATGATAGAGATGAAGATGAAGACAAAGATGAGTGAGTAGTAGAGAGGTTTCGTGTGCATTTCGGATTGTGAGGGCGATTGTTACTTCCCGGCTGCCCACACCGTGGAAGTTGGTTGCGTGATCGCAGAGCCCAGGGGACAACTGCTTGAGGCCGGTCACACGCGGCCTGTTTTTGTTCGTTCTTTTTTGTTTGGTGTGTCTCAGTAGCAGATTTATCACTCCTGCCCTGTGACACGGCAGCAGGAAGCGCGGTCGTTGTCAATCCGGGCCACGGCCGATCCGGAATGAAATTTTGTATTTATTTTTCATGATGTTGGATTGGGTAGCTGCTTTTTGTTTAACCGCTATCCAAGCAACCTGCCTGGCATGGTAGTACCTCAAGAGACATAAGTCTCAGCCAGTATAGCTTGAATAGATCATTGCGGTGTTCAAGCCCGACTACCACGTCAAGGTAGCAGCTTCCTTTGTCTCACACCTCTGCTCACTGTTTCTATTATGCTTTTCTTGTACTTTCTTCTTGCTTCGCGTGCTACACGGAATGTGGCGACTTGAACTTCCGCACATTTGTGCAAAGTTCTATGTCGAAAACAGCAGACAGACAGACACATTATCTTATATTGATTTTTATTCCAATGTTAATCATCGATTTTTACTCATGTAGATGGATGAATCAAGACAGTTGTGTGAGTAGTACCTTGATATGCTTATAAACAGTCAAAAATTGTGCTCAAAACGTGTTCACCATAAATATTACTTTACAACACTTTGTGCTTTATCAAAATAAAAAATCTATCTATCATGGAGTTATAGTTATAGTTAGTTACATAAAACTCTCATTTCTCTGGTGTTTGTGATCAAGAAGTTTTGGAAACTATTGCAATCCGTTTACTTTCGAACACTAAACCTGTGGATATAATCTTGTTGACTACTAATACCTTTAACTAACTGTTTAGCATGTTGTGACTTTTTATTAACACTGACTCACATCTGTAATTGTATATATTGTTGGGTTTGTATGTTCAAGTTGGCCCAAGTCAGTGAGTCTGTGGTTTTGGTATCATTTTAGTTAACTGTGCTTAACTGTATTGCATGTTGTTGTCGCTTGTTGCCCTTTTTCCTGTGAATTATTCTCCTTCTGCTAGTGTTGTTCTGATTGTTTTATTCCTTGTATTCCGGTTATAAGAGGAGCAACCCACAAAGTTGCTGCTACTCTCTAAACTTTATCTTAATGTAACAATTCCTTTCTCAGGCGTGAGGCTAGCAACTCCATCCTGTAAACAAAGTTGCTACAGAAACTTCAGCGCTATGAATCTCTTTGCGCCAAAAGAAAAAGTCTGTGTGGGGACATGAGACGTCCGCACCATGTACGAGATTGGCAAAGCTGCCCAGATCGCAAACGAGATGAAAAGATACGGAATCCAAGTGATGGGAATATGTGAAAGCAGATGAAAGCATCGTTTCCACTACAGGCGGAACTGATGAGGACATCAAAGCAAGAATCGGAAGAGCAAGACAAGCTTTTATTACACTTAAGTCTGTGTGGAGGTCAACACTCAGCATCAAAAATAAGATCCGGATTTTCAACTCCAATGTGAAGTCAGTGCTACTATACGGATCAGAGACTTGGCCAGCAACAAACTACAGACCTTCATTAACAGTTGTATTCGCTCAAAACTCAAAATTGGATGGCCAGAAAAGATCAGCAATAGGGAGCGAACCAACCAGGAACTGACTGTTAAACAAATAGGCAGAAAGAAATGTAAATGCATTGGCCATACTTTGAGGACACCATCAAGTGACATCACTAGACAAACCATTGCTCGAGTGGAACCCGAAAGGGAAGCGGTGAGTTGGTCGTCGCACGGTGGGGTGACTTGGAGGAGGTCATGTGAAGAGGAGATGAAAGCATGTGGGCAGGCCTGGAGTGGGGTGAAAAGGTTGGTAGAAAACAGAAGGCAATGGAGACGCATGGCTGAAACCCTATGTTCCTCTAGGAATTAAAGGATATAATAATATATGAAATAATAATAACAGAGTGTACAAGTTTTATCCTTATATCAAATGTGAATATAACTCACATCAATGAATATGGATATTTGTTTGCTGGGGTTTAAATAATTCCTATAGAAATAATCCAGTAGTTTCTCTCGACTGACCTCTTTCTTGAAAAGATCCTTTAAAGTACAAAAGGGGAAAGAAAAACAACAGTAAACACGGGTAAATGTCTTCACTGTGTTATGAAGAGATTAGAGTAGAGACAATTTAAATAAACTTACTTAATAGTTTGTTCTGACTGTATATTCACTGGCGTTCAGTATATCAGGAGTTCGCCGGCATAAGTGTCCATTATGTATCATTCCATAAAGGATTTATTGTCCTTTTTATTTCAATCCTTTATGGTCTATGTGGAGCATATGGCTTCAAGATTCGTTACTGAAGTCTGAGGAGCACTGGTATTTTAGAAGTGAGGTTGTTATCCTCATGCCCATCCTTCCTCCCTTTTTCCCAGGCTTACTACCAATTAAGTGAGGTCAGGTTATAGAGTGTATTGACCCGTAGAATGAATCCCGAACTGTGTGCGTGACTGGGGAAGTATTCTATCACTGACCATATAATTAGTCAAAACAGACAAAGGTCTTAGATATTCCCGATGGCTAGGTAGTACACTCATCACTTAGATACCATATAATCAGCGTTGTTTATTTGTGTTATAAATCTGCTTTGTGGTAGTAGTCCATTATTGAAATCATAGTCTTGTATTGATTCGGAGCTCTTAGATCTAGGGCTCGACTGCAAACCACTGGATAGAAGTGAAGTAAGCACCTGTTGACTATCACTTAGCTCTTTTGTGTACACCTTCATCTCTTCGATTAAACTACTTATGTCAACCGATCGTGCATTTATATTCCCTAATGTCACAACAATGGTTTGAAATTTAACTGATGGATGGTGACTAGCAGTGCAATCAAGGATGCGCGTTTCGTCCTATTTAGGACCCATTCGCCAGTGGATGTGCATGAATTTCTCAGTGAGTGATTATGTTTCCACCAAGGCTCGAACCCACTGCCCATAAAATTCAATCAAATAAATATGACCTGTTGCACAAGAGGCGGCTTCTGTGGCCTAAGTGGTCTAGTGGATAATACTTTGGCGTTTGAAACTATGGGCGCTGGGTTCGTGCCTCGGTGTGATCATCATCACTCACTGAGAAATCCAGGTATATCCACTGGCTGATGAGTCCCGAATAGGCCGAAATTCGCATTAAGCTGGATTCCATTGGTAGTCACCACCCACCAAATGAATTCTAACTACGTGCTGAGACATCGTCGAAGCATCTAGACAAGAAGTTGGCATGTCAACCTGAGACCGAGCACTTTAGTCCAATCAATCCACGGGAAAATTTAAAATTCAATTAAATGTTTTGAAATCCCTGGAAACGTGTAGTGTTCAGTGAACCACTTTGTATAAAATGATAAACCAGTAATCTGTGAAACTCTATATTTGTTTAAACAGCAATAGAAATCCTAAAGCTTGAAGCACATTCACAAATAACTAACCTTTTCATTCCTTCCATCGAATGTCTCATTTTTATTTAGAATTTTATTCCAGTAGAATTGAGACAACTGTTTGACATCACTGCTATCGATGGCATCATTTGAATTTATTGTGTCATACTAAAATGCAAAAGATAAGTTGAAATGAAGGATTGCTGAAAGCACAGTTTTTTGTACAAATAGAGCTATAAGTAGGCATTGGTTAGACCTCTGGTTTACAAAGCCAGGAAATATTTTTTGAGTGAAATAAGTAATTCCAACGTTTGGTTTGACAAAGTAGTCCAAATTTCTTCAAAAAAACTGACTGAAATTCGAATAATAATTAGGAATATATATATTTATATAAAGAACATTCCTGGCAATTCTTTGCATCTCCATCGACACAAACCATTGAATGACATTCAGACCTTTACCCCAACTTCCTCCATCGACTTCGAAAAGGATTTCAACAGACAGCGTTGACTAGGGAGTAATTTACAAAATGCTTCGACACTGCAGCGAGTAGTGCTCAAGTCTTTATCAACCTCATTCAACAGCTGGCTATATACTTGTGCTTTGTGTTAGGTGATCCACAACGGAAAGTTCAGCGAGTCATTCCGAGTGAATAAGAGAGTAAAGGTAACGTTGGCTTCCGATTATCCTCCACGATGATATTCCTAACTGTGCTGCACAGCTAAGGAGTGAGAAGACAGAAATTCATTGGAACACCGATAAGAAGATTCTAGGAGATCTGGATTTTGTGTGTGTGAATGATTTGTGTTCAAAGTCACACAAACTGGAAGGCGAAAACCAAAAAAAAACTGGCACTGAAGAGAGGACTCCAAGTGAACCAACGGATCAAACAAGCAACAGCAGTAGCAACCAGCACCAATCATCATCTACAGGAGAGATTTGTCAGAGGTAACCTCCTTAACATATCCAGTTTGGAAGCAGGGTTACAACTACAGGTAGTCGGAATGGATGAAGATGCAAAGCCAGCTAGCAAGAATCGGAAAGACAAGATACGGCTTCATCAATCTGAAACTAGTTTGAAAATGTTCTGTACAGTCTCGATATAAGGCACAAGATTGAGATTTTCAACAAAAGTGTGAATTCAATCAGTCAGTCACTTATTGAATAGGGGTCACAAACTTGAACAGAATGCCACGAAAAGGATTTCCTACAAGCCACTGAAGACATTCATCAGCTGGATGTTAAAGATCAAATGGCCGACCTACCGATAGACTAGAATGAATTAGCAACAATAAACTTTGCGGTGAACAAACCAACTGGTGGTAGCTGACTGTTGAAAAAAAATGTAGGTGAAGGTGGAGATGTATCCGTCGGGCATACGTTGAGCGGACCGTCGAATGACATCGCAAACCAGGCAGGCTATCTCTTGAGTGGAATGCGAATGGAAAGTGACGAGTGGTCGGTCGGTACTAGGATGGCATGACAGACTCCGTATGGCGAAGAGGATATTGAAAGATTTATGCAATGGTGAAGGTAGCCAGTTGGAAAGGAAAGCAGAGGTTCTCTCACCGATGTGAGCTCATGATGAAGTCCTGTAACTAATCAATGAAATCTCCACAAACCAATACATGAAAATCAATGGGATGCTTACTAGCGACTGGTCCTCTTCAGGCAGGTAGTTACCTAGGGTTCTAGTGAGAATTATTGAGCAGTAGGGTGCAGGAGATTGGGTGTGAGGAAAAATACTCACCGAAGACATTAACTAGTGGTTGCGCTATGTCATGAATTGGCAGAAGTTGGAATTCATGGGCCATTAGATCAGATCCCTGTGGCTTGATGGTCTATGAGCTCATTTTGTATCCAGAATGTTGTAGGTCCAAATTCTAGGAGTTGTTGCGTACTTATGAAGAGTCCTAAACTAGACTGATGAAAGAGCTATCCAGTACTCCAGCTAGTTTTCCAATGGTTCTCTAACCAATGTCAGCTCATGATGAAATCCTGTAACCAATCAATCAAATCCCCACAAACTATTACTTGACAATTAAAAATTGTGTTTGGTTATTTATTTTGTTGCACAGTAAGCAATTTGTTCCTGAGATATATTCGTACTGTACAAGTGCTAGACAGCAGTGATCAAGTAATTCTTCATTTTTGAAACAAATTCTTATTGTTGTTGAATAGTACCACAGATTCTATCAAATTGTTGTTATTCCCTTGGCTTCCGAGTGGAACATAAGGCTTCAACAATACAGCTCCACTTTGTCCTATCTTCTGTCGTACTCTTCAGCCCAGACCCCTGTTGCCCACAGTCTTTCATCTCCTCCTCCGACTCACACGTTCTCTTTTCCATGTCACTCTCAACACCTACGAATCACTCGTCGCATGCCACTGGGATTCCAACCGAGGGTCTGGCGCGTGATGTTATTCAACGGCCTCTTTGATGTATGCCCAATCCATCTCTATTTTCTCCTACATTTTTATTGAGCGACTGATTCTTGGTTCATTTCTTCCCACAGTTCCTTGTTTCTTATTCTTTCCTGCCATTTGATCCTGAGTATGGTGCGAAGGTAGGTGCTGATGAAAGCCTGCAACCTTTTGGACGTCCATCATTTTAGCTTATGATTTCGGTATCTCTGCAGTATAGTTCTGGAGCATACCTTACTCGCAGGAATTCAATGAAACATGTAGAATAAGACATATCCTTTGATAACCCTCGTCGAGACGCAAAATACTATAGTTTTGGTGAAAACAAAAATAGTCTAATTGAACCGATGTTGATTCGTCGTAGATTAAGTGATCTTTTCAGAAAATTCATGCATTTTTTCCACTTGATGAAACTGAATAAAGCAAGAAAAACAGTGGTTTGTGCGGAATAATGTCGTACCATCACTGTTTATTTCATTCGCTCCTCACTAGCTGCTTTAAGCCTAAATAAATTATGAGGTTTATGCACAGAAAAGTTTTAGATTATTTGGAAATCCTTCATGGTGGCAGTTAGAAACGTTAACAGTGGGATATTCAGGCTCATTGTCATGTATCTAGTCCGTTGGTGTCAGTAATGCGACTGATGAAATTCAGTCAAGATCAACACTTATTGCCTTAAGCTTCCATGGGAAACATATTGCTTCAGCAGCACATGTCTTCTTCCACCTGTTCTCTGGAGACACCTTCAGCTAACTATAGGACTGTTCATATGCATTCATTTCCTCCGCACATGATCTCTTCAATGTCACCATGGACCTAAGCGCATTTCATCGCTTCGCACTCAGGTTCAACTTGACAAGCTGGAGCACTAAATTACTCAACAATCTCCCTAAAGTACATTCAATCCATCTCAATTCTCTTCTACTTATTTCTTGGTTGACAAGTTGATAGGTTCTTGTGTGAAACAAAAGCAGCCTATGATGATGCACCACACCATATATCAAATCACTGACTGACTTTAGTGTTGAATTTTCGGATCAGTATCTTCTTCCTGTGATCACTGTCAGAGAGTTCCATATTGGCCCCAAAGCAATGAAATTCCGTCTTGCTTCTCTGACTTCGGACTTGACTTCTTCATCCGTAGCAGTTACAAATGACTTCCTGGTTGACACTGTCGGAAACCTTTTCAAAGTGGATGGAGTTGGACTAGAGATTTGACTACTATTCTATTCTCTGTTCAATGATGACGCATACTTTTGCTAATATTTATCTAAAGCATATACCGATCAGTGATTGTTCTTATCCTGTAAATTGCCTTCTTGTTTCCCCATTGGTTAACTGTGGCAAAAGGATAATTCTATTATTTTGGTGAAGTTTTAAAACTGGGCGCTTTTCATACAGTTGAAAATATCATTCAGAGTCGACAGTATTACCCATGCAGACTCCAACAAGCCTAGTTTTGTTAATTTAGAAGATAACCAGATGCTGTCACACCAAGATTTCATCGAAGTTCCTGTACCAGGAGACAATATATATATTGGTAGATACTGCAAGTTGTGATTTAATACAAAAATAACTCACATAAGTAATAATCGAGTTAAACTTACAATTTGTTCAATAGCTTTGTGTTCAGCGCATGCAATCACCCTGGTGGCAATCTGTTGCCAAAATATATTCACACAACTGATTAGATAGTCTGAATCATGTTTCACCGACTGACTCATAAGGCATAATCGTGTCCCAATGACTTGTTCTGCTGAAGTTGAAATTAATTTGTACAAGTCTAATATCACTTGACCATTCAATGATTCATAGTGTTGAAAATATTGTTGTGCATGTGTTTTAACTAATGCCTGTGAACAATAAATAAAGAAAATCTTAGATGTAAGTAGTACTCAGGTTTTTATTGTAATGAAGTCAGCACTGAAGATGTTGTCTCCTATGACAATGAAACTTCAGTGATTAAATCATTTTAGCTTAGATGACATAAAAACGTTAAATAAATATAAGTTTAGAAGTTGATTAGCTGATGAAAACTAACAGTGGAATCCAGAAGAGCTCGCATTTTGTCCTATTCGGGACTCGTCAGCTAGCTGGATGTACGTGTATTCCTCAATCAGTAATGATGTTCCCACCGAGGCTAGAACCGAGTGCCCATTGTTTCACTGCTAGTCACCATCCACCAGTTAAGTTCGAATTACATGCCCAGACACCGGTGTAAGCCTCAACAACAATACTGTAAAGGCAAATTAAATTCAAGCCAATGTACTTATAAACTGCTTTCCTCTAATCGGTAGTAAGGCGAAAAAGAGGGTATGACACTACTGGAAGCACTCACAACTTAAGAAATGATAAAAAGTGGACGTCAGTTCAGGGGATATTCTTTTCAGATATTTATATTTTAAAGGAATAAAGAGCAATCTTTGAAATGAAATGACACTGAAAATATCTGGTCTCTCAACTGCTGTTATAGAGATACATACATTGTTTCAATAAATTGATAATTCTCATTGTAGCATTAGGAACACAATATTCAGTGAAGAGACTCTTTTCAACAACGAATTTATTATCAAGCTGTAAAATCGTATGTATGTGCACGGTTTTTAAGAAATTATATCCGGTGAGGGAATTAAGGTCAAAGATGTGAATATATGAAATAATAATAGTAATATTAGTATGAAATGCAATTAAAATATTTGTGATTATAATCATAGTTAAGTGTCAAGTAGCAAAACAATTAATGTCGAACACAGAATAATACATAAGGTGTATAGATGTTGGACAGGGGTACATTATTATAGGATTAGTAGACGAATATAAAATGTTACATAACATGGTGTGAAGTTTGATAAGATAGAATTCAATATTTGAAAAATAAAAATATAAAAATTAATAATTTTGGGTTTCGAATGACAAGTGGGTCAAGTGGAAGAGTGAGGGTAGTAATAATAAGGCCTCAACTGACTTTAGAAGTCTGTAACGAAGAAAACGCGGGAAGTTAGCATGGATTCTATATATGATGATCTTGAAATCATTGTCAGAGTTGACAGAGTGACAGAAGTCGACTTCTAAAGACAGCTGGGGCCTTGGCAATTCATGACTTTAAGCCAGACTATTGTGTACAAAAGAAGTAGGTACAATCCCTACTTCTGCCTTGGTCGTAGAGGGATAGACATTTATTTATTTTGTTTATTTAGTTATTCTATGTACCTTTCCCTTATTACTACGATTATTATCATTATTACTATTCTCACTCTGAATCTTTTCCACTTGACCCACTTGTCATTCTAAACCCAAAATTATTAATTTTTATATTTTTATTTTTACAATACTGAATTCTCTCTTATCAGATTTCACACAATGTTATGTAACATTTTATATTCGTCTACTAATCTTATAATTGTGCACCCCTTTCCAACATCTATACACTTTATGTATTATTCTATATGTGACATTAATTATTTTACCACTTGACATTAAACTATGATTATTATCACAAATATTTTATTTGCATTTCATACTACCTTTGACCTAATTCCCTCACCGGATATAATTTCTTAAAAACCGTACACATATATACAATTGTACAGCTTGATAATGAATTCGTTGTTGAAAAGAGTCTGTTCGCTGAATATTAGGTTCTTAACACCTACATTAGTGGGCTCTTCAGGGACTATGTTACTTGTGCTCGTATACACCTGGCAGTGTGACTTAAAAAACCTTTTAATAGTTAGATATTCAACTGCCTGGTTCGAACAAGCCCCAAAACTCAGAATTTTGAGGCATCATTTATCAAATACCTGATAAACTGTTGAAGGCCTCTAGGTACTGACAGCAAAAAGTATTGCAATTCGCTCAAGAAAAACGTAGTTCCATGTCCAAGAGAAACGCAACTAGTCAATATTGCCACCCTGACCTCATGGGAGGTATACCATGCTATGGCTACATTCGGCTTTCTTGTAATCTAATCGTTGCTGATCTGCCGGGGCTTGATAACTGGTTATATGTTGTATACCCTTCGCAGGTAGCTTAACATAATGAGCTTCGGTAATAACTTACCTCGTCGCTAACAAAATTTTTTTCATAAAACGTGTGAAATGCAACAAAGGCCCCGACTGCAAACCTCTACTGAATTCTCTGAATAATTCACTTTGAACAGTTAAGGTTACAGCCATATCGTGGCATAACTCCATTAAGGGGTATGCACTTTTATTTTGTTGCTGAAAGTTACAAATACTGTACTGTCGCAATTGTTATAATTGCATGGAGGATTTAATCATGAGCTGACATCAGTTAGAGAACCACTGGAAAACCTGGGAGTGCTAGACAGCTGTTTCGTCCTAGTTTGTGACTCCTCATCAGTACGCACCCACCAGGATTCCAACCCAGGACCTTCTGGTTACAAGGCGAGCTCATAGACCATTGAGCCACTGGGGCCCGATACAATGGTCCTTGAATTCTAACTTCTGCCAGTTCACGACATAGCGCGACCACTTCGCAATGTCCTCTTCGATGAGTTACTGCCTCATCTTCAACCTGCTGTACCCTACTGGTCACGGCCTCCCACTAGAACCCCAGGTTAACTGCCTGAATAGGGCCAGTCACTAGTGAGCACAGATTAATTTTCAAGTATTGGTTTTTATAGGGATTTTGTTTGATTGCATGGAGGATTTAATCATGAGCTGACATCAGTTAGAGAACCACTGGTTCTCTCCCAGTGGTTCTCTAACTGATGTCAGCTCATGATTAAATCCTCCATGCAATCAAACAAAATCCCTATAAAAACCAATACTTGACAATTGTTATAAGCTTTTTTCTTGTTTATTTAGCAGTTCTGCTTATCTTATCGTTAGTGAATAGCGTCTTATAAAACCGCAAGAGGCACATATGAGGAGATCAAAGCTAGTCAGGATCGAAGAAGTACAATAAAACCTTCATTACACTGAGATTAATGTGGAAATTGTCTACAGTCAGCATAAAGAATAATATTAGGATTTTCAACACTATTGTGAAGTCTGTCAGTGATCTTATATGTTTAAGAGAATTGATGTAACGTGAAACAGACTTCCATCAGCAGTTGGCTTCGCTTGACCCTTTCTAAAATGTTAGATGGCTTGCTAGAAGTGGTTAGTAAATCAAAGATTTTCAGGAAGGAACCGAACCAGAAACCGTATCCGAATAAGTAATGCCGAAAGAAAAGCAAATGGATTGGACACACGCTGAAGAGATTGTTGCGTGAAATTTGCGTAATACAGGCTGTCGATTATGACGCTAGTGGGAAAATGTTGAGTTCTGCATGGATACGACGGTGACATGGAGGAGACCATGTGGCGTCGGCGAAATAAAAGCTTGTGATTAAGTGAGAAGTCAGCTGAAGGGAACGAAAGAGAACATAGGAAATGAAGATAACCTTACAATCTTACGGAATAATAATAACAACACAATTCTTGTTGTTTTTAGTATCCTTATTGAATAATAAAAAAAGCCACTTGTAATCTGCTCACAGCTGATTCTCATTTATTCGTATGACATCAGAATGTTGACTTAACACCCATGTGTCTGGAAAATACCACAAACTAATGGACAGTGGAGCATTTGTGACACATTGTCAGGATTGTAACACGCTGACATCTAAACCTGAAGCCTATAAGATGTGAACTATTGACGAGTTCTCAAGTAGGGTAAAACACCTATCCAAAACTCCTGGTTTTCAGCATTTTGTTTCTGTAATATAGTCTGGAAATCAATGTAATAGTTATTCAATAGAGTAAGAACACCAGGATCACATGTTCACTCACTATGATTATTTTACAATAGATTTCGTCAAGTGGTGAAGTATTCTCAATCCTCTGATATTGTACAAGCTGATAGTATTTCCCAGGGATTGATGCATTTGTCACAGAATGATAATATGTGCCAGGACGTAGGGGAATATTATCAATCTATAAAATAATAAAAATATATATAAAAATGTACTTCCCGCACAGTGAACAATCTTCAAGGAGATTAATTATTCACTAAATATGAATACAATAATTTATTAAGTTTCATAATGAAAAAAGGAATTCATCATGGGAGGCTTAATGTTATGCAAATTGATTTTTTTAAAACATATACAGGTGGTTTAAACTGTGTCATCCATTCCTTCGTATCACCGCATACAGACAATCACGGACATCAATTCGACTGGGACAACGTTGAAATGTTAGACAGAGGAAACACGGGAGTGTTAAAGAATTTTAAGAAGTCTGGTATTCCACTTAGTCGTCAATCAATAGACACATCCACATAGACAAAATTTACCAATTGATAAGAAGGAAATCACACACACACAAAGGGTCAAAGTTCAAGCCAAGGAAACAATCATTTATGATACGGATAGTCTAAAGGGTTTGAAAGCACACAAAAACAACCAGTCATGTTCAAGACCACTCAGAGAGATGACTAACTAACTTGTGGAGAAATCTAAAAGCTAACTTTAATTCAAAGTTAAGTATCCCTGAAGATGTTGCTTGGTAGGGTAATGAAAACTTTGCAAATAACCCATCCACCCAGCTCAAAGAACACAACTTTATAAAAAAATACTTTCACAAAGTCAGTGCTTTCACAAAACTTTTGAATAAGCCTGAGAAATATCTAAAAGACAGATTCAACAGACATATGAATTTGAATTTATGGCTTATCAGTATAAAATATTTTCCATAGAAGAGTTTGGCTGTCTTTTTTATTGTTGGTAGTTGTGGGGAATTGATATGCTTCTGAAGATATTTAAAGATATTCCGTTAGTTCTTTCCATATGTAGAGATCAGTGAGTCTTCCACGTGTATGCATGATCACATTCGTGTTTAAATTTATACATGTGGTGGAGTGTGAGATCCTTTCACATACATCTTCACGACTTAAATATCTTCACTTGTCCAGATGTTTACCTGACTGCTGCGTTCAATCTCTGTCTAAATTTAAAACCTTTATGGTCAGTAATGTAACGGGAGCTTGATATAAACAGTTTTTTTTGTCTAAAATTTGAAGAATTAATCAATAAGTTCTAGCCACTTTACCCCTCTTTATGAACTTCTATAGGTAGCTATTTTCAACCAGATTTACCTGTCGATATTATTTCTTTACCTTCATGAGTGTTTTCTCCGCATATTCCTCGGATACGCATTAGGGATCTTTTGTACAAAACAGGGAAGAAACTGTGGCAGTTAAGATAGTATCCTGTCCATGTAAGTTTTCTTTAAATAGAGCATTTCAGATTATATCTGTAGATAAACTATCGATGCACTACATACAGCTATCTATTTGAAGTTCGATCACAGAATAATATCAGTTGAAGAACCGCTGAAGGGCAGCGGGAAGTACTGAACGGGTGTTCCTTCCTAGATGGGGACTCTAGCAGCTTCCATTAATTATTATTCCGAGGACTGAACCCAGGGCTTTCGGTTAACTAGGTCAGTCTAGTTAGACATTCATCCAATTGGACCAGAGTTCAGTGACAGCTCCATCAATTCTTATTGCTTTCAATTAGCTATTTAAGAGCGACTGTCAACCGAAGTTATAGGTGACGATTTCTCCTAACATTAAACCGTTTGGGTTTCACTAGAATCTCGGTCAGCTTCGTTCTGCAGTTAATCACTCGGCCATATGATATAATCCAAATGGATGAATGTTTACTGAGATTAGTCCCGGCTTCGGTTCCTTGGGGTGGAACACTGAGTGTGTGCTGATGAAGTGGCCCAAGGAATGACAAAACAACTGCGTGGAACTCCTGCCACATGGTATCAACAGCTTCCTAACTGATATCAGTCCATGGTCAAACCTGAGATAAGTCAAATACCTATTTTATTCCCTTACGTTCCCAGGGGAATTTCCAAGCTAGAGGCTTGAAGTTTCGCTGACAGTGTTCATTTTTGCAGTATGAGGTTGCTAGCCTCATGCCCAACCTCTCCGCTTTACCAGCTTTATTTCTGGCTTATATATATACATATATACTTATGTATGTGAAGGATAAACTGCCGCTTTGAGTCATTTCAATGTGTGTTTATAAATTCACATGCTTGTGTGGGGCTAGTTATATTGGCCATAAAAAGCGCACACTTTTCAAGCACATCTCTCAACATTATCCACCATGGTTAGCTAAACGAGAATGCAAGACAGTTAACAGCTCAATTCTCCAGAACTTGGTGAACTCAGGTCACGTAGCCTCACCAGAGTTGTCGTTCAAGATTTTTCTACAAGGTGAGACCAAGTGGTACAAAGCGCGTGAGGTTTTTTACATTTGTGTATGGTAAATGCGCTAGCGGTTCGTCAATACAACCTAGAACACTGGATACTGAAGAAGTCTCTTATTCCACCATGTTCTTAACCTCTTCACCAGTCATTCTCTGTAGAACGAGTTAATTTTTTAACTCTTAATTTTATTTTCTGTTTGATGTTATTTTATTAATCAGCTCAATATTTTCACATTCATATGTTCGTTTTATACATTTTCCCATCCTTTTCATATTTTTTAAATTGACACTGAAATATCTTCATTCTCACTCAATAGCAATTTCAACATTTTCAAACGTCTAACGCTTTCTTCCTTTGTGCCGTTGAGTAAAAAGTAATTTGCAACTTTTTTTGTCTTCGTCTAAAGCCACTTCTGAGTAATTATTATATCAATTATGGGACTCCGCCCCCCCCGTATTACTCAATAATAATAGACTGCTATACATTTTTCGCAAATAGAAATACTGCTGTACAGCATTTGAAGATGATTTTATCGATAAAGAAAACTTTCGAAGCTGAATTTGTCTTTTAAATGTATAAGTCAATTTTGATTTTCTCGTTGATTGATCGGACGGAAATGTTAGGCGTGTATTGACACTTGGTAACACTTGGACACTTTTGAATTGCTTGTACTATAAAGGGAAGTCTTCCACTTCATTGCCTACTGAAGCTGGTGTCCCTCAAGGTGCTGTTCTTTCTCCTTTTCTTTTTTCTTTCTTCTTGCATGACTTGCCTCACTCTGATGAAATAAACTTTGTGAAGTAAGCTGATGATTTAACGGTTTCAATGGCTGTTAACTCCCAGCTAGATTGTACTAAAATAAATAGCTTTCTATCGGAAGTCAGCAAATGGTCTGAGTCTAACGGTCTTAAACTGAATCCTTCTAAGTGTCAAACTGTTGATTTCAGCTTAAGATGTAAACGACAGTTAAAAGAAGTCATCGATTCTCATGACAGTTGTAAAATTGACGACAATGATATAGGAATCAAATCAGAAATTAAGTATCTTGGACTCATTCTCTCTTCTGATCTCTCCTGGTCTTCCCATGTCTTAGCAATCTCCAGTAAAATATTCCGCCTGACATTTTACATTAAGAAGTTAAGACACTCGGGTATAACTCAACCCCCCTCTTACAGTTCATAAACTCTTGCATCCTACCTATTCTTCTTTATTGCTCACCCTTATTCTTTCCTGGTTTGCTTAAAAAAGACTATGTCACAATTCGTAGAATACTGAAGACTGTCAGTAGAGTGAGTGGTGTCCCAGTGGACCACATAGTTAACGTCGTTGTCGATAGGCATTTGACTTCATGCAATAAATTTGCTAAAGGGATTTTGTCTGACTTGGAGCATCCGCTTTACCCTCAGCTTTCACCTTGCATCTCCTCAGGTAGAACAAGGAGTAACTTCAGAAAACTGTATGCTCGCACGTCTAAGTATAAAAATTCTATGATACCATACTTGGCACGTATTTTATGTGATGAAAATAGTGTCAGGCAAGAATTAACTAACCTTTTTTCATCTAGTAAATAAACAATTTCCTCCATCCATCCTTATAAACCTTCAAGTTTTACTTTTATTACTTCTATTATATTTATGGTCCTGTTACTTCTCTGTTTTACTCTCATAATTGCAAACACCAACTTATCTCCATGACGGCTGTAATCTTTGTTTTTCCCCTCACCATATCATGTAAAGAGAACATTATATTCAATATTTTTAAACATGTTAGGATTTCTATACCACATTGACAATACTGTGTGAAACAAGCCAACGGCAATTTTCACTTGTATTCTTATTATTATTACCCTAGCTGTTATCATTATTATTGCTATTTCCATTTTATATGCTGCATGTTTTTGACACTACCTCTATTGTAAATGTGGAAAATTTTCTGTGTGATTAATTTTATTTATAATTTGAGGAAATTAGATGCAATATTGTGATTAATGCTGAAAATTCCATTCTGTATCACAAGTACTGTTTTTGGAATAAAGTAAATCATTATTATTACTAAGAGACGACATGTCAGCAGAGGCAGAAAATGTCTGCCGAAACTAGTCAATACAAAAATCAAAATTGACTTCAACCTATAATAATAATAATAACTAATGCCTATTTCTCACTGGAGGTTGATATCATGGCCATAGTGGTCTAGTGAATAACCGTTTGGCGTATTGAACAGTTGGTAATTGGTCTATGTTTCAGTGAGAACACACTCACTCACTCACTCACTAAAGATTACAGTTAAATTAAACTGACAAACCATACACTGAACGAAATTACCATCATGGGTACCAGTGAAAGTCACTATCTAACCAATGACTTCATGTTTGCAAGACAATATGTTCTACGTGTGAAGTTCTTATTTATAAATCTAAATATTTTTATAAAATCTTAATGCCTATTATATTATCTGAGTTGATCCATTCAACAGCCTACCCTACCTAGCTCCATACTGAAGATGAGATATTCGGAAACGATTTAGCAACAATTAACTTTGCCTGACAATGAATCAACCATAGCCGACAAATCTACCGAGGAAAGTGAAGATGCATTAAATTAACGCTGAGAATACCATACCATACCGATATCGCCCGTTTGCTCAGGACATCGGCTAATTGGAATTAAAACGGGGAACGAGATGTTTTGCGTGGATGCATGAGTAAAATGAAGGAGATAGTGTGAAGAGAAGATGTACACCTGAAGGCAGTCATCAATCCAGGTGAAAAGTACAGGAAAAAAGGAGGATTAAATGGAGATGTACTTCTCTGAAGCCTTATGTTTGACTCAGAACTCAAGAAAATTATGAGAATAACAATAAAAAATGTGGTGAAATTATACACTTACGATTTTAGCTTGGTCAGAATTTGGATAACACTTGAAATATTCAACGGTGAAGGTGAATAAATCCTTAGCTAACTAAAACAAAAAAAGGAATGAAGATAGATAAAATGCAGAATACTTAAATTATAAAAATGTTAGATGGCTTAATAGTTTACGGGCTCGCTAGCCTTGTAACCAGAAGGTCCTGGGTTCGAACCCCGGTTGGAGCGTACTGATAAAGAGTCCCAAACTAGGACGAAACAGATGTACAGTACTTCCTTTGGCGGATTTTCCAATAGTTCTTTAACTGATGTCAGCACATGATGAACTCCTTCAATCGCAAGCAGAGATATAACGTAGAAAGTCAAGTGACAATGTGAGAGATTAAATGCATCTGTATCATTAACAACACTTTTTTGCTCTATCATCAATATTCTCAAGCTTATTTGAATCCTAGCATTTTGATGACCTCAGCCAGGTAGCCTACACCTTAAAACGTGGCTGGCTCAAACCAACTATCAAAAGCTTCATGGATTGGTGCGAAGTTTTGGTTTGACCATCTCTAATTATTCTCTTAGACAATCCAATGTCAGTTAACTCCGATCGTTCGAGGAAGGCGATGGCTGAGCATGCGCAACACATCCACGAATGAACAGCATCAGAAGAGAAGAACTTTGTATTCAATCAATATTATTAGTTAGTAGTACTATGCTAGTCTGAATACCGTACAGTGTACCGTTTATAAACTTTGTCTCTTGAAAACAGTCTCACCCGAAGAAATTATAATCTCACTTGCAGTGGTCTGTAAGTTACAAAATAAATCTGACCATGTGAATGAATCGACTAGCGAAAGAAAGTCGAAGCCTTTCAGGAAATACTCGTTATCACATTATTATCACTTAATACATCTAAGACTGTATTCTTTAATCACAGTTTATACTTTGGAAGAGAACTGAACCATAAATCTTCATCAGTAATTTTTCATTTGATCACTGACAGCCTGTACACCGATTTAGCTAACAGCAGCTACAATTGTATGTAGATGCTTACGTGTATTTGAGGTTCGATTCTCTGAACATGTACCAAAAACCTTGTGATTTAATGAAGCCAGTAATTTCAGAAGTGGGCATTATGTTGTCATGGGTCATGTGGTGTAATTAATGTAACCCTTTACCACTAATAATGAACAATAATATTCGATTCTCATCAAGTCTAACTAAGCTCAGACAGAAGCAGTTATCAGTCTTTCCTCGCTGTGGCAACTTGATATCTTTAGCCATCTACCATTTTATTTGATTACGTAGCATTTGACTGTGATTTCCCTCCCCGTATTTTCGATATACTAGGTACATTATCACTCACTGCGGAATGCAGGTACATGCAGTTGACTAGTCCCAAATGGGACGAAATGCACATCCTGGATGCCACTACTAGTCACCAATATACCAATCATCTTCTAATTAAATGTCCAGACATAGTCGAATCATCTGCACAAGAAGTCGACATTTCAATCTGAAACCGAGCATGAAGCACGCATCAGACGACTTGTGTATTTCGCTACACAGGATCAATGAGGAGTGACATAATGCAGCTTACATACATTCAGAACTGACTAATTAGCATGCGAAGAGAATTGATTAAAAGTTATCTACAAAGTCGAAAGAAGTCTCCGTAAAACAGTACATCTCCACACACTTAACATCGTTGAGGCCTTAGGTATTCAGATAAAAGCTCGCAATTATCGGAGTTTCTTATCAACTGACATCATACTGTCCTTGTAAGTACGTTAAAATCACCCTGTACAGAAACTTAATCAGCTCAATTTAGGCTATGTGCAGCTGAAGAGAAGCTGACTGAATGAATTATGGCACCGTCTTATTTTGCGAAAACCACTGTTTTTGCTATACTACGATTCATAAAGTAACTAATAAAATTGAGACACCATATCAAATAATGCAGAGGTATATTTGTGGCTTGTATTACTGACAAGAATTGTCAGTAGTATATAAAGAGACGTTCATCAGATGAGAAGATATTGATTTGATGAGTGTATTGCAGCAAAACATGGTAGACGCGAATGAAGCCAAAGAAACAGAATAGAAAGTGTAGAAGTAGCACAACATGGAAGATCTGTGAAAATGATGATTTTCAAATAAGTTGCGCATAACGTATCTTTATAGAGAGATATCAAAATGCAAATTAACACGGCGTTACCAAGTCTGTAGTTTACTAATTTTGTATACTCAAACTTTTACAGTGCTATTGAATGAATTATATGATTTTCATGCCTGGCTATCAAAAACTGACGGCTGAATTGTGTACTTGTTTTGGCTTTCTTAGTTGTACATATTTCATATGTTCACTTTATGACCCTTCAGTTCGTGTGGTACCATTTCAGTTCTAATCGGCAGAAACATTAGTTTAAGAAGTAGTATGAATGTGGAGCTATTTTCCGGAGTTTGAAACCTCGTAATGAGGGATAGCGTGAGTCGAAAACAACCTCAGGTAAATGAAATACTGGTGGTAGCTCCATGCGATTCTTCATGCACTTGCATTCTGAGAGGAACGCAGGACCTCAAGCTTGAGATTTAAATTCAAGTATTGATTATTAGGGATTTGATTGACTGATTACAGGATTTCATCATGAGCTGACATTGGTTAGAGAGCCACTGGAATACCTAGGAGTGTTGGACAGCAGTTTCGTCCTAGGACAAGGAAGTCATGGGTCCGAACCCCGGTGGGTGGGTACTGATGAAGAGTCCCAAACTAGGACGAAACAGTTGTGCAGTACTCCCAGGTACTCCAATGGTTCTCTAACCAATGTCAGCTCATGATGTAATCTTGAGCTTTACATTTTAAGCTGCCGCAATATTGTTGTTTTTCATGGTGTGGAATTCATGGCCTAACACCAAAAACCTTCTTTCATTACCAGACTACTCCTGACGTCTTATCACATAACAGTCTCAGCGACTTATAGTATGCAGATTGTACTGTCCTCATAGGTGAAGATGGTGACAAAATACAGAGCCTCATAAGCATCTTGAGGAGAAGCAAGTGTTTAGCGAATGTTTGGCATGCGTATCAGTCCCGTCAAATGTAAGATCATGCTGAAAAACTGGACTGCTCAGACTCCTAGCTTAAAAACAGGGAGTGAAGTAGTGGAGCATGTTGACCACTCCATTTATTTAGGAAATAGTAAAAACCCTGATCATCTGGTTGCTGAAAAAGACTCAGAGCTGATACTAAAGGCAGATGTGTGATATTTGCCAACTTATGTGATGTCTGATATAGACGTGACATCCGGCTGTCAGTCAAAGTATGCGTGTATTTTTCACCTTGACCTCTGTAAGATCGATTCTATTCCCATCCTTGAATCAAGTCAACCTGTCCCGGATCAGCCTAGCGTTGTTGCAACCCAATTATCCATACCTAACGTGTCTATCCCACCCCCTTGTTTAATGAACTGTGTGTATGTTTTTTTGACCTCGATCCGTTTAGTCAGACAGTTGAACTCATGGCCCAATCAGAGTATTTTGTGAACTGTTATTTTTGCTGACCCATGTCTAGCTTTGTAATATTCTGTCGAGTTTATCTTATTCATCTGTATTTTCCTACCTGGTTAAGTAGCCAATTAAATTCTATCTTTGTGCCTATGCTTGGTCTATCTCTCTTAAACGCTCTCTGTTTTATACCATGCCTTACTTGGGTTCATTCTTCTACTGACTGCTTACCTGAACGGTCGTGTCTGGTTCCGGCTAGTTCGAAATTTTGGCTTTAACGTTATTCCGCTCTGATAGCGGTACCTTGCTTTCTGTTAAGTGTTGTGCTTTGTACTCTTGAAACCGTTAAGGTTTGTTGTATTTATAATTATTGATTTGTTTATTAATAGTACCGTAGAAACAGTGACCGGCTTCTTGTTTGTTCTGGACCGGGATAGCCTTTATCTACGCGTGACTTAATTTCAAGCGATATATTGCGCTTACAACCTCCTTAATTGCTGTGAAATATGGTCACTAAAAGTGGTATATATGGGAAGGATAGCTGTCTGTAACCACGATTGTTTGAGTTCTATCTCCTATACTAAGTGGGATAACATTTTTTATCCCTTCACGTTCAAGCTAGAGGCTTGAAGTTTCTGTAGCAGTGGTTTTTCTTTTTACAGGATGAGGTTGCTAGCCCCATGCTTCACTTTCCGTCTCTATCAAACACTGGACCACTTGAGGCATGGTTGGTGGGCATTCTACCGCTGTAGCATTGACGCACATTTTGGGTAAGATGGTGATTGATAATGAATGTTATGAGTCGAATATCAGGTAATCAAAACTTGGCATCATTTCATAAAATCTTTGACAGTTAGTGTGAGCCATGAAAGAAGATAGAGGCTTCGTGATTGGCTTCCTCAAGATGCTAAGAACCAATTTAATGGGTACTACTGCAGATATCCCTCAAAAGTCGTTCTCATCAGTGCAAATGCGTCTAGTCATTGTGTTGAATCATTTCCACTAAACCTTAATTTTTCTCGGTGTTGACATTCTTCCTTCTAATTTCTTGAAACTCTAGATGGGGTTTCCTAACACTAAAACTGCTGCATTTTGCGCATTCCTATTTTGAGCCTCAATCTCAGTGAGACTGGCTAGGCGAAATTGAGGAATTTGATCACTGGAACACCAATGCATTTCGCCTTGAATGGACTTTTCTTCGCAGTAATCTGCTCGATGGCGGTAACAGTGGAATCCTACAGGATTATCATTTATTCATTTGGGTGTACTTTCACATTCTCCAGTAAGTGATTGTTTTCACACTGAGGTCACATCTTGTAGTTTTTGGGGTGTGAGTGATCTAGTGGATAACGCTTTAACATTTAAAATGATAGGCACCAGATACAAGTCTCATTGGAAACACTATCACTCACTCTCTAACTCAATCACTGAGGAAGGCAGGTATATCCAACTGACGAAATGTCCACCCTGATGGATTCCATTCCTACTAGTCACCATCCATCGAATTGTTTCAAGTTAAATCCATAGACATTAATGAAGCAACCGGACAACAAGTCAACATTTCAACAGAAGCCTAACATTTTGGTCCAGTGAATGAATTGAAAAATTCAACTTGAATTAAGTACTGGCTTATATTCGCTTGAAATAATAATTAAAAGACTGTCTAATTTATGAAATCACTTACCCCTTCCTGCATATCTCCAACAACGTACATTGTAATTTCTAACTGGAAGAAGTATTTACTATGGAATGCCATTAAATCAGCTATTGAAATATATGTTAATGAATGCAACAAAGCTTTTGCGGTGTATTCATTCTGATTCCATAAACACGTATTAAGATTACTGGAAAAAATATAAATAGAATAGAATACACTTTGGATTAAGCAGCACGTTTGCTAAGTTTGCAGAGAAAATGTGAAATAGAAATCTGGATAAAATTAGGCGTGTTTGTCGCAAGGTAGGCAAGGAGATAATCACGGGAACTGTAAATCTCCCTTAGAAAGCCAGTGAGAAACCAGTGGAGCTCACCCACTCAGCACCGTCTAGATACATGGTGAACTCATTAACTATTGAACTTCTTGAACCTTACCTAACTACCTCTGTACAGGAAATTACATGAGGTTCTCGTGAGAAGTCATCACTGGCGAAGACCTCCTAGTCATTTGAGAGGAGAAACGCTCACCAGTAACACTGGCTGGCAGTTGCGCTATATACCCGAAATTCTCAGGAATTGGAAGTGAGGGACCCTATAACCACATTGTTGTGGTTGCAAACCCTGTTGGGTGTGTACTTTTGCAGAGTCTCAAACTAGAATGAAACGCCCGCCCAGTACTCGCTGGTTTTCAATAGTTCTGTAACTGATATCATGATCATGATCAGGCTAGAGACCAATCAAATACCTGCAAACCAACATCTTACAATAAATTCCACCAATCATTTCGATCATGTATCAAGGAGAATAACTGTCTCAGAGGGATTTTCGATTCGAGACTAGATGGTTAGGTCAAATCAGTATGGAGCTATGGTTCTAAGTGATCTGCCCATTGGAACCATCCAGTAAGGCAATATTTGCAACTGACAACGAACTTACATGGTCATTGACATTGAAACCCATACCATCTGATGCTTTTTTTGGACGCATTATTAATGAGCTCTTCAAATGTTAAGGTGAAATTAAAATAACTGGAACCTTTGAACATACTGGATATATTATTATGCCTTCTCAGTCCCGTGAAATAATAAACTTACACAAGTTGCTTGGACTGATAACGTTTCATGGGCGTGACTCCACATAAAAGCTTTTTATTGAACTCGTATAGTACTCTTACTGCGATTTAAACAAATTTGAATTGCGTAATGCTTCATTTCAGTCGTTTATTGATGTCAATTTATCGAATTATTTTAAAACCTACAAGCAGCTATTTGTGCGCCTGTTGTGTAAATTGTCAGAAAAACCATAGGATAACGCTTTTTCTGTCTTCTCTTCTATCCCATCGTCTCAATAATCATAAGAATATGGGTAGAATTCCAAATTTTCGACAGAGTCCTCCGTCTGAATACTTATCTGATAGATACTTATTTTAATATGTACACCTAGTTTTGCCTAAAACCTAAAAATAACTATTTTAAGGAGTTATCGTGCACTGGCTGAAGCCCAATGATTTTCCCGCCGTTTGGATTGCTGAATTGCTACTGGGTCCTAATACTTCGAGTGCATCAATGAACCACCTCATTTTCAAGGTCATTCTGACTGTAAATATATATATCGATTTTCTGTCTGGCATTCTGAGTGTTGCTTGAGACAGTAAAAGCTCTTTTATGGACGTCCAGTTATTCCTTTGTGCGCTGGCGGTATTATTTTTGTTGTTATTGTTGACGTGCGATTAGGACAGATCAGGAAGCTCACTAGCCATCCAAAAACACAAAACTCGCTGTATGTATCCAAAAGAAATACGTTCAACCCTTGTCACTGTCGTGAGTAGCATGAACAGGTAATTCCTTTAATAGTGACTATCGTATTGCCTTTCTTATCCAAACTTTCTGCTTATTCATTTTGTTTTTAAGTTTTGCTTAGCCTTTATTCATACTACCATGTTTTCATATCCGAACTTCCTGTGCATTTTGTCAACAATTATTCATCAAATTAGTTATGATCTCACTAGATTTTCTTATCCAAACATCATGTCTATTTTTGTTATTTCTACATATCTAAACACTAATGGCACAATCAATGTCAAACTTCTCACTAATTATGATGCTACTTTGTTTCAGTTTTATCTGCCCGCCTGTTTATTTTGACATTTTAATTCCTAATTGTAATTTTATCAATTTGACCCATGACTGGAAATTACTCTGGAACTTTCCCGTCCATTTATTATGTAATTTTACTAATATGACCTTTGACCTGAAATATTTTTAGGATAATACTGCAATCTATCTATCTTACTATATTCTGTATCCGAACTGCGTGGTTAACAAACTTTGTAATTTTATTAATTTCACCTTTGACCAGAAGTTAATATTTGTTCATGATCTACTGGGTTGTGGTTCCGGTCACAAAGCTATCGTTCAAAACCCCACACCTCAAACTTTGTGATTTATCAATTAACGCACCAAATACTGTTCATTTTCAAATATGTAATTAACTACGCTTTGTTAACTATCATAGTTTATAAGTGTATAAGTACAGAGGTGGTACAGGGAAAAAAGATGGCTGGTCACTTCACAGAACTTACTAACTGAGTATCATTCACACCTAGTCTAAAAATAGCACCAACAGGTAAAAAACTACCAGTTATTGTGAACTACGTGACAAAACAGATGTGTTGAAAGCCAATAAATTACTAAAAGCTAAAAGATCAAGAGAATCTGAATAAATTTTCCAAAAGTACTGACACCGGAAACCCATGAAACTTCATTTGACATCGAAGATCAGACGGTCGGCAGAAAAAGATAAACAGCAAGGAATTTTGTTAAGCAACCAATCAGTAAATATGAATCTACTGTCCAATATCTATCCGGAAGGGAGTGAAGGTGTTATTTTTAATGCCTCCAAGAAGCACCCTAGAAGCCACTGCTTGAGGCTGACACTTTAGAGATGATACGGAGAAAAAAATGAAAGGCTATGGGAATTAGAAAGCCATTTCAAAGTGTGAAAAAGGACCGAATGAGAATTAGGTGTGTCATTCTAGATACTAGCAGTCTGTAATAATGAAAAAAATAAGTTGGCAACTCACTCAGCCAAATAATTTGGATTGGACAACTGTGCAGTTAATTCCTCTATCAGTTGTTTCTTACATTTTATAAAATGGTCTTTAGTGAAATCGACTGTTGTACGTTCTATCAGCTGTTTATACAGTTCCTGAAAGAAAGAAAGAAAGAAAGCTAGAAAGCAGTGACTTTGAGATATAATGTTACAGAAAGTAATTGAGAAACATCAATGATATAGGGAAAATAATATCATAAAAATAATTTTTATATACAAATTTACATGTTTCTACGGGAGCAGTTACACTGGAAGGGTAGAAGGAAGAGCGTATCTCCAATTTTATGAACACGTACCAAAAAGCCTATGTCTAAAAGGAAAAATGATTTGAACAGTGCTATTTCTACACATCTCCTTGACACGGGTCATGAAGAAATATTGGAAAACTTAGGACGAAAACAGCTATCCAGAACCCCCTATTGGTTTGCCAATGGTTCCCTAACTGATATCATCTCTAAATGAAGTCATCCAACCAATTCTTACTTTAAAAACTGATGACAAGGCGTTGCTCTCAACAGCGTCTTCGGTTATCATCCACTAGGTCTCACCACAGTTTCAGGGTATCCACTTTGCTGGTTTCCATTAGGTTGATAAGTGCACTGACACAGAAATATGCTATCAGAGTTATTTATTGGATCACAAGGTGTATATTAGGGACAAAATTCACATACAAAAAATGTTGAAATGGAGATGGATTGGCCACACCCTGAGAAAACCATTAGGTGACATCACTAGACAAGCCCTCGAGTAAAACCAGAAAGGGAAGCGACGAGTTGGTCGTTCAAGGGTGACTTGGAGGAGGTCATGTAAAGAGGAGATGTCAGCATGTGAGCAAACGTGGAGCCAGGTGAAAACTCTGGCAGAGAACTGAACGCAATGGAGACGAGCGGCTCAAACCCTATGTTCCTCTAGGAATCCAAGGGGAATAATAATAATAATACATATTGAACTCTCCATTTGCACATGTTCTTTGTATTGTACTTTTGTTGTCTTTTTCTGTTGCTTACAGCATATTCTTTCACTAAGGTCTTTGATTTCTCCTCGTGGTAAAATAATCCCTGTCACACTGCTATTCAGTATTCTTGCAGAAAATATCAAACACACAAAACATATTACTCACAAAATCGTGTCAGTAGCACGTACAGCACATGCCTACCAATGGTTACGTAAATATATGAAGCTAAGTTTACTGTAGCATTGCCTTATAAAGTGATCTCCAACTAAAGCTTGTGAAAATCTTAATAATTTATTAAGCCAGACATATGGTGAGAAGGTTCAATTAATAATCGTCTAAAATAATAGAACAATAGACGAATTGGTTGTACGTATCATGACTGCTTCGTTCCTCTGAAGACCTTCATAAAATTGTCACTGAACATAATAAACTACCGTAACAGAAGAATTGTTTGAAAAAAATCCCCTTAAACGATCTCTTAACAATATTTATACCTATGTGGATGTTTCAAGTGAATTTTTACTGTTAGCCTCTTTTGCCCTTTGGCTATATGTCGCTGTCTTGACGTTTGCATATAATCAGTAGAAAGTTGTCTTTATTCTTGTTTAATACCTGATGTACATGATTCTCTCTAAGGTTGTGTGATGAATTTGATAATGTGTTGTTTTGTGATTTAGATATTGTTTGAAGGAATTTGATGGAATCTGTTGTGTTCTCTAAGGAGCTGGTTGATGTATTTGCGAAGCTTTCGTCATCCTCCGAGACAGCATCTTCAGTACAGGTTTTAATATCAAATGAACTTATCTTTATATACACCTTGTTTTGCCTAACTTTACCTGAAACCTGAAAATAACTATTTTAAGGAGTTATCGCGCACTTCCGTGAGCCCTTTGTTTTTCCCACTGTTTGGGTCCTATTGGCTGTTAGCCCTTTTGATGCATCAATCAATGACTGAATTTTCAAGGTCATTCCAATCGTAAATATACAGAGATTCTGTATAGCATTTTGAGTGTTGTTTTAGACAGTGAAGGCTCTCTTATCGACGTCTAGTCTTTTCTTTTTGACTTTGCGTGCCAGTGGAGTTATTACTCTTGTTGACGTACGATTGGGACAGATTAGCCAGTGAATTCAGTCAGTATTAGCCCACTGTCTATCATGAATGTTGAAGTCAATATTGGCCTTGTGGGGATTTTGATCTTGGACTGTCTAATTGGAGTGTCTAGTGAGTGATTCTTGCTGATAAAGTTTCGATCATACCTTTTTGAGAATATTCTTCTTGGTTTTAAGTACTGATCTTACAAGAGAGGTGTCTGTGATTTGAATAGCTGCCTAACAGAATTGTTTATTACCATAGGCTTTTTATCTCAGATCACTGTCTGTTTGAGACCTTGAAATGTGAGTTGTTCAAGGAAGTTTGGTTAGCTGTACCGTAGAGTAGAAGGCGAAGATTGTTTCAAACCACAACACTTCAGCTGCAGTCTCTACAACTCCTATGGGATCAACTGTGAATACTATGGATCATCTGGACTATAGTGAGTATTATTATTATTGTTCCCTTGGGTTCCTAGTGGAACGCTGGACTTCAACTGTACTTCTCCACTCGCTTCTGTGTCTGCTGTACTTTTCACCTGCATCCATGTTAGTCCATACTGTTTCAACCCCTCTTCACACGATCTCTTCATTGTCACACTTGCACTGATGACCCACTCGCCGCTTCCATTTCGAGTTCCACTCGAGCAATGGCCTGACGCGCGATGTCATCAACCGGCCTCCTCAGCGAGTGTCCACTTTCTCCTGCATACTTGTTGGTTGGCGATCGGCTCTTGTTTTGTTCGTTTTTTCGCATAGTTTCTTGCTGGTAGTGATTCTTCCCGGCCCGGCTACGTGATCTTCGGTATAGAGCGAAGAAAGTTCTTGATAAAGGTCTGATTCAGCCTGTTGGAAATATTCTTTGTGACACGCCCGCCAAGCTTCTGATCCATATAGAAGAACTGACTGACTTGATGTTTTTTATATTGAAAATCCGACGGAATTTTGTTGTTGATGTTGGCTGAGTGATGAAGATTTCCAGATTGGTTTTAGGTTGATGAATGTGTTTCTCGCCCCTCACCCGATTCTCGCTCGATTTGACATCCTCGTCCGTTCCTCCTGTAGTTGAGACAATGCTCCCTAGATAAGCGAATGAAGTAACCTCTTTCAAATCCCTCCCGTTGATGGTGATTGGCGCTGATGTTGATGCTGTTGTTGTTGGCTGGTTATTTTCATCACCTCCGTCTTGTGTATGTTCGCTCGGAATCCTGTCTTTGCTGCTTCTTCGACCAGTTTGTCAGTCGGTTTTCGCTTGTAAGTCTTCGATTTTGTGACAGTGACATCAAACATAAATCATCAAATCCAAGTCTTTTAGGTTCTTCACGTCGGTCCAGGATATCTCTGAGAATATAGTGAGTTGTACAGATTAAATTATTGCGGAATACATAGACAGAATTCGGCCAATAAAGTTTTACAAATATAGTTTATCTCGCTGACATCTTTGATGATCAAATGGCGGAATCCCTCCACACGTGGAGCATATCTAAATCACTGTCGACACACTCTTAAGCTCAAACAGCTGGTAATAATTCATAAAAAGAAGGAAGACTGCACGCCAGGCTATTAACCAGAACTAGTAAAAAAAAGAGCGCCTCTAAGGGTATCCTAGAGCTCAGGGTTGAAGCTCTCTATGTGTCCCTAGAGATAATAAAAATTCGCCTTCACATAAAGGCGAAATATTAATCAATCAAGTATATATATGTGGATTGAAAAGTGGCAGCTTACATAGACTCTTTCACATGGTCCTTTGACAATGATTTCTGGTCCACTTATGTTCATTTTAAACGTATACCTTTGAATGGAATAAATTCAAACAAAAGTTAAATGTTATCAATGATATTTAAAACGCACAAAAAAGTAAAAGTTATGCAAAAATGAGTTGGTTTAACATAAAATTGCTCATGGCATTCACATACACAGTCATATTTACCGTTTGAAAAAATTAGAGTTCGGTGAATACTTTTCGTTGGATTATATATCTATCATATTTAAAAGCATTTTCCGTATTCCATCATAAATGCTGAGGAGAAATCCTTGCAAATCCACTTTCAGCACTTATCTATATTCCCAGAAGTTAGCATGCATATCATATTGTATGTCTGTGTGTATATAGAAGTAATGATGGCTATATCTGCACTATTCTCCAGATTTCCTATCTTATAAGGGTCAAATAATCTATATTTATTTAGGATTTTATGCTCGGCTAGTCTGACTGCACCTGTTCTACTAGTTTGAGTTATGCATTTGACCTGAAACATCGCAGGCAGGATATGGAATAAACTATATTGTTTTATTTTAAAGGATCCAGAAGATGGATGCTTTAACCAACAAAGCTTGTTCTAATTAAGTTTGTGGGCGATTTGAATCCCAGACACCTTAATACCTGACTTATTAAGAATTCTGCTTAAGTTTTCCGAGGTTCTTCACTTTTACGGAAGCACTACTGTTAATGTTAATCTAGAGAATAGTTTAGCTACAGTACTACATACAGTTATACACAACCATACAATATGATAGGATGGGATAAGATGACAGTTTTAAAATCTAATGTCATAAGGTGGAGGGAGAGATTGATAGCAAAGCTATGTTTATCGAATCAACTCAGTAGAATACGTGTAGTAAGAATGATTCAACACCTCTCCAGGTGAACATCTGGAAATATCTACTACCGCCAAGACAAATGGGAGAGGACAAAGGAAACTATATGACTCAAGTTTCGAAGTCGCGTGATTATAATTGATACGATTATGAAGAATAAATTTTGTCCGAAACGTCATCCAGTAAATATTACAGTTTTAATTACCGTGTGATACATCTAATAAACAAACTAATATGGAATTCATCTCGGGTATTTATTGCATCTAACACGATTCTCTGGAGAAAGTTAAGTTTGATTTTTAGACTAAGTTTAGGAGATATCAATGAATTTGTTTTTGTAAATTTATTGAAGCGAGTTTTCATTTGTTAGCGATAAATAGTTATAAGGTTTTTTATCTAAACTGGAATCTATTCTGAGCGATGAGAATTCGCAACTGTGTTAGGTTAGATTACTTTGGCCTTTATAGGTGATGTAATTTCAGTTGCACTTCTCTATTTTATCAAGTTCTCTAAAGTCTTTGGAGTGTGCATACGATTCCTCTTTATTTTTACAATTTTAGCATCTTTCAATCCCTCTAGGTTGACGTGATTGACATAAACAGAAGTGGGATTCTGCGCTTTTTTTTGCAAGTGCTTCAGTCAAGCTTCTTTTGATAGTTTGACAAAGTAGTCTTTCTTCAAATTAGTATGTCCCAACCATTCCTTAGAAATTTACAACAATAAGGACGTGAAGATATTCTCTGAGGTCTCTGAATCCATACTCAGTGCTTTCGGATGAAGTCTGTCAGGTTCTTACACCTTCCTAGGATTCATTAGCCAGATTCCTTTTGAGAGTTAGACTTTTTTCTAAAGACTGATGTTCTTTCACACTTCTGTGGCTTATGGTGGCATTCCTGTGCGTCGGTGGCACAGTGGTTAGGACTCTCGCCGACCATGCACATGGTCCGGGGTTTGAGCCCTCGCCGACGCACACCTGATATCTATGGTCGGCCTGCGAATTTTGGGCCACCGATATCCACGCTGAAAATTCCATACTTGTACCAAAAATACGGTGTGGAATCAAGCTGTGACCAAAAATAAAAAAAATAAAATTGTAGGCGGTGGTTTGTTGGGCGTCCGTTGAAGCGATCAAGCAATTTTTTCACCTATTTCTCCTTTCTGCTAATTGGGTTTCGTCCAGTCTCTTTCAGTATTTTCACCTGAGTAGACCCTTTCTCGCATAATTACCCTGATACTTGATATGATCTGATGTATGCCTGATGCGTGGCCCGTTGTGTTTTAATCATTTCCTCCCATTGCTCATCTCCACATGGTTTATCTTCTCTTCCACCGTCCGTCTCTTCTCTGCTAGCTATCGCAGGTAAGTAGAAATCTATTCCTTACTTTGCCATCTTTAACTTTTCAGAGCAACTTTAAAAGTTCTTTGCCACATTACGTTTAGAGAATAACAGTTTTCCTCCATACACTTCCCCACAGTAATGCTACACGCAATGCCCCCAATTTAGCTGTGATGCCTGAAATGGTTGTGTGCTCTCCAATTTCTGAATCTTGAAGTCAGATTGCTAGCTACGTATAGATTCACCAATTAGGCCATGATAGAATAAAAGTGTAAATAGGATGTAGTTTTGTAATAGCAGATATTTGCCTTTGGATGTATGGAATTATTCTCCTTTACGTCTAAAAAAGAAAGCCATATAGCGGCGTACAGATTGAGATGGTTATTTACACAATTTCTCAACAAAATCTATATTCGCTACACTTGAAAAATGATAATTAAGTTCAAAAATGGCATCAACAAGGGTGATGGTAAGAAGTTAAGTTCAGTTGTATTTACTGCTTTCAACGATATCAATTTTGATAGGCATTTACAAATTCCTCTAATCTCCAAGTGGTCTGAATGTTTATCTACCTAGCTACAAGGCTGATTTGTTGCTGAACACATCAGCTCTCTGGTCTAGTCATTTCAAATGAGTGGAATGAAGTACCAAACGTATCTATTGACAGTTAGCTGTTAAGTTACCTCAGCAGAGAATCTACACTATTAACAGAATGCCATGAGATCTCACGTTTTGTGGTATAAACACCTAATGGTATCTAAAAGAAACTATAGTGTGATCATGCCTTATATAATATACACATCTACTGGTCCATAGTGGGTGAAATCGTCTTGTAAAGTAATGCATTTCATCCACACCTGTTTCATATAATAGAACGGTATCTTTCGGCAACTTTGATACCTCCTTTTTAAAAGAATACATTGAACTTTCATTGTATGAATCTTAGGTGTCTGCTCTTGCGACATGAATATAAGAAATCTGATTGTTTCTACTCATTAGTGTATTTTGCAACATTCTAAAAGTAACTCCAAAACTTTACAACACCCGCTGTTTTGAACAAAAAAAATCCTTTTTGCAATTCCATATTACTTTGTTTATTAGATATATCACACAGTGAGTGAAACAGTATTATTACATACTGGATGATGTTTCGAACAAAATATATATTGTTCATGATCATATCAGTAATAATCACATGACTTTGAAACTTGGGTGTTATAGTTTTCTTTATCTACCCCTATTTGTCGTTGGTGTAGTAGAATTTTCCAGATATCTGGGTGTACAAGTGTTGAATCATCCTAATACATGTATTCTCCTCAGTTGATTCGATAGACAAAGCTTCTGTTTCGTAGTTTCTTTACAACCGCTTTACAACTAACATGGTTAACAATGATAAAATAAAGTTCATGAAAATTACTCAGTTAAATAAAAACAAAAGTACATACTAATGACCACTCGCATTTAGATAGGTCATGTAGTCCAGGGTAGGCGAAGATTGAAGCCTATTGATTTTTGTACACATTGATGGATGAGTTTTGACATATACATTCAGTTTTATTAGCTAATGGTTATCCAGAAAACTTCATCAATTGTCACGGTAAGGATAGACCACATGTCGAAAAGACAGCTTCTGTATCAAAGAAAGCTATCTTCATTAACCTACTATTCAAAGGCTACCAGATTATGCAGCTGACAGCTCAAAGACTTCGGTCAGCTATCAAACGCACATTCTACGCTGCATCTCTTTTTCGCACTTGCCGAACATTTTCGATCCCTGTTCCTACGATTAAAGGACGAAATTCTGTGGACTCTACTTCAAACTGTTTCTACAAGTTCACCTGCAGCTGCGGTGACACCTATATAGGTAGAAGTAACAGAATGTTCCAATGTCGTCGAAAAGAACATATTCCAAAATGGCTAGTAAACCATATCGAAAATCCCAACGCGATTAATCTTAATAGAAATCCAGCATCATCCATTGCAAAACACTTATTAATGTCTGGTCACAAAATAAATATTAATGACTGTTTCACAATTATTTCACATAACTCTAATTCACGGTTATTGAAGGTGATGGAAGCACTTTGGATTAATCACATACAGCCTAAACTGTGTGTACAAAAATCAATAGACTTCAATCTTCGCCTACCATGGACGACTACATGACCTATGTAAATATGGTTGGTCATTAGTATGTACTTTTGTTTTTTATTTAACTGAGTAATTTTCATGAACTTTATTTTATCATTGTTAACCATGTTAGTTGTAAAGCGGTTGTAAAGAAACAACGAAATGAAGATATCATCTCGCGAAATTTGTCTTCTTAATGCCTTATTCAAATTTATCAAAGGGACTAATTGTTTTAAAGCTTCTGTTATCAATCTCTCCCTATACCCTGTGACATTAGATTTTAAAACTGTCATCCTATCCCATCCTATTGTATGGTTGTGTGTCACTGCATGTAGGCTCCACAGGATCCTTTAACCGACAAAGCTTGTTTCTAATTGAGTTTGTGTGGTGTTTGAATGCTTTTTTTATTCCTGCCTTGTTAAGAATTCTTCGTAAGGCTTCCGAGGTTCCTTCCTTGTATGGAATTACTGTTGATGATTTAGATTCCTTATTGTTGGTGTCGTCATTAATATTATTATCACTATTATTATTATTATCATTATTAATGTTATTAATATTATCACTATCTCTACTGTCATTATTTATTTGATTTTTCGAATTCCTTACATATTTCCTGACTAATTTATCCGGATAATTGTTAAGTTTCAAGGCTTCTTCTATGTGTTTCATTTCCTGTCTTAGATTTTCCTTCGTACTGCTTAGGTTTTGTGCTCTATCTGAGAAATCGATAACAGAAGCTTTGTTTATCGAATCAATTGCAAATACATGTGGTAGGAATGATTCAACACCTGTCCACCCAGATATCTGGAAAATCCTTTTACCCCTACGACAAATAGGAGAGGACAAAGAAAGTTATAAATGTGTAGTTTCGAAGTCGTGTGATTACAATTGATTGATATGATTATGAACAATGATGAATTCTGTTCGAAACTGTGTCATCCAGTAAAAAATAATACTGTTTCATTGTGTGATACATCTAATAAACAAACTATTAAGGAATTACTTACTACCACAATGCCAAAGTTGTCGTAAATAAAAGTTCCTAACAGATAATCTGTAGGGTCGTGCGAACGTAGTACTATTTCTAAATAGACATTTTAATGGATAATGTTGTTACAGTATTATAAGTGACTTACTCTGTTCCACTTTCTTTTGTAATGACATCCAAATCTAATAATCGAAGCTTTATACTTGTCTGAAGTAGGCGAGACAAACATGCCCTAAATAGGAAAGAAATGAGATTGAAAACAACGAGAGAAAAAAGTATAATATGTAATCAGGGGGCGAGAATGAAACTGATGACATTTAACGTCTTTACAAGATGACTGGGTTAAAGTATTTAAACTGTGCGGACAAGAACGTTACTTCAAATAAAAATATATGCTTATGCATTGAAGATAACCATTCTGATCAGCAATCTGATCTTCGATTACATAGGACAATGGCATTTGCTGATGAAAGTTTCTAGCCACTTGTTTGAAAGGCTCTCTGTTATGCGTCAAGTTTTACTTAGTTTAATAACTTTTCCTAAGCTCAAAAACTGAGGGAAAGTTGAGTGTAGGGCTAGCCATCTCACCCTGAAAGACTAATGTAATGAGTTCAAAGAGATAAGAGATGACGTCAGGTGATGAAAGCCTATGAGTCTTCTTTCGACGAAAGCATAAACGAATGTGGGCACATGAAAGTGTTTGAAGGTCAACAGAAATACCGTTCAAATTGAGGTATTAGTGAGAAGATATGGCTATCCCACATAATTAGATGATAAATAAATATTTTTATACAGTTATGTTAAAATTAGATGAGAACTTACTTTGAAGGATCGTTAAATTCCATTCCAGATGAGATATGTGTGTATACATATACTGAATTGAAATAAAAACATGTAGGTAAGAAGAAAATGACAACAAGCTTTAATAAGGAATACAATAGGGTTGAAAAAAGGGACTCAAATGGAATTTATGAAAACTCCAACTAAACCACTAAAGATGGTTGAGCTATTGAAGTAAGGCCTTTAGATGCGAGACTCACAATTTTTTATTTATTATTCCTTTAGGTTCAAAATGGAACACTGGACTTCAGCAACACATCTCCTTCTTCTTCTTCTATATTCTGCGTCATCTTCAGCTGCCTTGCTCAACGATCGTGCATATTACCTCATCTTCTTCCCTCACAATGTTCTACTTGATGTCACATGTTCACATGCAGCGATTGTCTGCATTGAGCGTGATAATATTTGACGGCCTCCTCAACGTATGCCTAATCGATCCATCTCTACCCATCAATTTGATATTCAGCATGGAGCCAGAGTAGCCAACCGTTGGTAAATATCTGAACTGGCCTATTGAGAATCCTCTCAATAACGTGAACGCCAAGTTTCTGACCGTAGAGAAGAACTGACAGACTTTACATTTGTCTTGAACAGAATCTGAATCTTGTTCTTTACGTATCGAAGTGCAAAAGATTTCCAAACTGGTTTTTAAGTTGATGAACGTGTATCTTGGGGTTTGTTTTCGTCTGGCTGATGATGACATCTTCATCCGTGCTGTGTCTGTGATTGAAACAATGCATCCTAGCTGGATAAGTGAAAGAAGTCACATCTGTCGCATTTCTACTGTTTATGGTGACTGGTGCTGTTTGTTATCGCTGTTATTGGTGGTTTGTCAGCTGATTATCTTCAGCACCTCTGTGGTCTCCATGTTCACCTGGAATTCTTTCTTCGCAGCCAGTCTCTTCTACCAGTTTTTTTCGTTTTTGGCTACCTGGAATTCTTCTAGTTTGTGAGATACTGAACATAAATCATCCATGCACGAAATTCAGATAATCTAAAGTCTTCTTACCGGTGTGTTCGACGTGTTTCTGTCTTCTCAATCCGAATAATCCACTCCACCACATTAAGGAATATCATCGGCGATAACAGACAGTCAAAGTAGTCTTATTCCTGTCTCCACTTCGAGCTCCTCGCCGAGTTTTCCCTTGTGGATCACCTGCCATGTGGCCTTTTCAGTTGTTGAATGAGATTGATAACGCCCTGGGATACGTCATTATTTTTCCAAATTACTTCTGAGTTAACGTTGTCTGTTGAAGGACTTCTCGAAGTTGATGAAGTTTTTGAGGTATAGTTTTGACTTACATTCTATGTTCAGTTCTATGATGGGAATACTTGGAGTCACAATCTGATGGGCAGATGATTTACCTTTCTTTAACCTAACTTGTTCCTGGTGGCGTGCGTCTAATAATATAACTGTTTTATTTGCTAAAAACACACAGCATCGTTACTATTATTTATGATCAATTCTTTAGGTTTCAAGTGGAAAATGGGGCATCAAGAGCTTTCTGCATTCATGTTTCTTTGGCCTTTCGAGTGCTGTTATCTCCCTGTCGTACAACCCCCCCCCGTATGCCACTGTTAGACTCCGGCCCATCTAATTGTTTCCTGTTCGGGTTGAATTTGAGGTTTTGTGAGGGCTTGCTATGTCACTCAATGATCTCTTCAGTGTAGCGCATACATACAGACATTCATACAGCTTTACTAAATGATGACAACGTGTCGACTATAACTTATACCTCATATTCAAATCAACAGACAGACAAACTTGACTGGCTTGGGAGGATAATAGTGTATTTCTTAGAAGTGGATCTTATCCTAGTATTCCTTACTGGTATGCATGCTACTGATTAAAAGAGTTTAACGAGTGCCTCGGCAGAGAATGGAAACCCTGATCATATGAGGCGTGGTTGGTGAGAATTTTACCACTGAATTACTGGTTTAATTGAGATGGATTCACTGGTGCATAATCTGAATTAAGTCAAAATTTGCTGGTCTCGAACGTCCTGCTTATCTCGCAGTCAAATAAAGAAGCCAGATAGGCGTTGTAGAGTGTTCATTCTTATCTTTACCTAAATATATTCCCCTGTTATCTTTGTTTTTACCACCGTGAGAAAAGACACTTTTATTTCGGCGTTTGAGAAGTTAATCTAATAAAACTTTAGTAAGTGAATGGGAATAAATTATTCATATTCATACATAACTATTTTAGAGGCTCACCTTACTTAGACTTAAAACAATCTATTTCACTTTCTACTCCACAAGATATATCTCTAGTATTTTTCTATTGGAATCATTTGATTCCCTAATATGTATTTATACGCATCCAATGTAGATCAAACTCAGGATATTCCAGCTTCAAGGCAAGCTCGTAGAACGTTCAGCCGTTCAGTGGGATCCAATCAATTTATTAACCCAAAAATCCAAACTTCTGCTAACTGCCAATATATTCATCGACCGTTTTATTAAACCTCAACCTCAGTCTCACAGTGAGACCACTGTCATTCACTTGAAAGTTGTCGGGACATCCAGTTGGCGATTCTCGAAATGCGACCGAATGCGCCTACTGGATACCACTTTCAGTCGCCATAGATCCAGTTATCTCATGAACAAATGGCGTTTCTTTTTAAGGCTTTACGATAAGGAAAAATATTCCAGGGAAATTATTTTATACTTACCATCATCTGTTGTCTGATTGTTAATCTGATGATACCAAACAGAACCATATGACTCGTACATTGTTCCTTTAAATTCTGTGATTAAATTGACAGGTGTCTAAAAGGTTTCAAATAATAAATATAATTTATATTAATCATTACAAACGTCTCGGCAAGGCCTCGAAATAAGCAAGTGTTTCGCGTCGTTATCACAGAGGTAAGATGCTCGTCAAACACGTATATGGTTCAGGATTTGATCCCAGACAGACGGACTCCTTCACATAGCGAAACTAGTGGTACGACTAGTACAGAGTGAAGGTGGACAATAACGCTAGCAGCCGCATCCCGTAAAAGCAGGCATCACGGCTATTGAAACTTTTAAAGCTCTAGCTTGAAGCCCTATGTTCCACTGGGAACGTTAGGGAGTAAAATAGGAATTTGGAATGTATGCAAACGTTATCATTATACTGATATTTAAACTATGGATTTTTCTGAGGATCTGGATTACTTTCAGCATGCAGTTAGTTAAGGACCAACTTCATTCAGAGAGTCATTGAAAACCAGGAAATAGTGAACACAGATGTTTCACCCTACTTGGTGTCTCTTCAGTACTTTCTACCCATGACTGTTACAGGGATAAAATTTTGGAGCTAAGAGTCTCGTGTATACGCTAATTGAAAGCATTGTGTTGGTGGAAGGGCTATGTATAAAGAATTTTGCATGGGTGGAAATTCACAAGTCATTAAACTCAAGGTCAGGTGGTCATATGTTCAACAAGCTTGTTCCAATAATCTAAAGGCCCTCAAGGTTTCAATATCACTATCACTATTATTATGAAGTTAAGCTATTTGAAATAATCTATGTATCTTCTGATCTAAAGATTACTAATTCACGGACGTTTTGGTTGTCATCGTAGTAAATTCTCAAAGTGCAGGGTATAAAATGATCATATTTGAACAGTACTGGGGACTTCATTTGATTCAATAATTTTTACAACGTAACAATTACAAAATATTTCAGTATGTGATGATGTTACCTGCATGTCGTTTTCAGATGATACAATTGAGTAGTCGCGAGCTAAAATGCGATCAATAAAAAAAGAAGGATGACGCCTAAGCTAGTCAAAATGATTGGTAAATTATTTCAGTTCGTAAATATAAGAATCAGTTATATAGAAAATATTCACTGATTCTGATATAATTTAGAAGGAAATAGTTCAATGACTGGTCGTATAGCAATAATGAATGTTATACTTCTATTCCTCGGTGTTAGCGAATCCTATCAGTTGTATATATGTGTGTAATGTGGACACCAAGCCAGGTGGCTATCAGACGCATTGTGCTCTGAATTTATGCTATATGTTTGGAGGCAATCGTCATGCAGCTTTAGTTGGACTTAGGTTTCGTAGTTATTATTGCTTTTCTCCGCCGCATATTTGCCACCTTGAAGAAACAGCAATGTACACCCTGGAGTTCGAAGCAAGATGACTTATTGCTGCAGTCAGAGATATTGCCACTGAGTATAAGCTGGGCTCACAATTGACCTCTCGTAAGACTGTTTTATATACAGTTATTGTTCACCAGGTGTTGATGTAAGCTGAATTCTATCAGTCAAGTTTGTAGCAACAACAACTATAACAAGTAAGACCCCAGCGTCCAGGATTCCCTACCTTCTGCATCCAACCATCTGACAGTTTTATAGCGTTCAGTCTATGGAAAAATACATTCATGAGTTTTACTATAATTACGATGCATTTCCTTTAGAAAATTAGTTTCACACTAATTAGGTAAGTGGTCAAATAATAATAATAATAATAACTTACCACAGACAATTACTTCACCTGAGAAATGAAGTCGATAATCAAAAATGGTGATTCATAAATTTCAATGAAGCAATAAGTTGAAAGGTCTATGAGTACATCACTTTTATGTACATACATTAGAAGGAAAAGGAGGGATTCTGAGTTGACGGATTAATACGTAGTCTCTTTGACGCATGTTAGATAATCTCTGTACCAAACGACCTTTCTGTTGTCTCCAGGCACATGCTATCGCAATTAGCGAAAACTGGAAATTCGATCTACTTTGATCTGTGTAATCGAATAGGCCGTTTTACACAAAGAGGACACCAGTTCCATAGTTAGATGCCTCCTTGATATCGTACCTTTTGTTTCCAAATTCATCACATTTAGATCATAATTTATGCTATACTGATTGCTGCTCAATAGCAGTATATTCTGTCTTCTTCATATCACGTTCACCATATTTCTCTACGGTTCGTTTGAGATATTCATTGTTGAAGAATGAATAAAAGGAGTAGTCAGTACTGCAAATTTTGGTTCGACTAAACAAGGACGAAACAGCTGTCTAGTACTCCCTGTTAACCTTCCAAAGGTTCTCTAACCAACGTCAGCTCATGGTGAAATCAATCAAATTCCTACAAGCCAGTAGTTAAATATCGACAAGTTGCTCACTGGCGACTGAACCTATTCTGGTAGGTACTTATCTGGGATTCTAGTGAGACGTCGTGACCAGTAGGGTGCAGCAGATCAAGTGTGATGACAAATATTCATCACTAAAGAAATTGGCTAGTGCCAGTCGCGCCATATCATGAATTGGCAGAAGTTGGAATTCATCGACTGTCCAGTGAATTTAGTCCCAGTGGCTTAATGGTCTACGAGATTGCCTTGAAACCAGAAAGTCCTAGATTGAAACCTTGCCAATGAGGTGGGTAAGTACTGCTGGGATATTAATAACCTAGAAGTACTGAATAGGTGTTTCGTCCTGGTTTGGGACTATTTATCAGTACACACAACCACTGCTAGAGTTCCAAACCTGGAGCTTCTCCTAATAAAGTAAACACACTTGAATATCAATCTGATGCCCACTAGTGACACGACCATTCCAGGTATGTAGTTCCCTGAATGTTTTGCACTCAGGGGAATTATCGGTTTCCTTATAATTAAGTTTGCCACAAATGTATATTAGTCTATTATTGAGTAATGGGGGGGGGGGCTAGGAGACATAACTGATATAATCAATCAGAAGGGGTTTCAAAAATAAGAATAAAAATAAAAGTTGTAAATTACATGGTCTCAACGGCACATAATTAGAAATTTGATAAGGTTAAAATTGTTATTTAATGGGGGGGGGGGATAAAGGTAGTTGAGTTTCTATTTAACAAGTGTGAAGAGGGTGAGAAAATGTACAAAAGGAACACATGAGAATGATAATAGTGAATTAGTTATTGAAGTAAAAGTAAACTAAAAGTAAAATTGAAAATTGCAAAAAGAAAAAGTTAATCTCTTTTACCACAGCGAACGACTAGTGAAGAGGTTAAGACCAAGGTAGAATAAGAGACTGGAAAACTCTTTTTCTGTATACAGAGTTCATGGTTGTATTGACGAATTGCCAACGCCTCCACTGTACACAAAAACCAAAACCTGACGCCATTTGTACCATTTGGCCTCACTTTGTAGATGATTTTGAAAGATGACTGTGGTGGAGTTGTGTAGCTTGAGTTCACCAAGTTGTCAAGAATCTATCTAGTATTTGTCTTGCATTATGCTTTTCCTAACTATGCCAGATAAATTTCAGAGATGCGTTTGGAAAGTGTGCTCTTTTTGCAGCCAATATAACTAACTACACAAGTACAAGTGAATTTATAAACGCTCATTAATTGGCCCAAAGGGGAAGTTTATAAATTCACATCAAAGTCTTGTTGTAATAGAAAAGATTTATAACTCAGGTGGTTGATTTGCAATTAATAGTGTTCTCTGAGTTAATTGATTTAGTTGCGGAGCTTTCGTTACAATACATATCTAAAGATGGTTAACGGGAGACGCACTTATATCACTCATGAAGAAATTTAAATCATTTAACTTTATCCTAAATACTGCGCTGAAGATGTCGTCCAGAAAGACGAAGAAAGCTCCGCAACTAAACCAACCAGTTTAGAGAACACTATTAATTGCAAAAGTCTTGTTATGTCATCATAAGATCTACCATTCTGATCCACTTTTTCAAATGTATAAGAAAGTCCAAAATAAATACAAAATAAAAAAAACTGTTTCACATACCCATTCCGTTGACTTTTAAAGGAAGCGAAAATGGAATTGCATCATCTGTATAGTTTAGACAACCCATTTGTTTGGATGAGATTTCTAAAATTTACAAAACAGCGTAAGTCAACATTGAGGGTATGTTAAAGTGAAAGGTGCCTTTTGATTACTGTCTGTTTTTTATATTTGATACAAAATTACTAACTACCTTTAATATATTTATTAAATTTAAAAGATACATATGAATGAATGTGATCTAAAATAATGGTAACCTAGAACAAAAGATGAACCAGTTCAAAGATGGACAATCAAAGAAGAAGAAGCTAAATTCCATCGACGAGTCGAAGAATAAAGAAGTGGAGAAGTGTGCCAGCGGAGACAAAAGATACTTACTTCTGAAATACACTAACAACTGCATCTCAGATGGATGAAGGTGAGAAAGGCCTCACTATACTAGACAAAATACGTGACTGTCTTAGACAAGATCAATAGAGACGAGAGAACCAAAGCAAAATAGAGGGTAACTAATTATAAAAGTGGCGAACCGAAGTAACTGTTGAACCGACCACCAAGTTCAAAACGTATAGAAACTCCATTAACAGTTAGAAATTGTCAGTAAACAATAGTTCTCCGAAGTCTTAGATTCCATAAAGCTTATGAAAGTTACCTGTTTGGATGAGATTCCTATAGTTTACAGAATATACAAATGTAGTAGAGCACATGTTCAAATTGTGGATAGACTGAATAATAGGGAAGATTTTATCACTGTTCATTTTATTTTCGCCACAAAATTGAGCTTTATCTTTTTCTGTGTATTAGATATAAAATATCTGTTGGATTGATCGTGATTAAGAATGATCGTAGTTAGTTCTCATACGCTGGGAAGTAATCATTTTCTATGAACGGACTCATATAATACCTGGTAGACGGAAGTTACGCCTTACAGCAGGTAAGGTACAATATACCAAAAGATGGTGCTCGAATTACCAATAGTTGTAGTTAGTGATAATCTGAATATATTTCAACTTATTGCAGAATTATAAATCATTCTCCCCTCTAACTATTTATTTATTTTATTTTATTTTTGATTACAGCTCGACCCCCACACCGTACTTTTGGTAGAAGTATGGAGTTTTCAGCGTGGATATCGGTAGCCCAAATTTCGCAGGCCGACCATAGGTATCAAGTATGTGTCGGCGAGGGCTCGAACCCCGGACCATGTGCATGGTCAGCGAGAGTCCTAACCACTGTGCCACCGACGCACAGGTATAAGGTATACTCGTTCTAACTTGTACGTAACTTCTTTTGATTTAATTCCTATGATTGGCCTTTGTTTATGGTTGATTCCTGATCTTAATATTTCTTTTTACTATTAGGCGTTGTTATGCGTCAAACTGCGGGGAGCGAGGAGATAGGAATATGCTGGACCACCAATGAGAAGACTTCACAAGATTTGTATTTCGCAGATGATATATATCAGATGCCACATCAAGTCGGAGACTTACGTGCAAAAACCAATAAACTAGCTGAAGAAGAAACTAATACGGGCCAGGATGTGAAGATATAGACGACAGAGGATTTGAAGATAATCAACAGCAACAGGAACAAAAATCAGCATCAATCATTACCAATTTGAGACATTTGACAGAGGTTACTTTCCCCACTTATCTAGGGTTTCCAACAGGTTGCATACTTTTACCATTACCTCCCCACTACGTCGACTACACACTGAAGATCGAGTGTCCAGAAATAATAAGTAACAAGAAACTGTGGTTCGTCGGTGCTAGGGTGACTTGGGGGAGGGTACCCTTCCTTCCCTGTAAATCTCTTGTAATAATTATTGGCGTGAGTGTAGCTAATTTACACCTATGTAATCTTATAAGGCGACTTCCTCGGAACAGTTATAAATAAAAATGAAACAACTGTGTACTGCACCTAAATCAGTGTTTTATCTAGGTAATGTCGGTTGAGGATGACTTTATATATATATATATATATATATATATATATATATATATATATATATATATATATATATGTAAATCAGCTGAAAATAAACCCTTCACGCATTATTGTGTATGTCGAATTATTATCCATAGTTTCTGCCAACACTGAACATCTCCTTTTAGTAAAGTCACCACTGACAATGTTGGGGTTTTAAAGATATCTAACAAAGTAAAGTTCATATTGCAGGCAGTGTCTCAAAGATAACCCTTTATCATATAGAACTTTCATCGTTTTTATCATAGTTCCTTTAGATTCTGTGTGAAAACGCGATATCAAAATGCAATTCTACGACCCACCCGATCCTCTGCAGTCCAATTTAGCTCGCCTGACGATTTCACACGAGTTTCCATCTCTTCGTACACGATCTCCTCCTCCATGTTACCGTGGAACACTCAACTTATCATTTCCCATCTTGATACCAGTCAGACTTCTAGCGGTTTTCACAGCGTGTGCCTGATCCATGTCTATTTTCTTTTCGGTACATTTGTCTGGAAATTGTTTATCGGTTAGTTTGCAGCCCGCCAGGCTTCCTTGTTGAAGCACAAGTCTTGATATTTATATCTTTACTAGATAGGCCTTCAGAGTTCAAAACGACAATGCGGTGTTCACGTATCAATGGGAGAACCATCAGTCACTCGGATTGCATGCACACTCAGCTGGTGATCCGCGAATAAGATGAAATTGTCCTGTCGCCAGTCATTGACAACTATTATCACTACATTAAATAAGTTTCCTTATCGTAAATTTTTAATGTTAAACTGCACTGAACTCTTGTAAATAAACATCACTATCCTCGGTCTAGTGCATGAAAAACCTTGTCTGGAACAGGCTGGATTCAGAAGGAACAAGTCATGAATCCATCAAACGGCAACACTAAATATGATCGTTGAACAGAGTGTGGAATGGCAGTCACCTCTCTATCTCAACTTCATCGACTTTGAAAAGGCCTTCGACAGTGCAGCGTCGATTGATAGGTGATTTGAACCTCTTTCGCTACTACGGGGTACCGCCAACAATGAAATAACTCATCCAACAGTTGTACGATATGTGGCACGCCAAGTAATTCCCAACGGGAAACTCACAGAATCCCTCGAAGTGAGACCAGGGTAAGACAAGAAAAGCTGCTTACTATCTCCAATGGTTTTCCTGATTGTGGTAGACTACATAATACGACTTAAAACGGACAGTGAGGAAACAGGCATAAAAGGGACTCACAAATAAAATGTGAAGTATCTGGATTTCGTCAATGATATACGTGTCTGATTTCTCACAAACTGGAAGATATACAGGTGAAAAGCAACAAATTGGCAGAGGAAGCATCAAAGATAGGACAACACTTCATGTGAAAATAGAGAAAACAGAGGTGATAAAGACTCCCGGCCAACAGCGACAGCAGCAACAACAACAAACTACGACCAGCATAAATGGGAGAAATGTGAAAGAAGCAATCTCCTCTACCTACCGACCTATCTAAGAAGCAACGTTTCAGCTACAGGCGGAAGGAACTGATGAAGATATCAAAGCACAAAGGATAAGAAAAGCCAGGCAAGCTTTCATCACTCTCAAATTTGTGTGGAGATCAACACTCATCACTCAGTATGAAGAGTCAGATCTGGATTTTCAACTCAAAGTGTGAATACAGTGCTGCTTTCTGTACGGATCAGAGACTTGACATCGCGTCGTGAAGGGCACTCCCAGTAAACTATGGACTTGTATGAAGAGCTGTCTTCACTCAGTACTACTCGAGATTAAATGACCTGCCAGAAAACACCAGAAACAGGTACGTTTGGAAGCGAACCAACCAGGAACCGATTGTGCAACAAAAAATATGTAAGATTGGCCATACTTTGAGAAAACAAAGCATCAAGTAACATCACACGCCAGGTCATTCCTCGAGTGGGACCCTACCGAATGGAAAGTGGTAAGTTGGTCGTCAATGTGAGGCTGACATGGTGGAGGTCACGTGAAGAGGAGATGAAAGAGACTTGTGACTGAAGCCCTATGTTCCACTAGGAATTAAAAGGAACAATAATAATAATAATATCCCCCAGTCTAGTAACTTAGTCTGCTGTTTTTGATTCTTCCAGTGTAATTATAATTTTTCGGTTGCATAATTAGTTTTGTGTATCTTGAACATGAATCAAAACATGTGATGTGTTAAAATGTATACTCGAAAATGAAATCCATATTACTTCATGGGGATGATTAACTGTGAAGAGTTGCTGCTTGTTTCATGTCTGTTGCTTTGTTATGTAATAGCTGTCGAGTTAAAACAGATACTTTCAGATAGAGGCACCTGATGGATAACGCGTTAACTGGTCAAGTCAGGTCATCAAATCTAGATTCAAACTACAAGTAAAGATATTTTTTGCCACCCATTTGAAGTCAATGATTGTTTGATCGCCTTATATTCAAATGAGGCTAAACGCTTTTTCTATGGGACTGATGCCAAGTTATTTTAGGCATTTAGTAATTCATAAAATTTATCACAGTTGTTATTCTTGCATTTTCTCGTTGGAATAATAGACCAAGAGAACGTATGAAGGTGTATAATGAGCTAAATATTCTAGTTACTAGGGTTATACAATAAAATTCATGTGAAGCGAGATCACAGAAATATGTTGAACTGATAAGAAAACACTAGAAGGCTTGGATTTCGTCTATGATTTATGATCAATTACAGAAAACCTCAGAAGTCTACAGACCAAAATCGATAGTTTGGCAGAGAAGCAGATAAGATAGGACAATTACTTAACACATGGAAGACAAAGGTGATGAATGTACCAAGGCAGCAATCACCATCAGTTGAGAAGTCTAAACGATATCTACTCTTTCCAGAGTGTCTTTTAAACAACAGATGTGTGTGAGGGATAAAATCCATATCTTAGCCATTAGTGTCGAAAGTTTCTACATGGTTAGGAGAATTATTATGTCATCACAAATACTTCCAACAACCCGCCGGCAGCACATTTGTCAACACGTCAATTACCTCGATACCGAGTATCAGATGAAAGATTATAAATAATAAACTCTGCTGAAGCAGTTAACCAGAAAAGTGCCCATTGTTTAGTAAATATGCAGGAGGAAGTAGAAGTGAGTGAAATGGACATACGCTGTGTAGGATGTTGAATAAAATTTTGCTCTAGGCCGTCGTTGAAGTTGAACCCTACACAGAAACGACACTCTTCAGTTAAGTTAGTAGCTGACATGGTGGATATCATGTTAGTATGAACAAACAAACGCTTTTGGATAACAGTCACTACAGTTACAAAGCACTACGGAGGACAACATGAAATCCACAGGTACCGCTACAATGAACAATAAAACAAATAGATGAAAACCTGAGAGCACCGGACAGAGAAACAAAGAAAACTCTGACAAACACGATACTTAAAAATTATTCTGATGCTTACTAGCGACTGGACCTATTCAGGTAGTTACCTCGGTTCTAGTAGGACACCGTGACCATTAGGGTGCAGTAGGTTGAAGATGAGGCTAGAAACTAATCGAAGAAGACATTGGCAAGTGGTCACAGAAGTTAGAATTCATGGACTGGCTATTCGATCAAGTTTCAGTGGCTTGATGATCTACGAGCTCACCTTATAACCAGAAGGTTTGAGTTCGAACCCTATAGTGCGTGCATACTGCTTAAGGTTAGTATTAAACTGGGACTAAACAACTGTCCAATACTTCCAGCCACTCTTCCAGTGGTTCTCTAACTGATGTCAACTCATGTTGAAATACTCCACCAATCAGATATAATCCCTACAAAACCAGTACTTGAAAAAAGATGAAAATTAATTAAACGGTAAGAATTAGAGTCAGGCGAATTCAGAGGACGTAATCACTCTAGTAAAAAACTTTGAGTTTTGAGTTTGTTACCATCAGCTTAGCTTCAACATATCATCCAAATCTTCCGATAAAGTGTTTAAGTGTTTGAGAAGAAACACCTCTCACAAAAATATTTCGCCATAAATAATAACATGATCGCATATACTTCAAATTAGTCTCACCTTCTTGTGTATACTGTAGATTATACCATTTTCAGTATGAATATTTTTATGCATTGATGGATTCAATTTTGAACTGTGTATCAGGCAAGCTTGTTGTTTGGATAAAGTGTCCAAAAATTCTGAATAAACCTAAATTCAAGAAAAAGGAAGATCCAGAATGCAAGATCATGGTAGAGAAGTAGTATGTTATAATAATCGACTACAGTATGTTGGGGGTATTGAAATAATAGAGGATACAAGTGTGGGCCTTGACAGACTCTAGCAAGGTCAAAATTCTGTGTCAGAGATTAAGTCCTCATTCTCATAGTTTGAATCAAAAATGAACAAGGAGAATTAGTTATGAACACAGATTGTAAAATAAAATCGAACAGGGGAAGGTAGACTTCAAACTAGCGTTTATAAAAAACCAAAGTATTCTGCTAATAGATATTTAACTTTAATTCATCCCGTTCATTGTCTGTAAAGGCCGGCTTAGTTGAATGTCTAACAAATCGAGCGATAGCGCTAAGTTGTACAAAAAGACCTAAATAATGAAGTGAAACAGATAGAAGAGGCGTTAGGGTTGAATAACTATCCTATAAAATTCATTACAATATCAAAAAAAGGACAAAGGCAAAACAAATATAATGGTGAAACTGACAATGATAAGGTAAATAAGAGAGAATATATGGCATCTACAGTTATACTATAAGATGGGGACATCTGAGGGCCTACCTGGATTCCAAACAAAGCAGGAATCAGGTAGGCATTAAAACCTGCAAACTTACTCATAGACAAGCGCTGAAGATTAAAAGACCCGGTGAACCCGACTACATAGGTGAAACTAGTAGATCATGTGTAATGATATTATCAGAACATAAGAATTTAGCTAAAGTTGGAATGATTGACGAAAAGTAATTTAGAGAATCACTCAGCAATCGCGCTGCATGCATGAACACACAATCACATACAACAGGGTGTGAGAGGGTAAAAATTCTAAAACGTAATCTAGGTAGGTGGAGAGAGAGAGAGGTTGATTAATTAATCCTGGTTCATCGAGTGAATCTACACCCAAAATGTGCAATAGAAGTGACTCCACGCAAGTGCCAGAGATTTGTTTGCAAGACATTATTACCACACTTCAAATTGAAGTATGCGCGGAAGATGTCACCCAGTAGGGTGATGAAAGCTTCGCAAATTAAGCATCCAGCTCAGAGAACAAAACCACATCAAAAGGAGGACAATAAATAATGTTAAAATTTATTCAGTTCACATAATAACACTCCAACAAGCTATTTATTTATTTTACTATAAAAGCCTCTTTTTTCCATCCGAAGGATTGATAACACTAATATTATTTCTGAATATACTTTATCTTACATCGTTGACTTTATTCAGATATCTAGTCACCAGTTTTTCTCATGTATATAAAGAAAGAAAGAAAGTTGTGTGAGTGACTTGATGTGATTACGCTTTCACTGAACGCCTTTCATAGTCACAAATGAAGACACGGCGATCCTCTACTGTGTATATATGTTCCCGTATAGGCAGCCAGGTATCACATACACTCTAGAAATGACGTGATTTGTCAGATGTCATACCAGGCTTTGTATCCTTGCAGAAATTTTGGTCAGCATTCAGTCCATGAGGACCGATGACACCTCTAAAATAAGTGAAATAATCAGCATGCTCAAAAAAAAATTAACTTCACTCGTAATATTTAAGCAAGGGGAGGTAAAGTACAGTACTTCAGCACTGTCTTACATTCACTTTCGAAGACTTTCTTTTGTAACAACAGAAGACAAGGGCCAGGCAACAGATCATCTATATGCTAACTGTATCCGCCTACGCAAAGTCTCATTTTTCTCACGACCAATATTGGAGACATGAAAATGGACGTAAATTACTGTCTACCAACTTTGGCTAACAGCCAGCTCTCACCATACCTTAAAGGTGTTCGGAAGACTAAATTTTGTCAGCGTATCCACCCAGTGGGACAACGTCATCCTCATACAGTAAGTCAACACAACTGTCGTCTGGAATTAAGCCAAACTCATAGTCACGAAAATCAGTTAGTATAACTCCCATAAGTACATGTAGGATAAAAATAAAACGAAAATATAGCCAGTGAGCATTCGTCATGAATATCAGTGTTTGTCATCACTTCAGATGACAACTCCACGTAAGCTCTTACACAGGCAGCCATCAGGCATCATTATGTTAAAACTTACACGCTTGAAGGTTAAATCATAGTCGTTAAACAACCTTAGGATCCCTGTGATAAAGTATAACTCAATTACAGATAAGATCTTATTTTGATAAATTACATATTACACATATTAATTGATGACCACGTTTCGAGCGCAAACTATTGTCACTCATAATCATATCAAGGCACTACTCACATAAACCGTCTTCCTTCATTTGAATAATAATCAATATAAGATAAAGTACATTCAGAAATAATAATATTAGTATTATCAATCAAATACATTCAGATGGGAAGGGAGATGTTTTTTAAAGTAAAAATAAGTAACTTGTTAGAATGTTATGATGTGCTTGAATTGAAATAGAATTTTAAGATTATTTTTTATCCTTCTCCGATTTGACTGGCAGTAATAATATCACCCATATCTCTGGTATATCCGTTGAGTCGTTTCAGTTGCATGTGTTGGGTGCAGATTCACTCGATGAACCGGAACTCAGTAATCAATCTCGCTCTCTCTCTCCACCTACCCAGATTACTGTTTGAAATTGTAACCCTCCCCCACCCTATTATGTGATTGTCTGTTAATGAATGCAGTACAATTCCTGAGGTTTCTTCAAAAATTTCTTATCTTTTTGAGGTCAAACATTTTAACCATAGCTAAATTCCTATGTTTCGACAATCTGAAAACCCCCGACCTACTAGTTTGACATATTTAGTTGACCTAACTAACATTCGTTGCAAGGTATTTTGTAAATTATATTATTCTGTTTAACTGGGTCAACGTACAATGTTCTTGAGCCTACAGAGCTTGTCCCGGCTGAGTCGTTTTGTACATTTGAATGTCATCTTAATTCCTACTTTGTTGAGAATCCTACGCAGGGAGGGCCTCAGATGTCCTCTTCTTATATGGTATATAATAGATTCCTTATACTCTCTCTTATTAACGTTATCATTATTAGTTTCCCCATTATTTTTATTTTCCTTTTGACCTTTTTAATATCCCTAATGAATTTCACAGGATAGATATTTAACACGAACGCCTCTCCTATCTTTTAATTGAAATTTAGATTTCCCGTTGTTTGACTGGACTTAATTGCTCGGTATCAGTCTGGCATATCGGCTTCTTCTGCAGATGCACCGACGATGCCTGGGCACTTGGTTAGAATGTAATCAGTGGATGGTGACTAGCAGTGGAATCTAGGTTGTGCACTTCATCGTATTTGAGACTCATCATCTGGATGTACATGCATTTTCCAGTGAGTGGCGATGTTCCCATTAAGGCTCGAACCAAGCGGCCATAGTTTCAAACGCCAAAGCGTTATCCAGTAGACCACTTGGGTCACGAGGGCCACATCATATGCAACGCGTCATATTAATTTTAATGGAATTTTTCAATGTCAACCTGAGACCGAGCACTTTGGTCCAATCAATCGACGGGAAAATATAAAACTAAATTAAATCAATATGACCCATTGTACATGAGGTGGCTCTTGTGGCCCAAGTGGTCTATTGAATAACGCTTTGGCGTTTGAAACTATGGCCACTTGGTTCGAGCCTCGGTGGGAACATCATCACTCACTGGGAAATGCGGGTGCATCCAGTGACGAGTCCCAAATAGGATGAAATGCGCATAATGGATTTCACTGCTAGCCACCATTTATCAATTAAAGACTCTTCTATCTGTTTCATTGGATCTTAGGATCGCAGTTCCTATCAAACTGTTTAAGAATCTGTCTATTCTCATGATTACAAACGGTGAGTATTCACTGCTACACAGATTCACTCAAAAATACAAAAGAAAATTTATAGCTATGCCACAAGAAATCAACTTGCCTGGAAATCAGGTTTAGCTATCACTAAATATGCTGAGTGTACATCTTGTGGTAAGGTATAATGAAGCATATTAGCAATCCATATAACAGTTTCTTGTGGTCCAAATGTTGCACGATTTAGAAAGGCTTCTTTCTGTGTCACCTGAAGATCTCTTACACAAGAGTCGAATGAAGACTTGCCAGGTGAATTTATTGTTTGTTGAATTTTGTTGACATTATTATTATTATTATTATTACCATTATTCACTTCAGTGGAATTCCTATTGCTGACACATGATTCATGCGCTTTATTTGATAAAAAGCGCAGATACTGATAGACAAGTTTGGTAATCTAGAATGATATAAAGAAATTTGTAAAATTATATTTTCAAGTAATGATTTTGTAGGGATTTTCTTTGATTGGTTGGAGGATTTCATCATGACCTGACATCAGTTAGAGAACCACTGGAAAACCTGGGAGTACTGGACAGCTGTTTCTTCCTAGTTTGGGACTCTTCAGCAGTACGCACCCACCGTGATTCGAACCCAGGACCTTCCGGTTACAAGGCGAGCTCGTATACCATTATGCCACTGGGACCCGATCCAATGGTCCTTGAATTCTAACTTTTGCCAATTCACGATATAGCGTGACCACTTCGCAATGTCTTCTTCGATGAGTTACTGCCTGCCTCATCTTCAACCTGCTGTATCCTACTGGTCACGGCTTTCTACTAGAATCCTGGGTCCTGGGTTTGAACCCTTGTGGGTGCGTACCGCTGAAGAGTCCTAAACTAGGAGGAAACAGCTATCCAGTACTCCCAGGCTTTCGAGTGGTTCTCTAACTGATGTCAGCTTATGATGAAATCCTCCATGCAAAATTATAATTGTAAAATCTCAGCCGAATTGAAATGATTCATTCCAACGTTTCCTGAGTTCGGCAATCTGGTCCGAAATTCTTCAGGGAAATTAATCGAAATTAACATAACAAAGGTTTATATGTATCAAGAGAACATCTCTTATTTTTCAAAACTTTGAGTCATGAAACGGGTATCAACATGTATAGTAAAAAAATAAAATTGTATGTTTATGTATAAAAGATCATCTCTTGTTTTAAATTGTTTGTCTTGTCATAGGAATCAAGAAACAGCTATCAATAGGTATTGTAAACAAAACAAAACAAAAGCTGTATGAACCATGATCAAAATTTGACCCCAGACTTTCAAAATTAGTTTACTTTTTATAGTTTGGTTTGTAAGGATTAGTTATGTTTTGCGAGTTGATCACGGGTCGATATCAGTTAGAGAGCCATTGAATACCAGGGAGTACTGGACAGCTGCTGTTTCATCCTATTTTGAGAACCATCGGCAGTACGCAACCACTGGGATTCGAACCCGCGACCTTCTGGTTACAAGGCAAGCTCGTGTACCATTCAGCCAATGAGACCCGATTCAATGGCTCGTGAATTCTAACTTCTACTAATTCGTGATTTAGCGCGACCCCAACTTTTGTTAAAATATATGTGTAAATGCAGTATACAATGGTGTGTGTCTATGTGTGTGTGTGTGTGTGTGTGTGTGTGTGTGTAGGTGAACAGTCATAAAACATTCGTTATTCTCTCCATAAGAAGACATAAACAATAGGGAATTTGACCAAGTGTGACTACTTGTTCATACATATCAAATTTTATTTATTAGTCAGGATTTGCCATGCATCAGCTAACACCACATCTTCACGTCTGCTCAAAGTGTTGGGATTCACCCATATATGTAGCAGGGCTTTTTGCAGTCAGTCTTTCTTTATATGAACCAAAACCTTTCTGTAAAAACTTAGTGTTATCAAAGTCAATTTTGTGTCCCGTTTCTACCGAATACAGTGCAATCGCTGAGTTGTTTTCTAGCTTCTTCAAGTCTGCAGAAGTCTTTGGAACCACCTTTAGACATTATTTATGCTCTTTCATTCTTATATTTACGTGTTTGGAAGTATCTCCTAAATATACGGTGTTACAATCCCCACAATAGATCTGGTGTTCACAATTCCGCTGATTTTCTTGTTCTATTTTATGCTTAACCTTCACCAGTGATGACCGTAAAGTGTTAGTTACACCAAAATACATTCATATTTTATGATCGTTAAGGATTCACTTTGTTTTATCCCATATTTCTTTGCGGTAAGGGATCACCACTGTACTAACCCACTTCTTAGCAGCAGGTTTCGATTCATCCTTATCTTCACATTTTAAATATCCTTTTATGAAGGCTTTAGGATAATTATTTGATTCAAGTGTGGACTGAACCCAATTTAGTTCCCTGCTAATATCTTCCACCTCAGTAACTAGACGTTTGGCTCTGTTGATCAGATTCATGGTCACAGTTACTTTGGTGGTAAATGGGTGAGCTGAATAGTAATAGTAATCTGGGTATCTATCCGAATTTGTCGGCTTTCTGAAAATGTTTATTTTAAATTTGCTGTCTAACTTTCTTTTTACTAAACAGTCCAGGAACGCCAACTCATTCTCATCGAATTCAACCTCTTTGGAAAACTTGATAGTTTCTGACATATTAATAAACTACGTTTGTTTATGATGAAGGTATCATCCACGTATGTTAACCACATCTTTGGGGGACTAGGGCATCTCATAATTGCATTTGTTTCTAATGAGTGCATAAACAGATTGGTTGATAGATAAAATGTTTACTATTACTGGCTATTAATTGATAGGTTAAGTTTCCTTAAGTACCGAATGGAACGATCGGACTCAAGGTTGAGCTTTGAAGTTTCGTATCAGTGGGCTGGCACTGCCAGCCTCACAACCAACCTTTCCTCTTTTTACTGGCCTCGCTACCAGTTTAGCAGGGATTAGGAGTGTGTCAGCCAAGGATCGATCCCCGGACCAGGTGTGCGGTGGGTGAGCATTCTGCCTCTTGGCTGGTGAGTAGTCAAAGATTATTTCTGAAAAGACTTGGACTGTTTATGTGCAGGAGTTTAGTTATTATCCAGTTAGATTTTGAATAGATGTCAGTTAGGAAAATGTTGAAAAACCGGGGAGGGGAGGGCTTTGAATGGCTATTTCCCTTCTGCTTTGAGACATTATAGAAATTACGATGCCACGGATAAGAATAGAATGTTTAACCATCATGTTATGAGATGTGCACATCTACCATTTATTTATTTTTCAAAAGAATCGATAATGAAAAAAGAATGGTCTTCTCGATAACCCCTTCATCATCAGGCTCTACAGTTATATAGGCATTATAGTGAATGAATGAGTTAGTGTTATGAAGAACAACATTAATGTTGCTGTTTAAATAACATTGAATCAATAATAACAACAGATTACAATTCACTAGCATCAACATGAAATAGGCTGAATGTCAGAAAATTTAGGAAAGATAATAACACAAATTCATGAATTTATTATCTCCACTGAAGGCCAGCCAGTGTAGTAGTAGGGGCTGGAAATGCTTTTTTTGTTCACAAAGCACTGCTTGTTTGAGGTGAATTACAATAGCCACTGCTGTTTGGAGTGTACGGTGCTTCGATGATTTTGGCAATTTATTAGACAACATGTATATGATTGAGAAGGATTCTTCCACACTGTCTTTGTGACCAGTTTGCACCGAATTGATCCAATATCGAACTGTTAATGGTTTTCACTACACATTTACTTAGCCATAGTGGGTGATGTTCCCAAGTGAGCACAAAAAATCAAGTTCCTAGAGCAACGGTCAATGTAAATCGCTCCACCATAAGCGCAGTTGAATTGGCAGATACAATTTGAAGTGACTAGTCTCATTACTTCATCTTTCAGTCGAGGTAGCCCCTTCAGTCGTGTAGAGAATAAGACGTGTAGTTATCCAGGATTAAAAGTTATTTGAACTGATTTTTTTAAATTTCCTCGTAATTATCTCACTTGGTAGTATATCGCCCTTGAATTGTAGTCTTTTAAAAAGTGGATTCTTGTTGAAAGGTAGTGAGTTGTCTTTTCTGCTTTCTTTGTCATGTGTTTCTTGATAAATTTATTAAATCAAGTCCAGCCAATCTCTACTTCTGCCCTGGCTAGCCTTCAGCAGAGACTATAAACTCATGAATTTGTAATATTATCTTTCCTAATTTTTCTGACGTTCAGCAAATTTTATTTTGATGCTATTGGGCTGTAATCTATCAGTAGTATTGATTCGATGTCATTCACGCAGTATTAATGTTGTTCATAACACTATTTCATTCATTCACTATAATGTACATGTATAACTGTAGAGCCTGATGATGAAGAGGTTATCGAAAAGAGTACTTTCTGATCAGTATCCATTCCTTTGAAAAGTTTACTTATTTCTTTAAAATTTTGATAACGGCTTGATTCCACACAATTTTTTTGGTAGAAGTGTAGAATATTCACAATGTGATATCGTTAGCTTAAAATTAGCCGGTGGATCATTGATATCAAGTGTGCGTGTAAAATGACTATTCAATTCTAACATCTGCTGATGATTGGCAGTATACAGAGATATTGCCAGCCAATGTCTTAGCCGGATATTTGTTTTCATACCTGACTGAAATGAATTCACTAGGCCACTGGTTCACAAAGGCTATCTCATGTACAAAGGATATGATTTGAGTAATATATATCTCAGAAATATCAATTTATTTTTTCAAGAAAATCATATTTTTTTAAAATAAGTCCGACCAATTCTATGGAGATATTAGTGGCTTCTGAGGAATGCAGGACTTCAAGTGAACATACTAAAAATATATGTGCTGAAGATAAACAATCAACAACAACAAGAAACATCAAAAACTGTCGACGGGAGAAATTCAAAAATTCACTTTTTTCCAATCATCTAGTCATAATCATTTCAACTACAGGTGGGATACCATGGATGGAAATATCAAAGCCAGTCAACATCGGAAAAGTCCAGCTGATCCCCATCACTATGAATTTAGTCTGGAAATCCACTGAACTAAGAAGCATAAGGAAGCAGATTTGAATTTTAAACACCACCATAGAGTCAGTCAGTGCATCTTTATAGGCTACAGATCTGGTGTGTCACAAAAAGCACTTCTAACTGGCTTCAGACTTTAGCCAACACTTGACTTCACTGGTTACATACTGAAGACCACACTATCAGACAGAAAGGAGCTATTTGAACGAATCACTCAGGAACGTATTGCCTTACAAATACGTACAACCAAATGAAGACGGATCAGATAACACACGCTGAGGAGGCCTCTGAGTGATGACATGCACAAGGCGTTTTAGTATTATTACTATTGTTCCCTTGGGTTCCTAGTAGAATATAGAGCTTCAACTGCACGTCTTCACTTGCTTCTGTCTTTTGCTGTACTTCTCCCCTGCATCCATGTTAGTCCATACTGTTTCACCTCCTCTTCGCGAGGTCTCCTTCATGTCACCTTTGGACGTCCCATTCACTGCTACCTTTTCGGGTTCCAATCGAGCATTGGCCTGACGCGCGCGCGATGTCACCCAGCGGCCGCCTCCTCAGCGAGTGAGTGTCCGATCCATCTCCACTTTCTTCTGCATATTTTTTGGCCGATTGGTTCTTGTTTTGTTTGTTCTCATAGTTTCTTGTTGGGGATTCTTTGCGGCTCGGCCATATGATCTTTAGTATAGAGCGAAGACAGTTGTTGTTGGTAAAGGTCTGCAACCGGCTGTTTGAAATATTCCTTGTTACCTGCCAAGTTTCTGATCCTTAAAGAAGAATTGACTAGACGTTTGTGTTGAAAATCCGAATTTTGTTGTTGACAATGAGTAACGAAGATTTCTAGATTAGTTTCATGTTGATGAATTTGTTTCTCGCCTTCCCGATTCTCGCTCGATTCGACATCCTCATCGGTTCCGACTGGCTGTAGTTGAGACAATGCTCCCTAGATCAGTGAGTGAATGAAGTAACCTCTTTCAAATCCCTCCCGTTGATGGTGATTGGCGCGTTTTAGGAGAATCCAAATCAGAAGGGATGAACTGGACTTGAGCTCGACAGTGACATGGAGGACAGCATATGAGGAGATTGTAAATGCTTATGAACACTGTGGGGGTCAGCTTAACACGATGGCAGCGAACTAAAAGCAACGCATGTATGCCACTGAAAGTATATGCTTCACTCGGAAGTTGAGCAGGGATAAATATTAACATAATAATGTCGATTAATAGTACAAACAGTTGACGACTCCAAAACAGGATGTAAACACACACCCTAGATTCAAGTTCTTATCATAATCAAGCAAAGGACTTCAAGCTAACGCGTGATTATGTGAACCATCTAAGCCATATTCATTTCTTTGCGTTTCTGACAACACACACGACATCACTTTTAAGGAATACCGATCGATAACTTCACGCCTAACCATCTTTTCATACCGGGCTTACTGCCGGAGAGGAGAGTTTAAGGAATGCGCCAATCGGGAGTCGAACCCTTAAACGCCACCGAACCATATCACTTAATAATTGCCTGTAATAGTAGCGAACTAATAAAACCATAAAATCGAATAATAGTTTTTTTTTAAATCAACAACTTGAGAAGACTCACTTTGAGCAAATCACTTCGTGTGCCTTTTAAATCAATACAGATTGTAATTAAAGCACAAATGGTTGAATTTTCAAAATCTGACATTGCGGAAAATTCACATTTCACCTCAGTTGCCAGATGACTAAATGTAAAAAACGAATTTAAACGTATAATTTATTCTACTTATTATTATTACTTAATTATTATTATTTTAATTGAATGTATTCAAAATTCTTTGAATTCCGCCTTCATCACCAATTAATATGTGATCAAGGTGTTCAATATTATTAAAAATATGTACACGGATTTGTTTAGTCATATGATATCATGACAGAACAAAAAGAAGCGCGCGAATTTCAACTGACTTAAATTTATTCAACTTGAAGAATGAAAACAATTCGTGCACATCTTCAAAACTTTTTAGGTTGAAACGACGGAGTCAGTGTCAATCAAATAGCATGTATATATATACAGAGAGTTGCTGATCTTGTGTGCTTGTGTGTGTGGTAATGTTAAAGACTGACAAATGATTGATTATGGTATGAAATTGTTTCTGCTAAATGCAGTTTTGACCTTGAAGACATATTCATGTAATTAAACTTTTGTTGATTGTCGTCATAGATACATACAAAATTTGAAAAAAAATAAGAAACGTTACTTATAAAAACGTGTTATTAGCAAATTATCATTGAATTAACATTCGTTCCAAGTAACAGCCTCATCGCTGACAGATCTTGAACGTCATTTAACTGTGCAACAGCGTGAAATTCTTGCCAGAAGATCCATATGTTTGCTTCGAAAACTGCAGGGTATAGGCTTTACACTTGTCGGTAGGCAGGGACATCAAATGTAACAACAGAAGACAAGACATTGAAAGTCAAGGTGTATTTTCAATTTATCAAACCGTTATCTATATAGATACAGTTTTATATACTCAAACCAATCACTGAGCGTGTGATTTAGGCTTCCATCAAACGACGTTAAATAGAATGTTTAAATATACATATAGTATTCTGTTGCTAACACAGTATTGACTGTGTGAATATGTGCGAATAATATTCCGTTGGAACACAGTGTCTTTATCCCACCAAAACACTCGTCTCCTCGTCAAACACTTTAGACTAAAATCGGTTCGATTTTCTTGATGTTGGCGGCTTTATTTTCCTTGTCTTGCGGTATTGAGTTCTGGAGCTCCCTGACATTCACCGACTCCTCTCTGTTTACATTTCTTATCATATATATACCTAACCCCGCCTCATGATGACCATTTATGGTCCTTTCCAACTTGGTGACAGTTTTTAGATGATCGTCTCTCGTAGTCTCCGGTGTTTCGCCTCACACTATCATATTGCTGCCGTCACTCGACCTCCCAGAAGCGTCCCAAGTAACAGCCTCATCGCTGACGTGCCTTAAACACCATTCAACTGCGCAAAAGCCTTGTGGTGCTGCAAGAAGATCCAGGGCCTTAGCTTTCTATTTGCTGGCAAGCAGTGACACCAACATGTAACAGTAGAGCGCGAGACATTGAGGTCAAGCGATATTTTCAATTGATCAAAAATTTATTTATATAGACACAGTTTCATATTCTCTAACTAATCATTGAGCGTGTAATTTCGGCTTATATTAAACAACGTGAAACAGAATGTACAAATATACGTTGTATTCTGTTGCGATGCCGTATTGAACTGTGTGGCACACATTGTCTATATCACACCCCACACTACTAATACTACTACTACTACTACTATAACCGTGGTGTGTTCTACTGACAAGAATTGTCAGTAGTATATAGAGAGACATTCGTTGACACAAAAATATCAAAAAAAGGGGGGGATATAGATTGACGGTTAGAGAGAACAAGTGAACCAGCATTGTGGCAGAAACTGGGATACACAACAAAGAAGGCAGTCAGACACAATATGGAGGGAGCAGAAGTATCACAACATGGAAAATCCGTGCAAATGATGCTTTCATTATAAGATTTACATAATGCCCTATATGTGTTTTCTGAATTCCTAATAAACAATCCATTTCCATGTCTGCTGTCTGCTGACGCTGCGAAATGAGAGTTACTAGCCAGTAAGAGGGTTGGAGCAAGTGCTATATATGTGCCCCGGATTGGCGACAGGTAGATTTAGTGGCCCAGTGAATTGACTCTTGGTTTTTCAGTGGTATATGTGTCTTCCTTGTAACCCAGGGATTTTAGGTTCAAATCCCGAAGGGTACGTACTGTTGTGCAATCGAAAATAAGGGTGTGCTAGCTGTCCAGGACTTCTTGGTTTTCCAGTGACCCACTCAATGATGTCAAATACCATGATACCAAAGAAATGCATTAATATATATGTGCTACGTGCACGATAAAAACTAGAATACCGAAATTCATCCTAGAAAGAAACATGTATGTTGTTCCAATATTGGTTTTAATCTTCTTTCGTTTTTGAGTTTTTTGTATGACACAGAGTTGAGTTAACTGATTTTATTGATTTGTGTGCGACGTCAATTCCTAAAGGTTCGCAGAGTCTCGTAGTGATTTCTGAAATGTCCGATATATATGACAGGACGATTATCTTTACGCTTTCCTCGAGAGCCTTTGAATAAATAGGTTGGCTTGTGGATACATGTCTTTTGATGGAATTCCGTGGATATCCATTCATTTGGAAGACATTCGTAATATATCTTCCTTCAATTTTACTTAAGATCGGAGTGCTGCAATGAGTCTTGTCCCCTAGTGAACAGTGTTTGTATACAATTCTTTTTGTGTGTTATTGCATTTTAGTTGTTGTAAACGAGTATTTGGTCCATGTAAGCTGATTTTCTATAAACTTGAGTTTCTAACTCCTAAGTGGTTTTTTTCGCTTGACTAAGAGGTTCAAAATTGGGATTTTGTTCTTCGGCTGTTCCCTCTTCGGCTGTCAATTTGATGTCGTTGAAGATGTTTTTCATTAAGGTGTGAGTTTTATCCAACTTCTTTTGACTGGAACAACGTTCATCAAATATTAGACTGAGGAAACAACAAGAATGTTAGGGAATTTTTAGAAGCCTGGTATTCCAGTGAATCGTCAGGCAATAGACACATTGACATAGACAAAATTTACCAATCGATAAGAAGCAAACCTCATACAAGAAGGGTCAAAGGTCAGGTCAAGGAAACAATCAGTACCAATACTAACACAGGTAGCCTAGAAGGTCTAAAAAAACACAACAACAACAACCAAAGAGTCACAATCGAGGTCACCCAACAGAAGAGATAACTAATAAACTCATGGAGAAATCTAAAAGCCCACTGAAACCTGAAGTATTCTATGAAGACTAGTTGCCTAGTAGGGCAACAAAAGCTTTGCAAATAAACCATCCATCCAGCCTAGAGAACACAACTACATTAAAATCATCCACTTGAACTACATATCTCCTCCATCATATCTAACACGTATGCATAGTATGACAGATACTGTATCCAGGAGGGAAGCAATTGGTTTTTGAGTCTTTGATCAAAACTTCAGACTTGTTAGTACTTTTAAGTAAGGCGTCACTTCAATTACGGGAATAACGTCACTTCATTGAGTCGGGATCAAATGTAGATGCCTAACTATAAATGGCAACTCATGTGCGATAATCTGTATCATGTGCCTGATGTCTGTGTATTAGTCATTAAGGCTAAGGTGTGAAATGAGTTTTCGTCAATATTAGTTGAATCACATTTCGCAGTTAGATGGAGACGCTCTGTGTCTGTCGAGTGATCCACAGCAGAAGACTCAACGAAGCCTTTGAAATGAATGCAGGAGTAAGATAAGGCTGTCTAATATAACTAATGATGGACTGGACCATTAGGGAGACTGTGGAGAATAGTCTTGAAAAATAGGAAAAGTGTGAAAGGTTTGAACCTCAGGGATAATTTATGCCTATTGCTAAATTAAATTCGAAGACGTTAACCTAAAAAAACCAACAAGCTGGCAAACGAATGAGGCAGTGAAGACAAAACTTCAAGTGAACAAAGACAAGACAGAGGTCACATTCAGATATTCAACAGTATCAATGGAAGAAGTTCGAACGAGTTCACTTTTTTCACTTATCTAGGAGGCATCGTTTTGTTCATAGACGGAAGGGGTGAAGATTTCAAAGCCAGCCAGGATGAGAGAGGGAAGAAAGATAGGCTATCATGACTATGAAATCAGTGTGAAACTCTCCTGCATCAAGGATGAAGAACAAAGTTGAGAGTTTTAATAATAATTCCAAATCATTTAGCGCTTCAATAAGGGTTCAACGACTTTAAGAGTGGGCTGCAGACTTTCAATGACAATCTGCCTTATCTCCTTCGCTGAATATCAATCAGGTGGACAGTCAGCAAAGTTAAGCTATATACAATTCTAATAAACAATAAACTAATCGACAACCAGAAGAAATGAAGGCGACTAGGACACACGTTGAGGAGACTGCTGATAGACACCACGCAGAACAGATCCCCTCCTGGAACTCAAGTGGGAAATGATCATTTAGTCATGGCTTAGAGTTTTGACATGGAGAAGATGGAAGCCATTTGAAGAGACTGAATCCATATGTTTCACTGGGATCTCAAAGGAAATTAAAATAATAATATAACTAAGGATACTGTGATAAATGTTCTTCAAGATGTTACTGATCTTGCTAAAATATTTCTGTCATTTCGTTATACAACATGATTACAAGATTTGTCATCCTACTTACTTATTTTTCAGATAATTTTCAAGGCCATAGGGATGTTTGTCACTGAGAAAGTAAGCAAGAACAGCAACAGGATTCGACCTAAAAAAGTATAAAATGGTCATATATTTAGAAACATATTTACAGACATGTCTATAGGCTTATATATACACACACATATAAAACTTGTATATATGCTCTTGTATAAAATCGTACTGATAGCGATATTGAGATTACGTAAACAACTACTTCCTGTCATGGATTTCAACAAAACAACAATCGACTGTGGATGGATTAATACAACAATCTATGTGGAGAAAACGGACCTGGAGCTTTACTAAATACCCCGATTAGGTGCCTCCATGAACACAGAAGATACACTTGAAGGTGAGGAAAGAAAACTGACGGGAACTCTTTTGGGATAATTATTATCTACAAAAGTTCATAAATAGACATAAAATGGTCAGAACATCAGGACCACTCTTTAAATCGCTACCTTATATTGATGATTGTAACAGCTTGTGATTTTGACGAAGATTGAACGTGGTGTTTAAAAAGACTGTGTATGAAGCTAGGATCCGAATGATTGAGAATATAAAGCATGTATTTATCTATCCATCTGAGCCCTTTGAACATACGAAATATAACGTCACATCCTACTGTACCTACCAGTTTACAAATACGTGTGTTCAAGCATACAAATCGTAGCTAATCAAACCTATCACTTCAGAAAATAGACTGCCCAGATGTTCTATTGTGAATTGAATTACTCATAATGGGAATGAAACTGATTTTTACACGTCTTTTTAAAGTATCTACAGAATATGTTCAGCTAGTATATTGAAGTTTCTGGAATTCCTAGTGATTAGAGACAAGTTTAAACTACTCTTATATGTTCAAAAACAATTAATCATTACGTTAAACTGTCCTTTGTAAACTTTGTTTTGATACCACGAAAGACATATGTACTATAAACTCCGTTCCTTGATTATGTGATTTCCATTACCACACTGACCTTCCGCATGGCCTTTTAACTTGACTTGTGTCTATCTTCTTACCCCTTACCACCTCATTGTTTTCATAGAAATTCCTATGACAAGTACGTGTGTTGTAATCAGACTGTTCGGAATGAGTTGTCTAAATACAGTGTTACATAACTCATATATATTCAAATTAACAGGAAAGCTGGTTTAGTGTTACAGTGCAACTCTAAGTGTGATAAGTGAAGCACGATATCTCTTCAGCTGACTGGTGTGTATCAAAGTTTTTACATATGACTTCCATTACCGAAATAGTTCAGTCATACTTCAGATGCAAGGCAAAAAGATGATAATTTTTATGTTTTACTTCGGTGGATGGTGACTAGCAGTGGAATCTAGGATACGTATTTCTTCCTATGTGGGATTCGTCATTTGGATATGTCTGCAATCCCCCTGTGGGTGATGGTGTTCTTTTTCAATGAGGCTTGAACCCAGCTTCCATAGTCACCATCACTCATTGGGGAATGGACGTACGTCCAGTAAGCTGACAATTCTCAAATATGATGAAATGCGCATCTTGGGCTCCACTGCTAGTTACTATCCAACAGTTAGCTACAAGTTACGTGTCAAAACGTGGTTGAAGTATCTACATAAGAACCTGACGGCAAAATCTAAATAAAATTAAATGATTTTTACTGGTTTTTAGAAAAATGAACCTGAACGTTAGCAATAGTACATAGAATTCTCAGATCAGAACTGCAAGGATATATTTAGTTGTTCGATATATGGAAGTAATCAGCAGGAAACCTTGCCTTTACATAGGTTTAGTGCTTGTTGAAGCTCATCAGTTAGCAAGCGAATCTGCCATCTTGAAGGAAGTCGTCTGCTTTCTGAGATTTGAACCTACGTCACCGATAGCCGATGCCATAGAAAGATACCAAAGATCTATTTAGGCCCATGATTGACTTCTAGTATAGCAGCGGTGAATACTTTGATTGGATACGTTGTTTGGTAACTGGTGTGATGCGTTTAGTCCTTTGTTCGGTGTGGACTGAATTCTATCAGTTAAGTCTTCACTGTGAGCAGTATGCTTAAGGCCTCGATATCACGGTACGCTCAGGTATTTTTTGATAACCAGTGGCAAAATGCACGAAACCTTGGTCAAAGCCTTCTTGCCGGTAACGTCCAAGAATTAAGTAGAAGTCATGGAGAACGCTGGCCACATTGCAAACCTGACTGACAGAATTCAGTCTACTCCGACATCAAGGACTAGACACATGACATTAGCTACTGATTAGTGTCCAGACAGTAAGTATTGAATTGTAGGATTGTACAGAAGGAACACGAAACATTTGTGGAACTTGCGTTTATTATTTCACCTGTTTGTGTTGGGATAGGTATATCGGTCGTTCGACTCGAGTTTTATCGAAGAAAGTGCAGGGACACTATCCTGCATGGTTACGAAGAGGGGAAGTGGAGCAATAAGAAGCGTGACCATTAAACAACTGGTCAATAGTGATCAAGCAATCTCCGCTTCTTCAGCCTTTATAGTCATCCACAAGGCAAAAAGCAATTTACCCAAATCACTAGGTATCTAACTCATCTGTACTGCTGAATCTTTGGCCATCAAAATAGAAAAGCCAGATCTCTGTATACAGAAAAAGTTTGTTCATCCCCTCCAACTTTTATGGTCTTAATCCTTTTATGCTAAATTGTGGTAATCACTGATCATTTTTAAACTCCACCAGTTTTGTTTATTCAGTTTGTATACGCTTCCTTTATTACTTCAGTTGTTATTATTAAAAATTCTCACTTTCAACCGTCCCCAGTGTTATTTCACTTGTTCCACTTGTCAGTCTGAATCAATTCTCTTTTGCATTGTCAAATCTCATACAATATTACATAACGCTTTTATTTTATCCAATCCACCTACTAACCCTACAATAGCATACCCCTTCTAAGTTTCAGACACCCTATGAGTTATTCTATATATGACAGTAATTGCTTTGTCACTTGACATTTAACTATGATTATAATCACAAATATTTTAATTGCATTTCATACTACTATTATTATTATCATTATTTTATGCATTCACACCTATGATTCAATTCCCTCACCAGATATAACTTCTTAAAAAACCATATATATTTATAATATACGTTTCTACAGCTTGATAATAAATTCGTTGAAAATGGTCTCCTCACTGAATCACTTGTTCTGAATATCTACTTGTACACTGCACTGTGAACGATTACATGATAATGCTGTTTATACAATATTAAGAAATTGCAAATCTCCTGAGGTAAATACATAGTGTTCTGTTTGCCGTCTAAATAATGCCAAATTGACAGGCTTGAAAAACGTGTCCGTAACGGTAGCATTCAACCATTCCACTCATTTTCGGGCTTACTACTGACTAGTTAACTAGGCGAGAATTCGGAATACGTCAGTCAATAATCGAATCTCAAGCTCTCACTCGAGTTTGACGAGTATGTGACCATTGAATCAATGTTGGAAATGGAGTACACACTAACAAAATATTCACTTACTTGTATAATGAATAGACACTGGGAACAGCCCAAACCATACGTAGTTGTTCCTTATTTCGAGTACTGTCAACTTCAAAAAAAACATATTCATAAAAAAAGGTTTTATTTTATTCTGTTAGTTATAATTTAGTATTTGTAAAGGATTAATTTATAGGGATTTAATTGACTTCAAGTGTGATCTCGTATTGATATCAGTTAAACGAACAGAGAAAACCGGGAAGTATTGGACAGCTGTTTTGCCCTAGTCTGGAAATGTTCAAATGTACATTTCATTGACCCCACACAGGAGTTCGAACACACAGTTTTCAGGTTACTTGGCCAAAGATATTGCGTGGAGGTTTTGCTAAAGTCATGAAATGATGAAGGTTTGAATTCATTGGTCTTTGAATTCCAGCTCAAATAACTGAATGGTCAGTGATTTTGGCCAAGTAACCTGAAGAATACAGGTCTGAACGCCGCTGCGGTTGTGAATGTGAAATATCAAACAGTTCCAGAGAAGAATGAATCGACTTTCCAGTGCTCCCTGACTGTTTTCAATGTTTACAATAAGAGGCTCATTTCTGCTAGATACAGCATGTTACAATAACTGCATATATATAGCCATTGTCAATATTGAACCAGAACAAATCTGCACTAACAGAAGACATTTAACAGAGGTTACTTGCTTCACTTATTTAGGAAGCATCGTTTCAACCACAGGACTTCAACATAAGAAACGAGATTCATATTCCCAACTCCAGTGTCAGGTTAGTCCTACCTATAGGGATCAGAAAATTGGCCAGTGTGTCACGAAAAACATCTCCGATAGGTCACTGGAGACTTTCATCAACAGCTGCCATCTTTGGTGTGACTGGCTCCATACTGAATATCAAATGGCCAGCAAAACTAAGTGACAGGAAACTGTGCAGTAGAGCAAACCAACAGACAAAAGCTGATCGCTCAACAAATATGTAGGAGAAAATGAGGATGGATTGATCAGGCATACATTGGGGAAAACAGTCGAATGACATCGCGCGCAACGCAAGCCATCACTTGGGTGGAATCCCAGTGGGAAGTGACGAGTGTTATGTCGATGCAAGGGTGATATGGAGGAGAACGTGTGGTGAGAAAGAGATGAGAGATACTCTTGTGCAAAAATCAAATTGGTGGCCAAATCTGTGTCCATCTAAATGGCATTTGTTTTGTCTTAATATTAAGATGACACTGGAGTCAGTGGGTATATGAAATTATTGATGAAATCGACTTCAGAATCTCAAGTGTTTTGCAGTCCTGTAGCCTTCGTCAGATGTTCTACACTTTTCATTTAATTTCACCATTTTTCATCAATTAAAAAAGTATAAACTAAGTCACTTTTACAAGATTTTTCTTTGAGAATGTGTATCTGTCTTTTCCGATGTTTAGAAATAAGACCTTGTTGGCCCTGCGGAGCAAATGTGTTCTAAATTCAAAAACTCATTACACCAACTTACCATGATAAAGTTTAAAGAATTCCGGAGAGTCGAAACTGTTTGCATAACGTGTTAGATCCAGATTGACAGAACGACTAAACACAAGAAAAGAAGTATAAAGTAAATAACCATAACGGTCATAATGACAACATAAGTAATTATTTTTATTAGGCGTAAGTGTTGGTACTTTACGTTTGGCTTTCCAACAAAATGCTCGGACATCTTTAGTCATAAGAACAAAAAATGTTCCGACTTTTATGATTCATTCAGTTGGTTCCAAATTATTGTCCACATAAACGACCTTGTACGGCCAAGAGTAGGTATATTTCAAACTTCATTTCAAAATGCCCTCATCGAGGTCATGGACCCACAGCTTCCATCATGTAAGTCTTAATTCATTGCTTACATGTGGCGGAGGTTTTCCTCACGAAAGCCGAAAGGCACTGAAAACCGGTTTATAAGACATGTTGTTATGTCGACGAGAGCTGGTAAATCCTGACTACAAATTTCTGATGAACATTGACCTCAGAATCTGAAAAGATTGAATGACATTGAAAACTGTTTTGGTCACCACCAAACTTCGGAACGCAGCTTCTTATGCTCCTTTATTGCTTTGTGGCCCACACTTAAGGTCAAAGGTTAAATGGAAGCGGCTTATTAGGACAGCTATATATACTTTCATTCAGGTGTCTAGGAAGTATCGAAGCCCATCTCACATAGACTATGAGATTTTATGAGCACACTTATAGGTGCCAAAAATGTGCTGTCTTCATTCATTTGTTTTAGCTACGTGCAGATGAATTACCTTACGTAAACAAGATATGAATAGGCATATCACAGGACAGACTTCTTTGTCTTCGTTGATATCATGCCATTTTGACAATTTGCTCTGTGAGTCACTTACAATTCACAACATTTTTTAAATTTTTATTTTTTATTTGATTTACAGCTTAATTCCATACTGTATTTTTGGTACAAGTATAGAATTTTCAGCATGGATATCGGTAGCCCAAATTTTGCAGGCCGACCATAGATATCAGGTGTGCGTCGGGAGAAGATCAAACCTCGGACCATGTGCATGGTTGGCGAGAGTCCTAGCCACTGTGCCACTGACGCACGACATGATTTTTTATTCCTTTTAGTTCCTTGTAAAACCTTGAGCTTTAGTCTCCAGTTTTTTTTCGAGGTCAGGATACTAGTCTCACTTCCAATCATTCCTCCTCGCCGAGCTTTCTGACAAACTAATCGAGATTATGGAGTGGATTGGCTGGGGATCGAAAGTCAGATGATGTCAGGGATTGATGAGTATTCTAACACTTAACCACCGATGCATACTACGTAATTTGAATACAACAAAAGATGATGGAAACTTAGAGGGGTAATTGATTAGACTTGAATAAAAGTTTGTCATATTGACCATCTGCATAAGCTGAAAATATTTCCGGCAATAAATATTGTCAGTGTGAAATATTCCCATATTACGAATATTCTTTTCAATAATTTCTCTTCAGGTTCTTATCAGCTTGGTTGAGCAGGCGGGAAATTAAGTGTATGAAAAGCTCAATCCTGTTACACTTGGTTGATACTGGACTTCGTATCAATGTCAACGCAGGTTTTTAGGGTTACATACCGAAATCGAAGTCGTCATCAGGTACCGTCTGCTTACGTCTCCTACACATAGCTGAAGCTGTTACAATAAGAACGACTAAACTGGAACTTTGTATTCAAAAAAACACGTCCAGATGCTGTCCCTACCGTTTCCAAACTTGGATTGATGATTCTTCTTCTCACCAAGAGTGCTACTTCCCCTTAACCCTCTTGGTTTTTTTCCTTTGCTTGTTATTACAAATATTATTATTACAATTATTATTATTCGCCATAACTTATGCACTTCATGCAAACATTCCCTCAATACTGTCGAATTTTTCATTTGTGCTATCCGGAATTATTATTAGTGATATTATCTCTTTTCTCAATATAATATCCCTCCACCTGTTTCATTTCACATATTCGTTATTTCATTATGAACCTCTCATTGGAGTCTTATAATCGCCTGTTTAACACAGACCACTTTGTACTAGCCACTCACTCGCCTGGCACCTTTTATAACCTTGAAGTGACTTACTTGTCAATTTTCTTACCCTACACTCTACAAATCTATTGTGATTAACCACCACCATTATCTCGCGTTTTACAATATTTTCGTAATCGATTTCAGCCTATCACGAAGTTTGTCGCACAAACACGACTATTAATTTTGACACCCCATAACTGCCAATCTGTTATTCTACGTTAAAAAATGTATCACGGCCGCATAACTGGCTATCATTACTGTAACGACAACAAGTATCAAATTATTGTAAGAACCTGGAAAGAATATTCTTCGTTCAAACTGACGTTTAATTAATAAATATTGTATTGTAAAACTACTATGAATGGAACAAAACTCTGAAATTTCAGAAAAATTTACAAACTTTGTAGGAATGTTGGCAAACTTCTCTCGAACAAGGCGTTCCAGTGTGTTCAATGAATCTGTGAATTTTAAAAGAGAACAAAAAGGAACATGTGGAACAGAAGGCATCATCTACATGTTGGATAAAAAATAGATTATACCTTCATTCAAAAAAAAAGATTTCAATCCTTTTCTTTTTGCATTTTCAGTTTTTATGACAAGTATGAAGTTGATAGGAGAAATAGTGACCTCAAACTAGAACTACCTGTTGGATTTTATCACGAATCGATGTCTTGTAGAGGATTTTTGAGATATCACGGAATTCACACATTTGATCATTGGGAATAATAAAAAGACGTTTTTAGCGAAGTGTATTTTATTTTTGACGAATTCATCAACTAGACGGCTGTACATTCGTATATTTTTAATAAATAGGTGGGAAGGTCCCAGAATAATTTCCGGTCAAGGGTCAAATTAATAAAATTAAAATTCCATAATAAACAAAGGGGAAGAAAAAACCCAAACAAAGTAGCATCATAATTACTGAGAAGATAGACATATTGCGCAATTAGCGGTTAGAAATGTAGAAATAACAAAAATATATAAGATGTTTGGATGAAACATTTAGGGGGATCATAGCTAATATGACGATGATGTGTTTATGCAGTCAGGGATTAAATATGCAGAAATATTAAAATGACAAAATATACAGAAAGTTCGGATATGAAATTATGGTAGCGTAAATACGGATTATCAAAAACCTAAATATAACATGAATAATTAGGAATTTTGAATAAGAAAGGTATTGTGATAGTCACTATTAAAAGAATTACCTGTTGATGATGGCCATGGCAGCGAAAAGGTTTGGAGGTATTTCTCTTGGATACATAGCGTGGGTTTGAGCTTTACGATGAAGAGTGCCTCGGTTATGCCAAGATGTCTTAATTTTACTCCCTTTGATAGGTTTGACTGAATCATGTATATTACTTTGAAGGAATTTTCCAATGGCGCTGAATGTCCTGAATTGATCAGATGTTCTGTCACTGAACTACACATACGTTTTCGTTCTCCATGTACCGGTGAGGCTTGATAGTGATCACGAGCGCGTTTCTCAAGTTGCGCAAGTAAACTGGTATATGCTTAATGCGATAGCTTGCCCTTCAAGTTCTGGCTGGACAGTTTCTTGCAAGAAAACGTTAGTCGTAGGCCTGTGGCGAGGAATGTTTTCCTCAGAGATTTGCAGAGGCGTTCACGAAGGATTTCTGCTTCATTGTAAGCTTTGAATTCTAGATTAAGCAGAAGTATCTTCTTCGGGATGGTTTGGACGTGGTCAGATATCTTCTTTTATTTTAGAACTTTGTCTATGAACCTAGGCAGAAAATGGTTTTCCATCAGCTTTTCTCGAGAATTACGCAGTTGTTTGTCAGTCACTTCCTCGCTGCATATCTTCCGAATTCTCGAGAAAGGAGTGTGTATATATGGCTTCTCTTTTTGCTTAGGCGCACAAAACTTTGAAAGTTGACGGACTGTCCAATCCATGTGGACTTTTTGTATACTTATATTTTCATGAAGTTGATGATATTTCTTGTCAGATGGAGGTCGAGGAAGTGGGACATTCCGTCGGATTCAGCTTCAGGAGTAAAGGCGATGTTTTGATGGGCGCTACCGAAGGTCTGAAGTATGTTTGCAGGGTAAATATTCTACATTTCTAACCCCTAATTGCACCATATGTCAATCTTCGCAGTAATTATGACGTTATTTTGTTTTAAAAATATATATATATATATATATATGGATACATATCAGTTGTATCCGTCCCACCCCCATTTTGTTATAGCATTTTACATTCAGAATTGTAATTTTATTCATTTGACTCTTGATCGGAAATTATTCAAGAAATTTCCCATCCATTTATTGTGAATACACGCATGTACAGATATCTGGTTGATGACTTGGTCGAAAAGAAAATTTTTTTCCTGCAACCGACTTTTTATTATTTCCTATGACTATAGAAAAGTGCAAACGAATGGACAGTAGCTCTTCAATTGGCTGAGACTCTTCATTGAGAGGTGGTCATCATCCTGAATGAGGTCCAACCCAGGACTTTAGCCTTACAAGCAAAATACCTTAACTTTCTACATCAATTCAGGCAGAATCTACTGGGTAAAGAATTCTAACGTTTTCTGCATACTATTTTTCTTTACTTTATTGTTCTTTGTGCTCTTAGCGGAATATAGGGAGTTTCAAGCATTTTGAAGTTTCACTAGAGATAGTTTGGTTTTTACCAAAAGAGAGATTACTATCTCGGGACCAAATCTTAGCAGGTTTCTGAATTTTCTACACTAACTTGGTGAAATTCGAAAGTGCGTTGACCGCAAAATGATACCTGGATCCCTGAAGTAGGTGAGAAACGTCTCTTGCATATTGTCTAGGCTATGAGCAGTATCCTTGATATTGATGTGGAGACTTGGATCTCACAGTACAACTAGGTCAGACAGCTAGTCTGGATAATGTACCGTATGAAGGCTGAATTTCGTATCCCAGGTTTAGCGACCATACATTATACCGCAAAATTATTTTAAATCAGTATCGTTCAATAAATATGAGGTTATGCGTACTGGACAGCTGTTTTGTCAATAGTGTGTGGCCACGATTCCACTGAAGATCGGAACCACAGCCTTCAGGATAGGAGGCCAGTCTCAGTGTCCATCACTCAGTCACCTTAGCGTGACTCCGAAGGGTCAATAACTCTGGCTTCTGTTTATTCATGACAGATACTTGTCCTCACACACGACGTGGTATGTCTCACTGGCCACAATGTCCTCCTGGAACTCCAAACATAAGGATCCATAAGGATGGATGTTAGTGCAGATATTTGCTGTTGATATTGGCTGATGCTCACTCAGAATTTACAACAGGTAGGTCATTCAGCACAAATGGGTGAATCGCCAACAAGCTCGGCCTTGTACATGTTTGGTCTCCGATTAGAATTCGTGGTTAATTTCTGTGGGACAGTCGTAGACTACAACGAAACAGCTGTACAGTAGTCCAGTCGGCTTCCATTCAACATAAGTGATATGTATCCACATATATATATTTATGTGTGTGTGTATGTTGGTCTGTCTTTCTGTTCGCTCTCTTAGTCTGTGACCATTTCACTTGTATGAACTTGTCTCCTTTAACAATGTATATTCTCCTTATATTATATTATATACAATATGAGTGTTTGTTGACAGTCCGTTGCTTGGTGACATATATCCATATATGGTAGTTGTTGACATGTCTGCTATATTTTGCTATGTATATATGGATCAACACTCCATTATAATTAGCCATTCATGTTAAGACTGTCTAGTGATTTATTCACACACTTTTGTCTGGATGGTCATATATATTTCGCTGTCACAATTTGTGTGACTTACTTTACTTCTTTACTTACTTACTGTGGTGTGATACCACTTTTGCATTCTCCTTGTGTTTGAAAAATAGAAGTATCATCGCAAACCTAGTGGTCTTCTGATTTCCGCCTTCTCGCATCAGGACTATTAAATTCTCGACCAGTACATAGCAATAATTTAGCGACGAATACATAACAATATGAAACGAATTTTCATCTATAAAAGTGATTACAGATGCCAGTTTTAAACAGTCACTGCAAAATTACTTTACTTAGCAACAAGAAAACGAATATGACGATGTTTATATTTGCTAAGATCGGCGTATTCTTTCCTGGTTCACTCGTGCTGATTCCCTTCGGCGAATCGACTGGAACATTGAGTTTTTGGTTGAATCTCTACAGTTTCAGTAGCGGTGACGTTTTTCATGGAGTGAGATTGCTTGCCTCACGCCAAACATTCCAAATTTCTTAGGCTGACTACAACAAAGATAGCATACGCTTGGAATCGGACCCTAAATCATTTTAGTGGTCGGCTTACTTTTGACTGGTGATATATCAGTAGGTCCTTCAGAATGTGATGTAGTATGGAATTCTCTGAATACATCAGTTTGAAAAGTAACGTGTTGCTCACATTTGTTACAAAATGCAGATAATAAACTAGAATTTTTAGGTTTTCATGAAAAGCATTATTATTTCTAGTAAAATCTTTTAACTTTATCAGTGTTTTTCAAAATTCGTTCACATAAGAAATGCATTTTTTTAAATAATAATGACTCACCTTTCGATTGTACAGCGAGTGTCATTCTGTGTGCAGAGTATAAGTAAGCCCAATGGTTTTTCAGCAAGCTGTAGACATCAACGTCATTTTTCTCAGGTTCGGTGATCAGAGACAGTTTATTTCCTGTTGAAAAGTGAATACAATTGAAGTAGAATTAATAACGATTGCATTGAGTCACAGTACTCATATCTAATTAGTATTATTATTATTGTTTTGATTCACTTCCTAGAGTAACATAGAGCTTCAGCTGCACATCTCCATGGCATTCCGTTCTCCTCCAACATTTCATCACCTGGCTCAACGTCTGTCTACTTACTTTCATCTCCTCTTCATATGACCTCCTCACTGTCACCCTTGCACCCACGACCAACTCGCCACTGCCCATTCTGGTTCTACTAGAGAAATGGCCTGACGTATGATGTCACTTGATGGTTTGTCTTTTTAGAGCATGGCCAATCCACCTCCATTTCTCCCTGCATATTTGTTGCACAATAGGTTTGTGCTGTGTTGGTTCGTTCCCATATAACTGTGTTGCTAATCTTTTTTGCCTAGACATCTTAAAGCAAATAAGGAAGTTTCTATTGAGCTATTCGTAGTCACCATCAGCTTACAGTAGGACTAGACTCAAGACAGCAGCTCTCACCTATTGTCCAGTTAGAGTACATCATTGGATATCTGTGATATTTTTAACTTACCGTTCAAAAGTTATCATTCATGTAGGCAAATTAATACTTTTGATGATATTAGATGGTTGGAGGCAATCGGCCAGAGGTAGCCTTGGACCCAGGTTTCGTGCTAGTTGGCACTCACCAGTCAGCAAGCCATATCTGCAACCACGTTGAAGGAGCTCATGTCCCTTCTGAGATTCGAATCCGCGTCACCCAGTGCTGCAGTCAGAGACGTTACCACTGAGCTATTCGGGCTAGTGGTTGACCTCCTGTAGGACTGTAGTGGATATTTTGATTCGACACTAGTAACTGGTGCGATGCGTCCAGTCCTCTGATTGGTGTAGACTGAATTCTATCAGTCAGGTTGTAATGTAACCACCATTCTGGCTAGCTCGCCATCATGGTGAACATTGATTTGAAGATATTGGATGGTTGGAGGCAATCGGCAGAAAGCCTTGGACCTGGGTTTCATGCTGGTTGGCACTCGTCAAAAGGGCGTTACTGCAGTCTTGAAGGAACTCATGTCCTTCATGCTAGTTACTAATGTCAGATCAAAAGTTTCACTACAGCCCCACAGGAGGTCAACCACTAGCCCGAATAGCTCAGTGTTAACGTCTCTGACTGCAGCACTGGGTGACGCGGATTCGAATCTCAGAAGGGACATGAGCTCCTTCAACGTGGTTGCAGATATGGCTTGCTGACTGGTGAGTGCCAACTAGCACGAAACCTGGGTCCAAGGCTACCTGTGGCCGATTGCCTCCAACCATCTAATACCATGAAATCAGTGTGCACCGTGATGGCGAGCTAGCTAGCTAGAATGGTGGTCACATTACAACTTGACTGATAGAATTCAGTCTACACCAACCAGAGGACTAGACGTATCACACTAGTTGCTAGTGTCAAATCAAAATGAATACTTTCCCTAAGAAACTGAGGATTTGTTGCTTCACCAGCCTACTTTGGGACTCTTCATCAGCACGCACTCAATAGGTTAAGTGCACTACTCCTTTCGGGTTTTCTAGTGGTTCTCCAACCGACGTCAGCGCATGGTGAAGTTCTGCAACCAATCAAACAAAATGCCATACTTGCAAACTGAGTATTTAATGGTGATCATAGGTAAATTGAAAAGAGGATAATATCAAGTTACATTTCTACTCTCTCAGTGTGGAAGTAAGGGTGTTCGTGCTTTGAATATAAACCTTTCATTTTTTGACTTGTATATTTCGATAGAGTGTTCTATTCTGGTAGGAATTTATGGTTAGCAAACTTCTTACCATCATACTTTGAATTGTAGTCAGGGTTGGAAACAATTTAAGCTGTTATGAAATACTGTAAGGCAATCTTCAAAATCTATGCGCAGAATGAACTACAATCAGATTCTCTTGAGTCTACACGTAAAGAAGATAAGTTTTGAGAGAGAGAGGGATAGACTCATTGCAGCACGCCCACCTTAAAGAAAAGTGAGGAAAGATATCTCATGGACGTCTTCCAAAAGAAGGAATATTCACGAATTTCGTCAGAATGCATATACCTCGAAGCCAACTTATCAAATCAAAGACCCTCAAGGGAAGCACAAAAAAATCGCCCTACCACATATGAAGGATATCTCAAAAATCTCTGCAAGACTCTTCAAACCTTTATGAATTGACGTCAAACACAAACCAACACAATCACTTCACTTACTTCTACAGCGAAAGAAGATAAAATCGACATCATTACAAAATAATTTGTAACACCTGCGGAGAACACTACATTGGCCAAAGTGGACGTCTTTTCATCTTCTTATTCATGAAGATAAGGTAGCCGTCAAAGACATGACATCCACTCCCTCATTCACTCGCAACATACAGACAACCACAGATATCAGTTCGACTGGGGCAACCAGCGTTCAAATATAAAAAGGATAAAACACCCGAGAATGCAAGGGAATTTTTAGAAGTTTGTTATTCCAATGAATCGACAATCAATAGACACATCAAGGTGGACAAAATTTCTCAACCTATAAGAAGAAGATCTATACACAAATTGTTAAAGTTCAGGCCAAAAAAACAATCATTTCTAATACAAGTAGCTTATAGGGTTTGAAAACACACAAAGACAAACAATCACGTGCTAGGTCACACACCAAGAGAGATGACTAATAAACTCGTGGAGAAATCTAAAAGCTCACTTAAACCTTAAGTATTCTCTGAAGATGTTACCTAGATGGGCAATAAAAGCTTAGCAAATAAACATATACTGCATATACACATATATTTTAACAAAAGTAGACAAATTTTAAAAGTCTGAGGTCAAAAATTTTTTGATCATAGTTCATACAATTTTTGCATTGTTTTGTTTAGTATACCTATTGATAGCCGTTTCTTGATTCATATTTAAAATAAGAGATGTACTTTTATATATTAACATACAATTTCATTTTATTTATTAACTATACATGTTGATACCTGTTGCATGGCTCATGATTGGACAAAGTTTTAAAAACAAGAGATGTCCCTTTTATATATACACCTCTGTTATGTTAATTTCGACTAATTTCCCTGAAGAAGTTCGGACCAGTTCGCCGAACTCAGGAAACATTGGAATGAATCATTTCAATTTCGGTGAGATTTTACAAATATAACTTTATAAATGTCTACTTCTCACTTAGCGCTCAATTACTTTGCAACTATCCGGTCAAATCTTGTTCACAGTTCGTATGAATTAGCAAATAAACCATTCATCAAGCTCAGAGAACACAACCAAATCAAAATGGTGAATTCTAATATTCTAAAAACTATTACAGGAGATGATATAACTATTGAATTGAATTCTTGATTTTCCCGTCGATTGATTGGACCGAAGTGCTCGGTCTCAGGTTGACATGTCGGCTTCTTGTGCAGATGCTTCGACGATGTATACAATTGGTGGATGGTGGCTAGCAGTGGAATCCAGGATGCGCATTTCGTCCTATTTGGGACTCGTCATCTGGATGTACCTGCATTTCTCAGTGAGTGATGATGTTCCCACTGAGGCTCGAACCCAGTACCCATAGTTTCAAACGCCAAAGCGTTATCCACTAGACCACTTGGGCCACGAGAGCCACCTCTTGTGCAACGGGTCATATTAATTATTGAACTGAATTCTTGATTTTCCCGCCGACTGACGAGTTCCAAATAGGACGAAATTCGCATCCTGGATTCCACTGCTAGCCACCATCCACCAATTGGATGATATAACTAGTTTGAAGCTGAACAATTTGGTTTGATGTATATATGGATAACTATTCAAAATGCATGGACCAAGACTTATAAACTGTAGAACAAACTTTGACTAGAGCCGGATTATAATAACCTGTCTGTCTTAAGTGGAAGAAATGACTTAGAAAAGATCTACAAGTTACTGTCTTTGAAGACATGATATTTTCACAAGAAAGTAGAAGAATCAGACAGTGAAATTATTTCCTTGAATGTCTTAATCGATAAAACCAACATAGGGCAAACCAAACAGACCAAATACTCAACTACGGCAGCGAAAACACCACTGCATACTTCAAGAAGCAAAACGTATACCCCTACAGTTTCATCAAAAAATGTTTGAACTAGAATTAAATCACCAGCATTACACTATTCTCAAAATCACAAACCAATACAGTTACTTTCTTCAATGTTATGAAGATCGAAGAATCCGTCAGCTTGAGAATAAAATGTCAACACAATGTGTAGAAAGTAAATTTCATGAACTGTAATCAACACTGCATTGCTCAAACTGGGTGTCTCCGTCGACTCAGAATACAAGAATATAGACTGACTGTGAAAGGAGACGATGTGTATCCTTTCATATGGATAAATGCAGGCAATTTTGAACAACAATTTAATTTGTGAAATGTAGAAAGTTTAACCGACGGGAAACTCCAGAAACTCCTAGAAGTCTAGAAATTGGATGAATCAGGAATTAACAAACAAACTAACTGTATTAGTAAGAAACTCGGAACATCACGGAAAGCATTTCCAACAGATGACGGCCTTTCATGAATACCTGCTTTCGCTCTGTACTGTGGGTCAAATTGTTGGCTAGCTGGCAAGAACGAATAAGCAACAATATACCGTGGGAACTAACCAGCCAAGAACTCATCGCTCATAAAATACGCAGGAGAAACTGAAGATGATTGGTTATACGCCATCAATGCAGGCCATCGCTCGAGGGGAACCCGAAAGGGAAATGATTAGTAGGTCGTCACTTCTAAGGTGACATGGAGTGGATCGTGCAAGCACAGATTGCGAGACTATGTGCAATCGTGGGCACAGCAGAGAATAGAACAAAACGGAGATGTGTCGTTGAAGTCCTACGATCCGCTCGATACCCAAGGGATTAATCACTATAATAATATAATAGATTACTAGCGGATACACAATAAATCAAATGACAAAAATGTTCGAATTCCAAATCAGCAGAAACGATCAATAAGTGCAGGCTTCCTGCCGACTGCCTCCAACCATCTAATGTCAACAGTTCAAGGTGCACCATGATGGCGAGCCACCGAGTGGCATGCTCTCCACATTGCAAACTTGACTGATAGAATTCACTCTGCATCAAAGATAGGACTAGACACTTCACACTAGTTACTAGTGTCCAATAAAAATGCTCACTACAGTCTTACAGGAGGTCACTCGTTGGCTCGAATAACTCAGTGATAACGTCCTTGACTTCAGCACTGGTTTATGCGGTACGAATTTCAGAAGTGACATGAATCGTTTCAATGTTACAGATAAGCCTTGCTGAGTGCCAGCTAGTACGAAATCTAGGTGTCGGCAAGGTTCCCTGCGGCCGATTGCTTCCAACCATCTAAAATCATCAAATTAACAACAAATCACAACAAAGTTTGTTAGTAGGCAAAATTCTGTCACTCATTGTCAGTTCAAATAAGTCCACTTTTTCTACTGACATGTGACAATGAAAGCTTCGCAATTAACTCATTCATCTGAGAGAACCCAAAGATATGAACAACTCATTTACCTCAGCTTCACATCTTGTCTATCACTTCAGAATGCAATTGCACAATATCAGTTTCTGTCATGCCAAAACGCTAAATATTTTCTTCCTCAGTCACAATAATCTTGACGTGATGAAGTTTTGCGAATTTCTCACTCACCTACTTATTAAGTCAATTAAGTAGCATAATTATTTCATCTTTCAGTTTCATATACATTTTAAATCTGACTGCTTATAAAAATATTATTATTATAAATATATGATAAAAACTCACCTCGACCAAACAAACGATACGGAGAGCCTCTTATAGCCAAACTTGATATAAATCCTCTTAGTTTTGCATAGTCTCTTGTCTTGACTTTCTGAAATTCTAAACCGGATAAGCGTGAATTTAAAAAAAAAATGAAATGAAATAATTTAGAGAAAGAAAGTTTGAGAAGTATTAGGCACACCAATTTAAAAATACAGATTAATGAGTGGTTGCTACAGGAGTGGAATTATTTGTTATGGGGTTTTATGCGCACAAACTGGAAGATCTTAAGGTGGAAACCAACAGGTCGAAGAAATAACCCATAAAAGACATGAATTCAAATGAACGGAGAGAAGTCTGAGGTGAAGAAGCCGCCTAACGAACAGCAACAAGCACTAACTAGTATTAACTGAAGACACTTAAAGGAGGTCATAGCTTTCAATCTGTTAAACCACAGGTGGTACAGATTATTGAAGTCAGTCAGAGTCTGGGAAGAAAGAAAAATTTTCATTGTTCAGAAATCAGTGGGAAAATCTCCTCCCCGTAAATCATGAAGAATTCCGCATAATGGTGTCAAGTCAGTGTTTCTTTGTGTTTCAAAGGCTTAGGGCGTGACAAAAAGCATATCTAACAGACTGCCAGCAACAGCTGTCTCAGCTAGATACTGGAGGACAGATGGCTTGCTTGAAGGGATAAGTCAACAACAAGAATCTTGGGCAGTGCAGCAAACCAACCGACATACCGTCGACCGAAAAACATATCCTGAAGTATATGTTGATGGATCAAATATATGCTGAAGCAACCGCAGAACGACATCGTGCTGCCATCTCAAAACTCTCTTTAAGAAAAGACTTTCCGGAAATCATACCAATGAACCACTGGAGTAGAGTGTCATATTTTGTCTTATTATTCAGCGCATCAGAATTTTACCCCTCTATCAGTAGTCCTCATTAACTGCCTCCCCCAATAACCTATAAGTTCTAATCTGCTGTTGAGAAGAACACCTCTTTGTCACCCTCGGACCCATGTCCAACTTGTTCTCTACAATTCCAATTCCACCCGAACGATGCATGCCACCAATGTCATTTAGCGGTCTCCAACAAATCTCAGTCTTCTTCGGCGTATTTTATGGGCACTAGATTATTCATTGGCTGGTCAACATGATTTCTTGTTGTTAATGATTTCCAGTATGGAGCAAGGGCAAATGTTTATAAAAGTGTGCAGCCTTCTGTTTAAAGTGAGTTTAATGGCATGACACATTTCTGAACCATGCAGATACGCTGACTAACTCGACGTTAATGACGTTAAACATGCCAGTCATGCTGCTTAGGATGATTGCACTGGATTTCCAAAATAATTTTAGATTAACTAAGGTTTGTCGTGAATTTCCCTATCCTAAATGATTTGACATTCCCACCTGTGCCGCCTGTAATTGAAACTATGCTGCTTTCTTAAGTGAAAACGTTGATTACTTCAGAATTTTTCCTGTCATTAGTCTGTAATTATTGAATTTGTTCGTGAACAGTATCATTGTCACCTCAGTCTTCTATGTCTTTACATAGAGTCCCGTCTTAAATTCCCACTATTCCACCATTTTTATTGATTTTCGCCTGTATATAGTAGATTTTATGCGACATTAAATATGGATCGTCTGCAAAATCCAGATCTTCTATATCCCTCTTTTTGGCCCAATTTATCCCACTTTTCCCGCTTTTCACTGTCTGTAGCGCGCGTGATCCAGTCCATCTCAATCATGAGCACCATTGATGATAATAGACAGTCTTATCTTACACCCTTGTTCATTTCAGAGGTTCTGATGAGCTTTTTTCAAAGTGGATCATTTGATATGAGGCGTTGTCACATAACTGCTGAATGAGGCTGACAAAGGTTAAGGCACTCAGTTGAAGCGTTGAAGCAGTTAACAGGATATCTTTTACCCTGTTCACGATGACACAACTTAATATTTCCCATGGAGTTGTTATTTATTATTTAAACACAAAACTTTGTACAGTATGGCACCAAGAATATGCGTCACATAATAACAATAAAACAATATAGATCAAAAGTGAAGAATATGGGTGGAGAACGGATAAAGGACTTCATCTGTAAGGAATGCATCATATTTAACAAGTTCGAACAGCATTCGTAAAACTGTCATTGGGAAAGAAAGAAGAAGGAATTTGCAGCACGTTCGCCGCGATTTTTGGTCATTCCGATAACTTTTCAAGCCATCTCTCAAACTTTAACCAAAGTTATCACACCAAACGATGCTAATTAAGTACAAATATCCTTCATCTTGCGAAGCCAAGTCATGAGCTGACCACGTCTCCGCCTTTCCCATCGCGTCCAGGGCTACAGAACAGCGACCTGTGCGAAAGCCTCTGGAATGAAATTCCTTGTAGTACATATCCAAGGAGCACATCGAAGCCGGTGTTTCCTTAATGATGACACTCAACGAATGGTGATCTCCATTGTGTTCAAACACATGCCTCCGAACCTCAGAAATGCTCACACAATGATACCATCGAACGCAAGCAATCCTGCAGAGACGGTGATAAACGAATACGCAGGGCCGTCTCACAGGCGTAGAGTATGACAGCCCGCACCAAACAAACGTTGTGACGGCGCCACTCTTGGCTTAAGTTGATGTATGCTACACTAGCCTTCATGAAACGGTCGGAAAACTCACCTGTCATACCTCCGCCAGCACTCACACAATTACTCACATACACAAACTTATCAACAACTTCAAGTGGTTCACCTGCAAGAGTGAGTTCAGGAACTCACACCATCACGATCTAATCTTTAGAAAACTTTCCTTCCCCTTCCGAATCTCCTGTCATAGTGACATCGTTATGTCCTCTGATGCGTCAATTATTGATGATCACGTTTAGCTAATAGAATTATCATCAAAAAGGATCAATCAGTGTGCTTATCTGAGTTTAATAATTTTATATCGAAGTCAGCTGTCCTTATATTACTCTGACAGAAACCTTCTATTGTCTTAACCCGTCTTAATCTCCGAAATAAGAGTAATGGCCTGATTCACAAAGAGATTTGTAGAAAACCAAATTATCATAAATCGTATCAGTACCAGAATAGTGTAATAATAATAACAACAATAAAAACAATACTACTATTAGAAATAGTTCATTTTGCTATTGATGTGTACATTTCATCGACAGACTTTTAATGCATATCCTTAACTTTTATCAGGTCATATGATCGATAGTGTGTTTGCTGTATATATACACAGTAACCTTGAAAAATAACTTTCATTGTTTTTATCTAAAAGTCTAGAAATTAAGTAGCACTTTATTGATTGATAGATGGATGGATACATAGTTAGATGGTAAGGTAGCTAGATAGATAGATAATTGATTGTACTGTTATCATTTTTATATATGGCGAAGAAAAGCATTTACTTTGCGTATTACCCTAGTCTTTCTGTGTTGTAGAGTTGATCTATGGGTTGACGGTTTAAAGGTAGGCTAGTCAGCAAGGCACTCTACTCGAAGTTATGCAGGCAGCCAAGTGAAAAGTGGTGACAACCGGTGCAGTAACGTCTTTCAAAGATACCTCCTGTCCCCATAACTTCTGTTTAATTTCATCACAATTATACTAACGGGCTTAACCCTAACTCATAGATTGACTTGAAACCATTAGAGAGTGATGTCATTGACTTAGAATATGTAGACAATATAGTTCTCCTCCTGGGTGAATACACTGACAAAATGGACCAGAGTCTTCTGAACACCCTGAACAGGATAGTGCTACAGGACTGGACTGAAAAACATTACCTCCTAGCTCAATGGTAGAGAGTTAACATGGTTGTTGAGCATACTGACCACTTCGCTTATTTGGAGAATTGAATCAGCCAACACCAGCCGGTTGATCGCTGAAGAGATCTCAGTACCTGTACAAGAGGCTCGTTAGGCATTTGCCGCCAAATTACTCCATCTCTGGCTTAGTAGACTTAATATTGGCTGGCTGTCGACCAACGGGCATGTGTGCTGCTCAGAAGTCTGCTCCATCCTCCTTTATGGCTAGCTATGAGAAAGGGCCACTGAAAACGGAAAACATGAAAAGGCTGGCTAGCTGTCTTTGATCATAGGTGTCTGGATTCTGTCTCTTGCGTATGCTAATTGGCATAATAAAGTAATTTTGAGATTAGGCATCAGTCGAGTGCTGGGTAAGGACGGCTAATCAACTCATGAGGTTATGAAGTTACACCGACTAAGATGGTTAAGACATGTGTTATTTCTAACTAACTTACAGCCGATGGGTCAGTTTGAAAATTTAGTAGCTAGTGGTGATCAACTCAAAGCACGACATCAGTCAATAAAATCAACAGAAGTAAGTTTAAGCAAGACACATAGGAAGATGTAGAGTTCCGGACTGGTTTAGGTGCTAGAGGAAAAAAACAGTGTTTACATGAATATATGTGTAAAACATGAGCACTGTGTTAGTAAGTAATCCCATATTAGTCTGTTTATTGAATGTATCACACTGTGAGTGGAACAGCATTCTTTAATGCATGACTAGGTTTTGAACACAATTCCTCATTGTTCATAATTATATCACCAATTATAATCACACGACTATGAAACTTGATATTTATAATTGTCTTTGTTCTCTCCTAGTTGTCGTCGCTGAGGTTGTCGAATTTTCCAGATGTCCACCTGAACAGGTGTTGAATCATTCCTACTACACGCGTTTGCAGGTGATTCCATAAGGAAAGCTTTCGTTATCGAAATCTCCCTTCACCATGACACATTAGTTTCTAAAACTGCCATCCGATCCCATTGTTTGATTGTGTCTAATATCATGTAGTGTAGTGTAGTGCTGCAGGTTAACTATTCTCCAGACTTCTTATCTTATTCGGGTCGACTAATCTAAATTTTGCTACGTTCTTATGCTCCGCTTCTCTGACTGACTGAGCCCGTTCTACTACTTTGACCGATGTATTTGACCTGACAATCATTCCAGCAGAGTATTAGATAAACTAATTTGTTTTGTTTTAAAGGCTACACAAGATAGGTCCTTTGAATGCTACTTTTATTCCTTCCTTGTTAAGAATTCTGCGTAAGGCTTCCAAGGTTCCTTCCTTGTATAGAAGTACTACAATGATTTAGATTCCTTATTGTTGGTGTTGTCATTATTCTGTGCATGTTTGACATGTATGTCGTCACTAATATTACTACTGTAATAATGATTATCATTATAACTATCACTTACATTATTATTTATTTAATTTTTACATTGGAACTACTTAGTTTTTGTGCTCTGTTATTAAAACATTTCACCAATCTTATTTTCACCGACATAGGGTGGGATGATTGGAAGTCTAAATATCTGCTTGAATGCATGGTTTTCCTATTAACAATAGTGTTTTCCTTCCCATCTTCTTTCCCTTATACGCTACAATCCAACATTGGAAGCACCCCTTCCTGAATTTGCAATTCATAAGTGAATTGAATTGCCTCACCTTTGAGTTAATGTGTGTGTGTGTTTGATAACAAAAGATTTATTTATCGAATCAATAGGAATGATTCAACATCTGTCCAGCTAGACATCTGTAAAATTCTACTACCTCAAAGACGACAAACAGGAGAGAACAAAGAAAACTATAAAACTGAAGTTTGAAAGTCGTGTGATTATAATTGGTGATATGATGATGAACAATGATGAATTAGTGTTCGAAACTTTGTCATCCAGTAAATAGTGGTGTTACACTTACTGTGTGATATATATTCAATAAACAAACTAATATGGAACGGTCCTTGTTGCTTAGCAATCGGTGTATTTACATTTTGAATGGTCGACTTTAATCAGCCGGAAGAGGTTTTCACAAGGTATTGTTATACTAAAATGCACACATCAGAATTGTTGACCTACTGCTGTTGTGCTAGATGAAGTAAACAAGTTATACTGATAGACTGGAGAAATATGTAGAAAACATTAATTCACAGATAATCGATAAAAAAATTGCATGCCTTACTTTCACAGGCAGTTGAAATAGGTTCTAATTTTCTAATTCAAGACAGTTGATGATTTCTCACAAATTAAACATACTCTTGTAAATTGTTGCCTAAAAGTCTTCATGAGTATACGATCTTGTTTTCCATGTGTTGCTTTGCACAGATTTGATTGCCAACAAGTTCAACTATGGAGTGATACTATGTAGACAGTCACTGAAATAATACCAGACAGTAGTGGACATCTGCTTCGCTCTAGTTTAGATATCTTCTACATTACACAGCCACAAGATAGCTCTTGTACCATTCAGCAACTAAGTCCAGATCTAATGGTCCATGAAGTCAAACTACTGTCAATTCTAGATGTATATAGCGCAACATCTACCCAGTATTGTTGGCAAGTAAATGTTGTCGTAGCTACACTTTGTGGACCCTACCGGTCACAACTTGTCACTAGAACTCTAGGTAATTTGCTGTATCAAGTCATTCACTCGTAGGCTGCTCCAGATTAATTGTTAAGTTTCAGTTTGAAGTGATTTGATTGCATCACACATGTTTTGATCACCAATTAATATCATTTAAAGGCAAAGTTTTCACTATAATAAAGGTTTTTCGTATTTCCCAGTGAATGAAAAACAAAACGATATTGTTGTTTTACTGAGGTTTCGCTGTTGGATGCTAATGTTAATATCTTTCTCAAATTTGTATTATTAAACCAAAACATACAAGTCTCAGCTATTACATAACAACGTAATCATTGTTCCTCAGCACCCAGCACACAGTTTACGTCGGCAGCAGAATTAGACGTCGATGAACTACCATTTATATACAAAACAATACGGACATCTTATTATATCCATATTCTGGAAGAAAACCTATTCCAACAAGAGCTATTTAGACTTCGAATCATCACACCGCATCACTGCCGAGGTATCAGTTGTTCCAAATCTTCCTAGACGAGCACACTCTTCAATTTTAATGGATGAGAAAGAAGAACAAAGAAGTAATATCAAACATTACTGAGGCATTCCAGCAAAATAACTGTCCAAAGAACTTCATCAATTGAATCAACACGAACATTGCCTATGGTCGAAATCATATTGCGAAAACACGGGCGCCAATAGTTGTCAATCCATACAGGGCAGAGACGTCAGACTATATCAGAAGAGTATGCAACAAGCTCGACATCAATGCTTTCTTCAAAACATCAGACATGCACACTGCGAAACAACCTTGTCCATATAAAAGACCTAATCCCTAAGGGTTCTCCATCTAATCTTGTCTATATAATAAAATGCTTGGAATGTGATGCGATATACATTGGACAAACATCAGAGAGAAATTAAGGTAATCAGAAGAAATTTACATCATACAGATTCTGTTCGCTTACCGAAAACTCCATTTAGTGAACTAGAAAAGCTTGAAAAATCAATATCAGCCACAACTTGTCTACACATTAAGCTTTGTGATCAGGCCAAAAAAAATCGATTTTGACAATACTGAAATCATCATCCAGAAAAATTTCCGAAATCACAAAGAACAAGTTGTATTATCAGAAGCACTTTATATCAAATGGAATCGAAACTGTCTCAACTGAATAGGAATGATGAACTAAAAAATGAATTTGACCCGATTACAATACCTCCCTTCTCCATGTATTAACAAAATCAACACGAATGTGATAAGCAATTTCACATTGTAATTCACACGCTGCTTTCTGTACTTTTACACACTTATCAAATCCAACAATCTTCACTTACAAGTTGACCAACGTGACAACGCAGTAATGACCCCATGCTGAGGAACAATGATTGAAATGTTACATATAAGCTGAGTGGATTTTTTAAATTCTGGCATAATAATATCCCTTTGATAAAGCTATTGGCAGAAGCATTATATAGTGAGACGTAAGTAATAAATAACGACAGTATCGTGTTGCTTTTCATTCATTCATTCACTGGGAAATACAAGAAAACCTTTACTATAATGAATATCATATACTCGATGCCCAAATATTTTTCAAACTGTTATAAACTGAACTTGTTCTGAACACATATATGCGTCGGTGACACAGTGGTTAGGACTCTCGCCGACCATGCACATAATCTGAGGTTCAATCCCCTGCCGACGCACACATGATATCTATGGTGGGCCTGCGAAATTTGGGCTACCGATATCCATGCTGAAAATTCCATAAATAAATAAAAATATTAAAATATATCAATATAAAGATACATTTTAAGTAAAATGAATCACACATAGAAAACTCTACCTAAATTCACTTACCCATATCCAGCTTTTCAACAGCCTTTCTTATGCCATCCCGTTTTAATACTGGTTTGATAAAATGTGATGCAAAAATTGTCAGTGCTTCATCAAAGTATTTATTGGGTATACTGAAGTAGAATAGGGTGTGTTCATTGGAGGTTTTTGAATCCCAATAGCCATTTCGTTCATGTATATAGTCATGAAAACTTTTGATTTCTGATGTTGGTGAATCGCCATGAAATAACACTGAAAAAAGATTATTTTTATAAAATAACGGATAAGTTTAGTTTATGTGTAAATTAATCAGCGGAATAACTTGAAAGTAGAATTAATGTTTTAATTCCTTTGGTAGATAGGCATCAACATCGTGGTTCATGATGTGTATTTCATCCTTTTCGTGACTCATCAGCTATATGTTCCTGCAGTCGCCAATGAGTAATGATGTAATCACAGAGACAGCAATCCAGTGAGCTTAGTTTTAGGTTGATGCCAATCGCACAAAACTTTACCTGTCTTCACTCAAGTGGTCTACTGGAAGCAGTGGATATTGGATTCGAGTCCCAGTAGGAACGCCACCAATCACTTACACCCTGGGGACTGAAGTTACATCTAACTGACAAGTTCTAAATAGGACGATATGACCGTCCCAGATTTCACATTGCCAGAGATCATTCACTAAAATACTTTATATTAATCACCAGACACTATCGAGTCATCTGCACTAGGAGTTGAAACCGTGACAGAAGTTAAACATTTTGGTCCAATCAATCAAGAGGAATAACAAAAATGAATCGAAATTCTACTTGTGTCATCCATTTTTATAATCTCTGTGCGTCGGTGGCACAGTGGTTATGATTCTCGCCGACCATGCACATGGTCCGTGGTTCGAGCCCACGCCGACGCACACATGATATCTATGGTCGGCCTGCAAATTTTGGGCTACCGATATCCACGCTGAAAATTCCATACTTGTGCCAAAAATACGGTGTGGAATCAAGCTGTAATCAAAAAAAAAAAAAAAATTTTTAACGTGATTTTCTCTATTAGTAATTAATTGGCGGATGGTGACTAGTAGTGGAATCTAGGATGCGCACTTCGTCCTATTTAGGACTCGTCAGTGCTCGGCCTCAGTCCAATCAATCGACGACGAAATCTAACACTCACTTAAAATTGACATAGCTTGTTGCCGCAAGAGGTGGCCCTCGTGCCCCAAATGGTCTGGTGGATAACGCTTTGGCGTTGGAAACCGTAGGCGCTAGGTTTGAACCTCGGTGGAAACATCGTCACTCACTGAGAAATGCAGGTACCTCCAGATGATCAGTCCCAAATAGGTCGAAGTGCGCATCCCGGATTCCGCTGCTAGTAATCATCCGCCGATTAACTACTAATTAAATGCCCAGACATCGTCGAAGCATGTCAACCTGAGCACTTCGGTCCAATCAATAGACGGGAAAATCTAACATTAAATTATAATTTTCGCTATATCCGGTATGAAAGTTGCCTCATTTTAAATGCTTCTGCCGCTGACTCTGTACCTAGCCCCCTTTTGTTAAACGAGCTTACTGTGTAGCAAGCACAGTCCCAGATTACCAAGTGTCTTTATTCCTATTTTACTGATAGAAAGCAGTACACTGCTTACAATGAGTAGTCCTCCACTGGTTCGATTACTCTACCTGGTATCCCTCAGGGAGCTGTTCCTTCTCCTGTTCTGTCTGACTTATTTGCCGCATTCTGACGAAGTCAGTTTTGTGAAGAATACCGATGATCCATTTGACTTTTCAGCCAGGCTGTTCTAAAATGGACAGCTTTTTATCAGAAACAAGTTAATGGTCTTCATCCGACGGTCTCAGTGGCGCAGATGCATCCACTCCTTGTGACTTATGATTTCCAATGAAACTGTTTTGCTCTTCGTTATTACTCCTCCTTTGTCTCACTCCTCTGCTTATTGTCTCTATTATGCTTTTCTTGTACTTTCTTCTCTTGCTTCGTTTGCTACACGGAGTGTGGCGACTTGAACTGCCGCACATTTGTGCAAAAGTTCTATGTCGAAAATAGACAGACAGACATCCAACGGTCTTTAGCTTCTTCCTTTCAAATGTCAGATGGTAGCTAATTTCACTTTTAGATGGAAGCGCAACTCACATGAACTGGTTAGTTCTAATGGTTTCACTATCATAAATGGCACTGAGGTGGAAACTAAATCGAATGTTAAATACTTCTGACTACCTTTCCTGTTCTCCCCACAGCATGTTAGTTTCCTGAAAAATATTTCGTTTGACTTTCTATGTAGGAAAGTTGAGACGATCTGGCATCATTCCGTCTATACTGCTGCCGTTTACCAATCCTTGTATTCTCCCTATACTTCTCTAGTGCCTCCCCCCTCACTTAATCCCTCCCGGGCTACTTAAGATAAGATAGACACTTAAATTTATGCAACAAATTAGCGATCCATCACAAGATTGTACAACGGTATACTACTGATTAAATATTAATGAGTAGTGACATACCACTAATATGATAGTGCTTGCAAGCCAGATCGAAGTAATCCAGACATTAGACAGTCACTTTTCTAATTTGTGTACAGCTTATCTTTGATATACCCGGCTATACCTATCTTAGTTCAAATCACCTCATTATTGGGATAATTTACCTCCTGAAACTAGAGAAAATCGTAAAATGCACTCAAATAAGTAGACAGAAATCAGGTGTTTAGAAATGGCTCAACTAATTGAGTTGTGTTGTACAGGTTACATAGGTTTATGAGCTTAGTTTTACAGTTGATAAAAGGTCACCCTTTCATGCGTAATTGTGTATCAGCTCAAAAGGAGAAACTTTAGGTCTTCATTCTGTGTATGTTTCGCCAGTATAGATTGTTTAATATTTTTTGCCTCATGTAGTAGCTATTCAAACCAACTACTCATTAATAGAAATACACAATTAAACATTTTGCTTAATCTGTGGCACATTTTTGCAAATATCTTTCCAATTCACTTGGTCATTCTTTGCACTAGTTTAATGTGTGACGAAATGTCAGTAAAAGCTGAATACAAGTAGAAATATGGAATGGTGATCCTTGGATCCTTATTTCGAATATGAAACATTTAAATGCAAGCTATGAGGCATCATAATACTGTAATTGTCAGTGGTTTATCCTAAGAAATCTGCACCTCTGATGATATTAATAATATACCCTTTAGTTTCAAGTGGAATTTAGGGCCAAAACTACGTATCTCTGTTTTTTCTGGTCTATGCAGTTCTCTTAAGCTGACTTTGTGATTACCCACATGCTGTCATCTCCTCTATACTCGAACTACTTTATGTCACCATTGAACTCAAGTTCAGCATTTCGCGCCTTGTTCGAATTCTACTCGAGGGCCTGGCGCACAATGTCGCTGATCGGTATCCACAGACAGTGTCCTATCCACCTCTGTTTCATCAGACATATTTGTTGGGTAATAGCGTCGATGGTGCAGCCGGAGGACGCTTGCCAACCCAGCATGTTGCTTGAGGTTCTTTCCAGATCAACGAATTCCTTTTGCCATGCTAAGCCAGTAATAAGATTGATAATAGGGGAATCTTGGACATAAGGTTAGCGAACCCATCCAGTAAACGTATATACCACTGCTACCAAAACTTCACAGCTCTAGCTTGAAAGCCTGTATCCCATTGAGAACTTAAATGAATAATATATATATATATACATTATTTAATCTATAGCTTCTTGGTTGGTTTGTTGCGTGAGGTCTTGGTTTCTAACCCTTTTTGACCGGTCATTTGATCTTAGGCAAGGTAAGCAAAAGCAACTATTGATGTAAGTGTGCAATAGCCTGTTCGAAATGTTCTAGATGACGCACACATCAAGTCTCTGAACCACTTATAATTTTTGATTGACTCGACATTGGTGTTTAAAATCTTGTCCAAATCTTGTTACTCACTGTTGAAATAAAAATAAGTCAAAAATTCCTCTTCTTGTTGCCGACCCTACAAGAAGAGCTGATGGAACTGTTAGAAGGTTCATGCATAGGAAACTCACAAAAAACGCCCATCTGGGAAGTTTCTGCAGCTTGATGCCAAGTATTCGTAAAAGAGAAACCCATGTGTATCTCTTGCTACTCGAGTTAAATGCGTATGCATCCCCGATGTTCTGCAAGCATGTGAAAGAAATCATCATGCATAACGGATGTCTACCAACATTCACCGACAAAAGAATCAAATCAAAAAATCCAAAGACCAGAGATGTCATCTCTACCAAACTCCTTTACATCAAGCTAAGGTGGTTGAGATCGAAGATGGTGTATCCATTGTTGTCCTAAATAGGAGAATTTCAGCTTATTTTAGAAGAACTTTCTTATCATCAACGCTTAGAATAGTGTTCTCCAGTCATATGCTGATCGACAGAAAATCAAAGGACAGGATATCACTTTGATGTGTATGTGTATATATTAGTTCAGCTGTTTCTGTGGAACCAAAAATACTGCTTATTTGATGCGTATTCTGTCTGAAAGAGTTCATAAAAGCTATCCCGTGTATCAGTACAAGTGTGCGATAATCGAATATCCCATCAACACTGGTCAGTATATCCTAGACGTGAAACCTCCTTCAAAGTGATCTACAAAAAGAAGAACAACCTCCCAACGGTTATTCGCTTTTGTCTCTAACCATTCAGTGAAAAAAAGCCAGAGTCATGCATCCAAAGGAAAATTACTCAACGATTTCTACCACTGAATTTATTTTTGATTTGATAAGTTTTCTAACTTGATTCTATATAGTGTCTCTTATTTCTATGTGTATTCTGCTTACATTGACTCCTTTTGTGCCTCGAGGATTATTAAAAGCCATGGTTGTGACCCACCTATATGAATAATGAGAATGTATATAAGTGCAATTGTACAGCTTAAAAAGAGAAAAATGTATTCGCCGTATTATTGATATTAGTATAAGACTTGGGCAATGTGATAGAGTATAACTCCATTATAGATAAGAATTTATTCTGATAAATTACACAGTTATATTAAATGATGATGTTTCGAGCACAAAATGTGCGTGCTTGTAATCGTATCAAGGCACTCATATAATGTTCTTGCTTCATTTATATACATGAGTAAGAAATGATGATTGAACACTTGAATCAAATCAATGTAAGATAAGGTATGTACTTAACGCATAAATTAGGATTCTCAATAAAGCAGGAATTAAAGTGGTGGCATTCGACACCTACAAACTCAGTCATGTAGGAAAAGTTCTGT